TTCCCCCACTACAATACTTATTTTCCAATTTTTTAATAAAAAAAGATAATTAGGGAAAAAGTGAAGGAACTAGTGATAGCCCCTTAAGAAACTTATAGTGATCCGTTGTACTATAAAATATTTATATACTAAAGTACGTATAAATCTTATCCGGTCTAATCTAACGCTAACTCTATAGAGCTAAATATTTTATTAAATACTAAACCTAAATTCACTATTACTGATATTTCTAAAATAATGAAATTTATAGAATATTAAATATATATAATATGACCTTTCATTATATACTCAAACCCCCTTAAGACTATGTATTTATTATAAAAGCGACTTAGACTATAATAATGGGTAGAAAGCTGAAATTAAGTTTAGAGTTGATATTTTTATATATAATTTTCCAATTCAGATAAGAGAATTATAGTTAGATAATAATGTATATAAAATTCTTAGAAATTCCTCAATAAAGGGAAATAAATGATCGGTATAATTTTGGTTTTAAATAGGATACAGAAATTGTTATAATAAGTGGAATAATAAAATGGCTATAGTTTTTGACCTTAATTATGTAGTATTTCATTCTATACGCTAATATAATTATGAAACTAATTTATATTCTAACTAGATACTAGGAAAATATAAGTTAGAATAGTATATCTAATTTAAAGATTTTTAGATTCATAATATATCTTACTATTGACCTTGAAACCCTTTATAAAGGTATTAAGTATTATGCCTTTGAAAAGTGTGGAAGAATATATTAAGGATTATAAGTATAGGTTCATAGCTATCTACGACGCTTATTTGGTATCTTATAGTTTTATTATGTTTAATTGCAGGATAAGTATTTACTCAATATAGAGTGTAGTAAGTCTTACTAAACCTATAGATATACTTGAATAGCTTGTTTAATTTCTCTCCTATATACACGAGACTACGCTAGTCTCTGGGCTTAGATAGGTAAGCGGGATAGAATCTAGTAGCGTATATAATAATAGTAAATATATATTATAGTGAGTAGACTAAACTATGATTCCTAGAATTAGCTTGAGACTGTTGAGAATCTAGGCAGTTGACTTATGGCTTATGCCGTGAATGAGCCATACATTCGACTGCGGCGATTATTCATCATTTGTGTATCGGATTTGGACGGATTTGAACTAGCTTAAGCAGACTTTTTCGTGTATATAAAGGGTTTCTCATAACAAATGAGAAACTCTAGACTTAAATCATCTCCTACACTGCAGTATATTTCTTACTCGTTGTGTCTCTTCTTTGTATTTTCAACAGAGACTACTATTTAAATAATATCCTCCTAAAATATAACTAATATATCAGAATAGGGACTCTAGTTATTTTCCGATTCCGAGGTACCTAACATCCCTAGTTAGGAGGTGGTCTAGACAATATATATCGTAACTCATATTAGAATAGGCTTATATATTAGCCGTGTCACGGGTCACCCCCCACCCTTGCGGGTGGGGGTGTCCCTCAGCCAAAATGCAATTTCTTCTATTCCTCAAAAATCATGCTGAAAAGAGTCAAAGATAAGGAGAAAGATTTGGCTATTGCCCTCAATGCCCATAATTAAGGGGAATGCTTATCACTTAAGAAGGCTGTAGATCATTATCGCGTCTCTTACTCTAAACTCCGCGGTCGGAAAAATAGACTAATATATCTCTCGCGTCGCCCAACTAAAAATAACGCGTTAAACTCAAATTAAGACAAATCTTTAACAAACTAGATCAAACTACTTAGTAATTACTATATACCTCCAACCGTAAAAGATATGAGAATACCGTAACTTGGCTTCTAAAAACTACGTATTTAGAGAAGGTTATAGGCCCGATATACGGCTACCAGTTTATTCAACGCCTACCTTCGTATATTAGGCCTATTACGTAAAAGTCTAAGGAAACACTAAGAATAGAACCCGAGAATCCTAGGGCTATATTATATTAGTACGATAAAATAGCTGTCCTCTATAAGAGGTATAAGTTCAAGCCTCGCGAGATCTATAACTTCGACGAAACCGGCTTCTAAATCGGCTAAGGGCTTAATTAGTATATTATCTCCTATAATCGACTATAAAGTAGTTTATCTCACTAAATCGGGATAGACTAATTCGGACACCTCTTTCCGATAGCTATACCTGGGTTATAAAGCTATAATAAAGCGCGTACGTTATAGGTGACTAAGGCCTTGATTAATAGATCATCACTTAATCTATATCACCTTCGAATTCGTCGAATTTTATAAAGGAAATAATATTATTCCATAATATTTCGTGCCTTACTCGACTTATCTATATTAGCTACTTAATACCTAGGGCTTTTTAAGCATAAAATATTACTTTAAAATAGTAAATACCAAGGTTATAGCGTAGCGTAGAAGTAACAAAAATATGATTTTTTCTAGGATATTAATACGATTCGGCGACGCGTATTAAAGTCTAGAATAATAGGTAATAGTCTTATAATACGTAGGAGGGAGAAAGAAGAAGAGTCGAAGCTTCGCGTATAGCGGAAAGATACTAAATAGATTGCTACGGATTTAGTAGGCAAGGAACGCATAGAATCCCGTAGATTCGGTGTTGATGATGAGGAAATAGCCCTGAACTCATTAAAAGGCTCTATTATATGGATTCCTAGCCATTATTTGTTACAATTGTTGATTTAGTTGAGAAATTGAGATTTTTTCATTTTGGCTGAGGGGCACCCCCTACCTAGAATGGGTGGGGGGGTGACCCGTGACACGGCTATATATTTTATTGTACATTAAATTTAAAATTATACAATAAGATTAGCGACCTAAAATAATATCTTTAGTTTAAATTACTTTATATTCTATAGCTTTAACTTTACTAATGACTTATTATTGGAATCAAGTAAAAACGATAAAGAAATGGATATCTCTTGAATAGTAGTCTCATGCTAATTCTAGGAATCATAGTTTAGTCCACTCACTATAATATGTATTTATTATCATTATACACGCTTTACTAGTGTAGTCTTATAATAAAATTGATATTTAAGAATTATATAAAAAGATGACAATATAATAAATATAGTCTAGTGGTAAAATGCTACCCTCCCCAGCCGCCCTACGATAAAATACAACTAATATTTTAGTCATATTTATTTTATATGGCTTGGGGGCACTCGGTACATAGTTTTTATGCTAGTGTATTTAATTGAGATATATCATACCCATAGGCTCTATTTATCATATATTACCTACAGACACCTACAATTTATGATTTCTGTAGGGGATTGCTAGTAAACTTAGGTACCCTAGGTGTGGATAGATCCTATACCCTTGGCAAAAGTCGGGCTATTAGTGGCTATAAAGCGAGGGTTAATAATTAATCTGATTTGTTAGAATTCTAAGGATTTACTACTACTATAGCGTATAATTCGAGATAAGCAATAGTATTTTAAAGCCGCTATAGTAGTACTAGTAGATTAGTTAGATTTAATTAGGGGTGGCTTTTTAGTAGTAAAATACATATATAAATTGAAAATTATTTCTAGAAATATCCATAAGTTCAAGGTATAATATGGAAGTAGTAATATTAGAGTCTACGAATTACTGTAAATATAAGGTTTATATAATACTACGCTAGTCTCGGAGTTTAAACAGGTAAGCGAGATAGAATCATAATAAAGAGATATATATTGTAGAAGGTAGTCTACACGCTGATTCCTAGAATCGGCGCAGGCTTACTGTTTATCCCCTACCTGAGTCTGCTAGCAATCTGCTAGGTAAATCATGTACCCTGAGTATGTAAGTCCTCTAACTCCATCGTTCCATCAGATGAAAGTGATACGACTGCGAAAAAAATGGAATGCTTTAATTAATTCTAACTGACAGAGCCCAGGGGCATAAAATACCTCGATTTACTATGCTGCCACATACTAAAATTGTAAACCCTGACGAGTTCATTAAGATGCCAAGAATCTAGCGCATTTTTGGGGTAAAATATGATGTAAATTACATTACTCAAAATGCGCTCCAAATCGATCAACTTCATAGCGCTGATAGCATGTTTGGGGGGGGGGGGGGGGGGGGGAGGGGCTTTTAGCACTACCCTATCTATATTAACCTGAAAAAAAAATATAACTAAATAAACGTTGTTTACTACTAGGTGGCTACTACTACCGAGTAGCCCCCTTACTAAAAATGCATTCATTAGTTTATATACTATTTATTATCTTAATTTAAACACCATTAAATCAAATTAAAGATCTATATAATATACGCTTCTTATTATAACCCACTAGGAGAGCTTAGTGTCATAGCCAGCATAGTTTGATTGGAGTCAAATGGATATATTTGCCTGATTTGACAGGGAGACTGCTCCGAACGATACACGGTATACGGTGGCTGCTAGTCACTAAACTAGCTAGTGAGTCCTATATCATCGTTAATAAGTTAAGTTGTCCATGATTTGTAAGTAATTTAATGCATTCTCTAGTATATAACGTCGCCCAAAATCTACGAAATGTTAAGTTCCATATCTTCACCCTTTCTTTGGCCCCATACTCTCTTTAAATGAATATGGAAGAATTTGACCTGTGAGAGATAATAATCCATTGCTAGGTAGATAACCTACTAAATAGTTCATATATAGATAGATAGAAGAAAGATACCATAACAAGGAAATGTAAATTCTATTGTTGGGGGGAGGGTATGTTTTTTTAGTACTATACAAGAAGCAGAATCACATCCACCGATACTTGGAATATCAATTGAGTACGAGTCTTCTAATCTGTAATCCTACCGTGAATAGAAATCAGATAGGCAGGCTATCTCGTGACCGGAAAGAAAGTGGTGAATAAGGTTGTAGACCCACCCCCGCATTATCCCCAGGCTATGAGGTCACGAGTCACGCCACCTGCACTATATCTACCCACCTCCCTCAATCTACTTTCTTTCACCTTTCATCATCTGTTCAAAAGTAAGTCCCCTTGCATTGACTGGTTGCCACATACTTATTTGTTACGATGCAAGTGACTCGCTCGCACAAACTAAATGATCGCGAGTACCCAGCTGACGCCATGCTGAGTACCCGTGACAATCTCCCACGCTATTTTGCAAAGTCTGGCCCCACAGATGCTGATCCTCGTAAGACAAAGAAGGATGGCGGTGGAAAGGGTAACTGGTGAGCATTGAGCATCTAGACGGAGATTCATCTCTCTAAAGTACTTTGCCCAGGGGTCGCTCTGGTGATGAAATGCAGGATTGCGACTACAAGTTCACCAACACTCGGCGTCGCTCGAATAGCAGCACCCAGGGCCTGGCTGACTTCAGCACCAAATTTGAGGCATTTGACCCAGAGCCTGTCTTTGAAGAAGGGTTTCATGACGCCTTTGATGTGCCCGCAGGAAATGGAAGCACTGTGACCAAAGTTGAGAGCACCAGCAGCAACACCGATAGTGAGATTGATCACAATGGAGTAAATCATTAGGCGAACTCAGTCATTCTCATCTGACGGACTCTAATGGGCAGGCAACTGCTTATGCGAACAAACACTTTACAATGTAGGGATCCATGAAGCACAAGATATTGAACTTGAATTTCCAAATCAACAGACATTGAACTTTGTCAAGAGTCGTACTTTACGAAGAGTCATTACAATAGGTAACAAATGAGAAAAGACCAGTTAAAAGAGGTCCGTATTGGGGTAACGGCTCACAAATGTGACACGTCGGTTGACTACCGGATAAACCATTCAATTCTGCCATGTTCAAGTCCTTGAGTTCACAAATCATGGCTTCAAACCTCAGTTTCAGCACTACCATCCACTCCACCCGGAGCTAACTCCTGGGCCTTGGTCACTTTCAGAATATTCTGGAACCAGAAATCAAGCTTTCCGATCTCAATGTACTGGCGTAGGATGTCGTTTTCAGTCTGAAGGTCAAGCGCCAATCGGGATTTTTGCTCTGGGCGGAATCGCGAAACAAGAATGTCAGCGTCTGTATCGGTCATCAAGGCATCAGCAGGAGAAAGAGCTGCATAAATAGAAAGGTCGCTGGTTGTTTTGGGACCTGGGGATATAAAGGTTAGAATAACACGACCAACAAATGGTTGCGAACACTCACCCTCCTCTAAGCATGCGATCAAAATTTGACTGAGGGAAGTGTCACCAAGGGAGCTATCAGAATCGCCATTTGATCCTTCAGCGGCCTTGCCTCGAGCCACCCAGTCATCCTTGATCATGCATCGCCGCCATATTAGCCTTCGCAAAGCCATGAAGTATGACAAATCTCGCTGGCCATAGCGACCATGATCAAGAACCCGTAGGGCCAGATGGAACTCGCTCCTTACAATCTCATCATCATCGTTTTCTGTGTGCTGTACAGGCCCGAGCAATGTCAAGAGGTCAACCAAATCGTCAACTGCAAGAACCTGTCTGTTGACGAGGGTGAAAAGAGTATCACTCAAAACTTCACGAAGTGATGGACGATCTTCGAATAGATGTCCCCCATAGCACTCGAGCGCCAATTCAGCCTCAGCCTTTCGGTCAATTGCACCCTCCCAAACTGGTCGAAGGTGCTCATAAAGGGTATCCTGAATTCCATCGACCTCAATGTAATCCTCAAGTCGTTTGACATCCCCTTCCAAAACCAGAGAAGGTTGAGCCTGTGGGTCCATCCGCTCTTTTGTTGCTAGCTTGCTTAACTTAGCTAGCGATATTTCAACACGGTGGCTCCATAGGTCCTTTTCACAGTTGAGCGCAAGATTTTCTAGTGAGGTCGCAGCCGTGTCAAAGTCATCTTCACCCATCACATCGTTAATCCAGCTCAAGCGAGAATACGCGGGGTTCTGCCGAAGGAACCGAGTCACGGCAGGTTGGTATTTCCGCATTGCAAGTAGCGTTCCTGGGAATCCGAACTTGATTCTGTGGGAAAAGTACGCATCCGCCCAAATGTCTCCAAACTTGTCGAAGTATGTAGGAATTAGTTGGGCAGGATCAAGCTGATCTGCACTTGTCGGCAGACCGTCTGAAGAGCCTTGAACTGGGCGGGTTTTCTTTTGATCCTGAAGCTCAACGATCAATTCAACCAAAGCATCCATATCACGGAAGCTTTCTGCTAACCTGAGAGCGTCTTGAAGATGACCAATACCGGCCAACTTAAAGAGGTACCACTTGCGGTTTTCGACATGCATATGTTCGAGCGAAGCGCTCTCATCGGCAAGCTTTGAATCACCTTGAGCAGAAAGCCATCGAGTTCGTTCCTGGTGCATTTGGCCAAGAACGCGGAGATGCCGAGCGCTGTTTGCTGCTGTTTGATTCAGAACCTGGGTATCAGGAAAATCTGCACCCGACAAATTTGCGCTGTTCCACGAACGTCGACTGTCAAGTTCCAAATCGAGTAGTTTTCCAGCTTCGATATAACCCACCCCTCTCGATGTCCAGAACTCGGGTAGAGTTTCATACCCATCGGACAGAACACCATCCTCCACAAAGTCTTCGCTCAGACCATAAAGCGCAAGATGCTCATCGCGATACCGGAAAGCTGTTTCCATGACTGCCAGAAACAGTTCACTGGCCTCGAGAATCTGCTGTGAGAGGTTCCGCGCACGCTCAGGAGACTCAAGTACATCATCGCAAGATTCAGCTCGACCGAGTTTGACAGCGTTTTTGATCCACGGAGTAATATGTTCCATGCGGTAGGAATCCATGAGGAACCATTGGCGCACCAAGTCAGTATCGCCGTTCTGCGGGTCAATTGGGGTCTTGAAATTGTTGCTCATTGACCCAATGACGTGCCCAAGGAAGGAGTCCTCATTTTTGCACTTATAGGCCTCCTGGACCTTCCACATGGCCCTTTGCGCTGCAATTTTCTCGGCAGCCCACAGGAGCTCCCATTTTGCTGCTCGACTCAAGGGGTTTCCTATGCGTAGAAGTAAAGATGTAAGGTCGTCCAATGCCTTTGCTCTCAGTCGAAGATGCTGCTCGAGTGAGATTGTAGTATTTGGAATGAACCGACATTCAGACCGAAGGAGTTCTCTGCATATTTCCAAGGATGCTTGTTCAATCTCCAATGGAGGGAAGTCTAAGTCACTTTCGCTGGACAGATCCAACGGGTTCTTTGCCATGGTGCCATAGAAAACAGCCTGCTCAAGTTTATGCTTCGCGGTGACTTGCGGCTGCTCGTAATCGTCTTCTGCATCGGGACGAGGAAGTACCGTGACACGAATCATCCCGAAATTCCGAAGCATGAGCACACATGCTGCGTAAGGCATGTGCTGTGATTGATTTTCTGATGTGGACCCCAATATTTCATGCTCTTCACCAGATCGCAAGTGAATGGTATCTTGGAAAGACAGGGGTACCTTATTTGAATCGAGAAGTAGTTGTGAGGTTGGTGTTTCCTCAACACTTGTCAATGACAGAATGACAAGAGACTGACCAACGAGAATAAAGGCAGTTGTCTCTGGTTTCGGAACATAAATCTTGGGCTTTGGGTCATCGAACATAGCTGGGATGTGGTGTAGATGCACAGGATGCGTAGAAACCACACGGGACTCAGTGCCTGACAAGTGAACTTGAACCACAAACAGGGCCTTGTTTTCTGCCCATTGGGACGAGCCAACAACCAGGAACAAGCTCCAAGATTCATCTGAAGGCTGAACAGAATCATCAGAGGATTGTAGTACAGAGAAGGAAAAGTCTAGGATTTTCAGATCTGGGTCGTTTGTCGATTTTGTTGGAATCTGAGGAAGAGCTGCCAAAATGTCGTCTTTGGCATCATATCGTTTCTTGAGGGCATTTCCGTGATTCCAATGTGTGTCCCAGATCTCAATTAGCCCAGACGAAGTCGCAATGATCACATCTCGCTGGCCGCGTTGATGGGAACCTCCAGCCCGAACAGCAGTGACTTCTTTCCTCCAGTACCCACCGCCAAGAACATTCTTGATGCCACCAAAGATCCCACCACCACTGACTCCTGCGGTACTTTTCAAGAAATTGACGAGTACTGAGGGTTTTCCTTGAGGATCCCTCAATGTAATGTGTGCTACTCGCCCCGTGGAGAATGTGGCGATGATTCCCGAAGGCTCTCCATTCAAGATTTCCGTGGCACACTCACCAGAAAGTAGGCCAGGTGTAGATCCTTGGATGCCATTTTGTTTCTGTCGGGATAAGCCCAGCGAAGCTGCACTGGACACAGTCTCCCAGTAAATAATCTTCCCAGTAGAAGGAATGATCACTAGTAAACCTGGGTACTCTCCAGTAGCTGTAGAAAGTAGAGCTCCGAGTGGGACTGCACCATTTGGGTCTCTGCATGACTCGGGAATCGATACTGTAAATGTGTCTGATGGGGACGGGGACGAGGCAGATACAGAGTAGGGCCATACTATGGCATGTGAATGAGTTAGAGCTAGCGCGTGGTCATGGCTAGCTCCAAAAAAGCACCTGAGCGGTTCTGCTTTCAAAGTGTTAAAAAGCACACCATATAAGAGAAGACTAGGGGCACTGAAAAACAAAGACAAAGGCAGGAGTAGGAGAGGGTGACAAACCTGACTGTAAACCGCGAATTTGGTCGGGCAAGGCTGGCAGCTGATCCACATTGTAGAAATCGGTACTAGACTGATATTGACAGCATTAGCATGCTGAAATAGCAAGGCGCAAAACTGCATTACTCACCAGAACGATTGTCCCCTCGTTATTATGTCCAAGACCATCAACGTGTTTTGCAAGACGAGTCGGTAGATGTAGATCAGAGGTCGTTGGATCCGCAGGGGCATTGTCATCATTGGGAGTGGATGGTGCCAATTTGACGATGTCACGTCCTAGATTTGAGTCGGGAGGGGATTCATCGGGGCGTCGCAAAACTGAGCGCTGTCTCTTGGCTTTCGGTGGCTTGACAGAGTCATCTGAGCTTGTCCTCGGGCGCCGACGAGTATTGCGGCCACCGGCTTTAGGAACAAACATTTTCGATTTGCGCCTGACCTGGACTCGCGAATACGCGCTGGCCAATAGATAACGGGAAATACAAGGAGCGGTAGCTTCAGGTATTCTTGAAGCTGGACCTTTTAAGAAGCTGATGCAAGGCTTGTGGAAGTTCGAGAAAGGAAGAAGTCGTTCCCCAGCAAAAGATGTAAAGCGCAAGGTGATAGCATCGATCAACAACAAATGGCAGATGTCCGAAGGCGGTGAGGGACATGCATGAACTCCAGCCGTCTCCTTCAATTGTAGAACCCCGAGTTGACTTACATCATTCAAAGCTCATCTAACGTTAACTTAAAACTCTAACTAAATTCATGAATTTAGGCCAATCCACCATGAGGTCTGATATCAACTTTGGGGAAGGGGCCTCCAAATTTCCCTACACTGTTTTCCCACGCTACTACTGTTCTTGACTGTGTAGTTTAACTCATAATTCTTAGCAAATAGACTTCAAACTCTGGGGTCTTCCTATTCTCCCTTGGATTCAGATCAATTTCTCTATACGTACAGAGTGCTACAAGGGAAATTATTTTGTATGTGGAGATACTTCGCATCCGATTACCCCGAAATGCTCACGTGAATACCCCACGCGGAGTCCCCAACCCTGCGATGACAATTCCCCTGATGTTCATGGCATATAGGCTGCCTCTCCGACTTCACAACCCAGCCATCATGCTCATATGCTACGTTGATATGGTCCAGATCAAGGCCTCAAGGGTTGCCGTATATTTACAAGTCTAACATGATGCTCTCACAATTACCGCGTCTCACGGGTCATCTCCGACTGAATTCCATGCGCGCCGGATTGCAGGGTGCCGCCAGATTGAAGCCCACGTTTACTCCTTCCCTGTTTCCCGCACGAGATCTGCATACAGCTTTATTCTTCCCAGGTTCGCTTTACCCGCCCCTTCTATTTCAATGTCGAGGAGGCAAGCTGACACACAGTAGGACATGGAGTTCAACGGGTAGGCATGGCCAATGCCTGGATTGAAAGCTTCCCTCACACGGCCGCCCGGGTCTTGGACGAGATGGACAGCACCCTTGGGCTCAAGTTGTCTAGCATCATATCCGATGGACCTAACTCTAAGCTGAACAAGACTGAAAATTCGCAACCCGCAGTTATGGCAGTCTCGGTTTTGATCCTTCGCATTCTTGAAGATGACTTCGGATTTGACGCTAAATCTCGAGTGGACGTCATGCTTGGACACAGCTTAGGAGAGTTCTCTGCACTGGTCGCTGGTGGGCATCTTAGATTCGGTGATGCCCTCAGATTAGTCCGGCGTCGGGCGGAGATCATGGCTCAGTGCACACGAACCTTGGCTGAGAAATCCGGGGAAACCTATGGAATGGTTGCACTTCTTTGTGAACCCGAACATTTGGACAGTCTACTTCGGACGGTTCAAGAATTCCTAGGACTTGAACCCCCCGGTATCGAAAGTGACATGTATCACCCGGTTCCAGCAATTCAGCAGGTGGTGGTTGCCAACATCAATTCAAAAAACCAAATAGTCTTGAGTGGCAGCCTGGACCGAATCAAATCACTTTTGGTCCAACTGCGTCAATTTGGAGGACATGATCCACGGGCCGTCAGATTGAAGAGTGACAGCCCGTTTCATAGTCCCTCTATGGCACTAGCTGCTGATTACATGAGGAATGCACTTGAGCAAGTTGACATCACATTCCCAGCTTCAGTCCCATGCATATCAAACGTTTCCGCCTTGCCCTTTCGTTCCAAGGAAGATTTAAAAAATCTTCTCTCGCGGCAATGCACCGATACAGTAAGATGGTGGGACAGCATACGCTATCTTCACCAGGAGCGAGGTGTGAGGCGTTGGATTGGAATCGGGCCAGGAAAAGTTGGCAGGAATTTGGTTGGCAAAGAGGTTGGTAGAGTTGATGCCAAAGGTGGAGGAGTGTGGGCTGTCTGTGATCCTCGTGAAATGTCAAACATCATGATCTCCTTGGAGCAGACCGAAATGGAAACCATGAGCCACCAACGATTAACCTGATGCCAATGCTGGCCTCTTCTCCATATTTCAGTTACTTTGATAGTCGAGAAATGAAAGTCTCAAATTGATCAAAGCTCAGGCATGAGATGTGAATTTTGTGAAATCATTATTTTCAGATTTGAATGCAAATAGCACTACCACTTGGTGGGATGGATACCTGGTTAGCTTTCCTCTTCTGTTCTCCAAACCCCTATAGGCTTTTGTATGATCACACGTCCGTGCAATCTTGGATATCATTATCTTGTCCTTCCATTATACCACGTTTCCGGGTGCCCATGATTCACCAATACGCTTCACATCCGTAATGAATTTTTGATTAGATATTTGTTGGCAAACCGAGCCAGAAGCAGCTTTATTGCCAGGAATCGGTATGTGATCGTCGGGGGAGTAGAATGGATTTTGCAAGAGCTGAATATACGCACTTTGCAACGCTCGGAATGCCTATATTCAATTGTGAGTCAATGTGATTTACCACAGACAGCTTCTGATGGGAACTCTTCAAGCTCACCGGCTTCATGTCAGAATCCCTCAAGCCACTTATTGCAGGACCAGCTGTTTTCCCAGCACTACCAGCCTCTTCCGAGCCGAACACGTCCACAATGATCAAAAGCTTGACCCCCGTTGTTGTCAACCAACCATATGCAGCGAGTCGTTCATCAATTGCATGTAAAAGCCCAAGATCCTGATCAATAGAGGTGTGCTTGCACCGGATGTCAAATATGTCGAGGCAGGAGTTGAGCAAGAAAGAGAATTCAAGCGTAGAATCACAATAGGGAGGAAACAAGGAGACGTGAAGAGGATTGTCCTAAGTATTAAACGTTAGATAGCCAGACCAGGATCCGATCAGCATGTCAATACCCACTGCCTTTCCGATCACACCAATACAGGCAATCCTGGGACCTGACATATTACCGAAAGTCTCTGACGTTCTCAATGACAATGGAGTGGGAATTCTTGCTGTGTCTTAATCGGTCAGTTATGAGGATCAAGAGAGCTTAGGTGGAGTGGAGGGAAAGAGGCAGAAAGAGAACAGAAGAGCCAATGACAAAACAGGCAATTCGATTTACGAGCATCTCACCGCCTTTACAATACCCCTTGTCTTGAATGAAAAATACCAGTTTTTAACCAATAGTCATCGAGATAATAGCTTACATCATCCTCTGTAAACCAATACTATACCATCACTCTTCTTCCCACTGGAACCCCAAAAGTCCTCGTCTGCAGCACCCGGAGCCCGCCACATCTGCTCTCTTCATTTAGGTGTCGCCACCGACGAGAGTCCTAATTGACTTCTCTCTTCCAACTCCCTCCTCCTTATCTTCAGTTCGTGTTCAAAAAGCGACAATGCTGCCCATGGCGAAGCCCGCCATTTCTGGCGCTCTGTTCGGTAGGCGTCTCCTCTTCTGGTTGCCAATGCCTACCCCCACTGACTGAAAACAGCTGCGCGACCTCGCCTTGCACTTTCTCTTCCTCGGGCTCAGCCCCTGGCGGCCCTTTCGACTTCCTCGGTCAAATCAGCAACAGCCCTCGAGCGCCGAACATCAACAGGCCAGCAATTGACCGCGTCAGGCAAGGCTCGGAAGGAAGTGCCTTTGCCAAGTCAGGAGAAGAAGGAGGGTGCTATGCAATATGTCTTGTTCGTTTTCCCATGGGTTTATCTTTTCTCAATGGCTTTCGCTAACCTCTATGCTAGGACTACCCTTGATCAGGTTGCCAACTGGGCTCGTCAAAGCTCCCTGTGGCCCATGACTTTCGGTCTTGCCTGCTGTGCCGTAGAGATGATGCACTTGTCTACTCCCCGTTATGATCAGGATCGCTTGGGAATTATTTTCCGTGCCTCTCCGCGTCAGTCCGATGTGATGATTGTCGCTGGTACACTGACAAACAAAATGGCCCCCGCTCTCCGTCAAGTCTATGACCAGATGCCCGATCCTCGATGGGTTATCAGCATGGGAAGTTGCGCCAACGGTGGTGGCTACTATCACTACAGTTACTCCGTCGTACGAGGCTGTGATCGGGTTGTGCCGGTTGATGTCTACGTCCCTGGATGTGAGTACTATGTTTAATTTCACTCTTATGTACGATTTGACTAACAGAAACACCAGGCCCACCCACATCTGAGGCATTGATGTATGGTATCTTCCAGCTGCAGAAGAAGATGAGGCATACTAGAATCACTCGCATGTGGTACCGCCGTTAATTATTGAATAATGGTGCGGAGGGTCGTTTCTTTGCCTCTTCAAACATAGTGCATGGTGAAATTTTAAGTGACTCAACCCAACCGCCGTGGAGTCTCTCTGTGTGTCTTTTTATTTTGTATATCAATATCAGGCTTCAGGATTTGATACATTGCTTTCGTTCTGTTTTTTTTTTGTGATTTTGGACTATGCTACCTCTTTTGGTCAATCATCAAAACTTTTGATTCAAACTTTCTAAAGCTTTCCTTTCACTTTCTAACGAAACAAGGACACTTGCGACCTCTAATTTTTCTCATATGGTTGCTGTTGATTTGCTGATGCTAGCCTATAAATTGGATTATCCGGGCATCTACTCATTCAAGTTACTGTTTGGATAAAGTTGACTTATTTGATACTAACCTAAAAAGTGTACAAGGTATACATGTGTGGGGACTTCGCTTTGGCTCCGTCTAGCCGTTGACCATAACACCTCCATTGGGGTGCAGACACTGTCCAGAAATATAGCTACTATCTTGACTTGCGAGGAAGACGAAGCATGTTGCAACCTCGCTGGGCTGACCTGGTCGGCCAATTGGCACTGCATGGAACTGTTCCATGGCAGAGGAGTGCATAGTGGATGGAATAAGAGGCGTCCAAACTGTCTCAGGGATTAGCAATTGGCTACCAGGCAGCGTATAGTATATTGCAAGACCTACTTGGGCCCGGACAGACACAATTGACTCGAATACCTTTCTTCACCTGCTGGTTAGACAATGCGCGTGTAAAGGCGACAATGGCCCCTTTGGTGGATGTGTAGTCCAAGAGATCGCCTCGGCCAATGTAAGGATTGACAGATGCACAGTTGATAATGGTGGACCCTTTCTTCATATGAGGAAGGGAGTATTTGGATAAGTAAAAGAATGAATGAATGTTGGTATCAAATGTCCGCTCCCATTGATCCCTATCCGGTATTAGCATAGATCTAAGCCGCCAGGAAGAGAACATACTCATCCAACTCACTGATATCACTCAGCATTTCTTGGAAGGCGGCGTTGTTCACGAGGATATCAATGCCACCCATTTTATGCAGAGCCACATCAATGATCTTTTGGCAATTCTCCTTTTTACGGAGATCGATGGCCAAGCAATGACACTGCTGGCCAAGCTCTTCTACCCTCCTCTTTGTCTCCAGAGCATCCTTTTCCTCTTCTGGTAAGTATACAATCACACTCGATGCACCCTCCATGGCAAACAAAATAGTGACAGCTCTTCCAATTCCAGAGTCACCTCCGGTGATGATCGCCTTCTTGTCCTGGAGCTTTCCGGCAGCTTTATAGATCTGGTAGCCGCCATCCTCGGTTGGGATATGAGCCGATACGGGCTTGGGATCATCCATGTCAGCCTGAAGACCTGGTTTGGTAAGATGCTGAACAGGGATTTTGTGGCCTATTGAAGTTGATTGACATTAATTTTGCATCTTCAGTAGCCTGCAGTGTTGCTCACCCGGTTCGAATTGGGATTTAGATCCACTGGCTGGTCTTTCCGTATACTGAGCAACTGGCATAATGATGGTTGGTGAATATGAATTGATATCCTAGTGTATCCTTATTTGATAGATAGATCTGTGCAGAGTATAATCAATGCAAACCGGGCCACTATATAAGACACTCTACTCCGCAAGACCTGGCCCATCGTCACTATGACAATCATCTCAGGATTCCAAAAAACTAGATAGGCTGGTAGTGGCATCGGATTAATTAGGAAGTTTGGGCTACCAGAGAAATCTCTATGTTGGCCTTGCTGTGTGGCTAGGTACTGTCCACATTGGGTCCTTCAATGTTTTCGATGCTTGCCATTGACAAGTGTCCTCCCTGGGGCCAACTATATCTCCCAATCATAACTATTTGGCTGATGTATGAGTGACGCATTTTGTTCATTCTAGACGAAATTATATATCTAGAACAATCGATCTATGAAGTTGCCATCAAAGTTACGTACATGATGGAAGATTGGCGTCATAACAGCATAGGAACCCACGTGAACGTACAGTATATATACTTAGATTCAACATATTGAGGATCAAGCTGGGTACTTGTCAACCTAGGTGAGCATGTCAACTTGTGTCTTTAAGTACTCGCTGAAGTCCTACAATTATTTCGAGTGGATAATATAGACTGGGTGGACTCCGGGATGTACCCTGATATGAATACATGAAAGCCACCATGATAGTTTTCAAGCAACATGGCACTCCTTGAACAAAATAACCAAATTATCACCTACATGCCTCATTCATATGTCTCCAGGGCTGTTCTGTTAGAACTTGTCAGTTCGTGTATACTCCTTATCTTATCAAATTGCCGTTTGATTGGCTCACCGCCCGTACACCTTGATAATTTTTTCCCGCTTGTCGCATTTCCTTGATAGACATTCTTTCGCAATGGGGAAGGCTGCCACTCAATTAGAAATGCCTCTCTCCTCCGCCCTTTCCTCTCCATGGGGGTTTTTACGCCCCACTAGCGATTTACACACCACTGTTGTGGATTCTGCGAAGCACATTCTGGACTCTCTCGCTGGCTCTGTCGTGGACGCCCAAACCACTCGCCGACAACTCAACAAAAAGCGCAAAAGGTCAGACGCTGAACCTGATTCAGCTAATCTCCAGCTAAAGAACCTTTATGTGGATGGCTTCACTTCGAATCAAATATGGGAGCAGGCAACCCGAATTCTCGAGTCAACTGGCGATGAAGTCGAACGTGATATCACTTTGATCACCCAACACAGTGGTTATTTGTCGATGTCGGATGATGAACAGGCTCATGATGCGTCGGACCCCGAGGCCGCGCAAACCGATAGTGACAGCAATGAGAGCATGTTAGAGGACATTTCTGAGGCTTCGGATGTCGAAGACAATCTCGAAGAAGAATCCACGATGGGATCTGACGATGTGGACCAAGAGGATGAGATGGAAGACTGGGATGACGAGAAATCTTCTATTGGCTCTACGGAACAGGAGCCTGAAGTCTATGTCGAGGACAGGTTCGGATTGAACGATGGATTTTTCTCTATCGACGATTTCAATAAGCAGTCCGAGGCTTTGGAGCGACAGGATGTTAAGGGAGGCCCCGAGGAGGGCGAGGACAGCGATGAGGAGGATGTGGATTGGCATACAAACCCGTTAATGTCTGGAAGCGCCGCGCCTGTTCGCAGCGCTGACACACCGAAGAACCCCCGCACGACCGGGGAAAATGAGGACGACATGGATGACAGCGAAGAAGAAGGACCGACCTTTGGAAATGCTGATCTAAACGGCGACTCCGACGATGACGACGACGACGACGACGCCATGGATATGGATGCCGGTGATGCGGTTGGCTGGGCGAACACCAGTGATATCAAATACGCCGACTTTTTCGCGCCTCCGCCACGTAAAGCATCCTCTAAGAAAATGCGCGCGCTTCCCAAAACCCAGCCTGATGCGCCAGTGGAGGACGATGATGTTGACCGTGCCATGGCCGATGTGCGACGGGACTTGTTCGACGATGATGATGCTCTAAGTGCCGAGGAGGATACCGCTCTTGATGAATCCGGAGACCCTGGTGCTCCACGTTCCACACACGAGAAACAAAGGGCACGGATTGCCGATGAAATCCGTCGCTTGGAAGCGGCCAATGTCGCAAAGAAAGAATGGATGCTTGCTGGTGAAGCCAGGGCTGTCGAGAGACCTGTGAACTCCCTTATCGAAGAAGATCTTGACTTTGAACGTATTGGAAAACCGGTTCCCGTGGTCACCAACGAGACGACCGAGGACATTGAAGAGCTTGTCAAGCGCCGGATTCTTGCCGGAGAGTTCGATGAGGTCATTCGTCGTCGGCCAGGTGCATCAGACGCACAAGCTACACGAAGGGGCCGGTTTGAATTGGATGATACCAAACCCCAACAGGGTCTGGCCGAGATGTATGAAGCCGATCATCTTCGTGCTAACGATCCAAACTACGTTGATTCGAAGGATCGTAAGTTGATGCGGGAGCATACCGATATCACCAACCTTTGGAACGAGGTCAGCTCCCAGCTGGATACGCTATGTAACTGGCACTACAAGCCTAAGATCGCACAGGCCAGCATCAACGTTGTCACCGACGCACCCACAATCATGATGGAGGAGGCACGCCCCACAGCTGGCAGTGCTGCCGCCGGACCGGTGGGACTTGCACCGCAGGAGATCTACACTCCCGGTGATGGTGATCGGGTCGCAGGAGAATTGGTGATGAAGAACGGGGAGACCATCTCCAAGGATGAGATGACCCGCGAGGAGAAGGCCAAGATCAGAAGGCACAACAAAAAGACCTCGAAGAAGGCCAACGCCGAACCCGCTCGCCAACAGCCTGGCAAGGCAGCTGAAAAACAGCAGATGATGTCCGACCTAAAGAAAGGAGGAGTCAAGGTCATTGACAAGGAGGGTCGCGTAACAGACATCAATGGTGGCGCTGTCGACGCAGGCACCAAAACCAGAGGAGACACATTGAAATTGTGAAGAGTTGTGGGAACGGGCAGATTGGGGGGGTGTAAAATTATAGATTTAAATCTATTTTGTTCTAGCATTGCACATATCATAACATGTCTCTATTCTTTTGGTGGACTAGACTTTTTGCCCGTATTGTGTAGAGAAAAATGTTTTCTCTGTTGTAACTCTCTGCGCCTGGGTCATCCCGGATTTGCTCCATATCGAAGGCCTTCTTGGCCATCTTCATGAACCGCAAGTCGGCACGTCTGCGGCGCTTGTAACAGAAGTAGCAAACCGAGTTGGGACCAAGAAGGTCCTGGAGTGTGGTGATCAAGAGTGGGAATGCTGGCTCGAAGTAAACACAGTCGGCAGCGAGAATCACGTCGGGTTTCGATGGTACCTGGTTTGGGATCGGTTCTCCCCAGTTTAGTATCGCAGCAGTCGCATTCGGGGTGAGGTTGTTTAGTTCAATGTTGGCTTCCATTAGAGAAAACATAGGTTCTTGGTCTGTGATATAGATCGGATTTTCAAGACGACACGCGCGTGCTATGGCAAGACCCACGAGTCCGCCTCCTGCGCCAAGTTCAACACTGCTGGTTGTTAGGAACCCACAGATGACAGCGATAAAATTCTTGGAACCCACATTGATTTATCAGATAGATCAGTGGCATGGCGACTCAAGAGGTATTTGGCCAAAACCATCCCTGCAGGCCACAATTGTCCACCGCATCCATCTTTGAGGTCTTCCTTTAGTAGCAATGGTTCTTTCAAGAGCCCATCAAACGTGAGTTCAGTGGTCACGGCGGATCTTTTTTCCCGGGAGGGGGCCAAAGATTCACTGATGTCAAATTCAGACGTTTGACTCGGAGAACTGGGCGTTTCTATCATGGTTGGGGCTTGAAGGAGAAATGAAGAAAGTTTTGGTGGGGTGTAAACTTGCCCCGGCGTCGCAAAATAAGGATCACATAATCAGTGGCGATTCCCAGTGTTCTAAATATTTCCAGAACTACCTCAGTAACCAGTGAAAAATTCTGGACTTATAATTGACAGTCAGAATATGTTGGTATCTCCTACAGCCTACTTAACTGACTACATCTATAAACCTCTTGCTGTCAATCAAGAAATAAGCTCGGGCCCGTGCGAAGATCCTTCGGGGCTCCACCAAAAATCAATGCATGTAGACATAGTATGACATTTGGGTTAGAATTTAAAGCATAACATGATGTAGGAGTCTTGAAAGATACTATGATCCTCTCAGTAGGGCGGTCTCGTATGAAAGCTGTATGTAGCATGGTATCAATGGGGGATTCAACTTGCGAGTCTGTATACCTCGGTGGATCTGTATAACTTGACCTTCACCTAAACAACCTTGGAACATAATGCCCATGATCAACAAAGCAGACAAGTGACAAAAAAATATTAGATGCACCAATTTAGCCACAATTGATTACACATGAAAACATGGCAGGCCAAGTCTGAAGTTTTTACTGCGCATGAACAACAATGGACATATCAAGTGACCGGGGCAGTAAAAAGAGCAATTCAAGTTGGAATGGTGATGTCAATTTCGTGTTCATTTACATCCGATATTGTAAGTTTAAGGTATACAAACATGGCACTGATCATAACGTCTGCGTATAGAAGTAGACATATTCCAAGCTAGAGCTGAACAAGAGTCATCTCATTTAGTCGAAGGGGTGAGTGCGTGTTCCCCACCAAGTCAAGAACAAGCTGAGTCCGACGGTTTCAAATACCCTCGAAACAGCACCAACAGCGACAGTGTCCAGGGGACGTTTCTCGGCAATGACTTGGCTCACGAACTAGGTCACAGTCAGCAGGTATACCGATAAGAAGATAGAGAACATACGCTAGGAGCAGATGTTGCGAAGAAGATGAGTGTTCCCAGATAGGCAGCTCCCTTGTAGCTCAGGGTTCCAGTGGCGTTGATCAAGGCAGCCACACCATAGGTCTGCACGGCACTTCCAGCGAGAGAGCTTCCCCAGGCTGCAGCAGCACCGGCAGCCTCCTTCGACTTGATGAACTCTTCCTTTGAGTTGGCAGCCTGAGCACGGTGGTATGTGTCTCCGAAGACGGGGGCGAGAATACCCAGAGAGGCAGTGTGGGTGAAGATTGTGCCCAGCGCAATGGCGGAGGGCTTCACGGGAGGGAGATCTAGACCTTGTAAGTATAAACTTCGGTATCTGCCAGGAGATACTCACAGTGCAGAGTAGTCATTGTAAATTGGATACAGAGTATGTAGATGGAAAAAACCGAAGTTCCCCGGAGCGCGCTTTATGAATGCAGGGTTAGCAGAGTGACGTCGTCATGATTCAGAAGAGGCTAAAGTTGGGGAAGGCCATGACGTCAGCTCGCAGCCGTACAAGGAAGCTGTCTCTTGCATAGCAGGAATATTTGGAATATATGAAATCAAGGAATGCTGGCGGACTGCTTCACTATCTGTTAGAAGGGTTGATTACACCGGGCTCACCATTGCTCGTAAGATAGGATTGACTATGTACAATATACCTAGGCACTCAATGATGGCTTATATCGTAAAATAGGGATAAGAGCATCGAACCGGGCTGTCGGAAGTCTTTTGAAATTCTTTTTCTCTTCAATGAAATACTTGCTTAATTTCAATTGCTCAGGCCATCTAGACAAAACCGGGCATACTCGAGGTTACATTGGCCCCCTCACATTAATAGCCCAAATGCAGACCTGAATACACTGGAATGGGGTAATTTATTCATGACGATGGATGTTAAGTTGATATGTCACAAATACTTGTTATAACAGGTCATAGGTTAGCCCGATCTGCTGGGTACTATCTATGCAGGCTGGGGTTAGAGTGTGGAGAGTGATCTGCAGGTTAGCCGTTCTGATTGTCTCTTTGATACTGTTCCCCTTCGATTCTATTCTCGCAATCTCCTCTGCCTTATTCTAAGTTTTTGCCTTGGTTCTAGAGAGCAGGAAGATGACTGATTGCGCACATCCAGTGATACGGGATGGTGATCCCTTGGGACATAATTCTCTTCTAATGAGATCTTTATACACGATCCTGCGGATTCGATCAAAAAATAAAAATAAAAAAGGCCGGGGATAGCTTAAAAAGAGAGAAGTAAGAACAATGGATTGATTTATGCAGACATGATCAAACAAAGGTGCGGCAGGGATATCTGTAGAATGATTAGTTTCAAACAGTCAATGAGAAGTGAATCAGATCTTACTTTTCGGGGTAGCCATTCTCGGTGCCAAGCTCATACTTGGACTGTGAGCTCTGAGGGACAGTGTTGATGTTGCAGGGAGTGGGAGGCAGACCATTGGTGCCAAACACACCCTGGATGCTTTTCTTGTCTTGCTCGAACAGAGCAGCCAAGCCTCGCTCTTCACCCTGTTCCTTGACAGCAATCAATTGCTGCTCGCCAGCCTCTCCAATCTTCAGAATATCATCCTTGGGAGCTGCCTGGCTTCCGACGGTGAGCAGACTGACTGCATCGGCCTGGCGCACAGTGCTCAGCTGAGGGTAGCTCCGGCGGACATCCCGCTTCCAGTAAGGATTGTCGGCAATGTCGCCTGCCGGGAGGGTGACCGGGTCGTCGTAGGCTAGAGGAGGCACCGAACCGGGGGTAGGAAGGCGGAACTGAGAGTTCAAGGGGATACCAGTTGAGCGCTCAGGGTCAATAGCCAAAAGGCGACGGATGCGCTCCCAGACACCAGTAGACTGGACTGTGTATTTCTGACCAGAGATTTAGTAAATGGCCAGCATTGAATAGTGGAATTCCTACCTGGTTAATAGAAACAGCGTTTGATGCCGCCTTGGCGACGTTCAGGGCACCGCGAGCCATGGTGAAAGACTCTGCTCTATTGCTCAATGTCAGCGCATTGTCGGAAGAAAACACTTGAGAAGATGAATTAACATGTATTTGCTCAAGAGATTTTGACTTACAACCTGGAAGCTTTGGAAATCGTCAAGCGTCTGCGAGCGTTTCAACCAAGCCGGTGCAGGGTAACTCCGGAGGTGCGATCCCCGGCACGGATTATCATGGCCCCGAGCCACACAGCATCTGGTATTACTAATTCAGAATACACCTGACCTGGAAGCCCTGCAGTAGACTCCTCTTTTATCCTTGGTGTCAACTCAATACATGTACTAACAATGTTGGCCGAATTGCCCACAGTAAAGTGTCATCATCTACGGGATGATTCATAACGTATATTATAACGCTCTAACTGCCCCAATGAAGAGCGGGAGTAGAACGTAAGACATTCAAACCATATCCAATGTAAATCACAATCTCAATAAATGGATATTTTCTACTTTACGAAGGATACACCTTCTTCAGAGTCTCAGAATCCCCTTTTAGAAAAGGATGAGCTTCTTCAAAGTCGAGAATGAGCTGCTTGTGCTTCTGGCTTCGTGGAACAACTGCAGCCTCAAACAAAACAGGGTGACTTAGAATGCCCGGGGTAAAATCAATGGTTGGTTCGATTTGTTTCCCATCTCCCCCAATAGGCTTCTTGATATCAAACACAGCTAGTGTATGTGCAATCATCAAAAAGATGGAGGTTTCAGCAATCAGACGCCCAGGGCAGACTCTACGGCCAAAGCCAAAGCTCACATCTCCAGGGTCTATCGCAGAGGAAAGAAATCGCTCTGGTTGAAACTCCCGTGGGCTAGGATAAATTGAAGAGTCATTATTGAATGACCTGTACTTGTCAGAGAACGAAGGCAAACAGGGAAATAGAGAAGAGTCAATACCAGATGTTTGGCACAATGATTGCATTCTTGGGAATCAAGAAACCGTTGATGAGGTCGTCCTCATCTGTTCTATGGGGAATTCCCAGAGGCGCAACACTGTGCCATCGTATGGCTTCTTTCACAATTGCATTCACATAAGGTAATTTGTCGCGGTTGGCCACTGTTGGAAATGTAGGCTTGCCAAATATTGTGTCCATCTCGACTTGAGCCTTGCGTTGAACATCAGGAAACAACATCATTGCTAGGAAAAATCCTTCTAGAATTGCAACAGTCTATGAAAGACATCAGAATCAACCTTGCTAGGAGCCTACAAACACATACCGTATCGGACCCACCGCCATACATGGCTACTGCCGACCATTTGATGATTTCTTCATCTTCTCCTTGTTTGAGAAGGGTTGATACAAAACATCTTCGGTCTTCTGTGTTCATTTGAAATTTTGCAAATGCAAATGGACTTTCTAGCAGTTTGGTGAGTGTCTCAAAATGGTCACGAGCAATGCGTTGGAAATTAGCCCCCGGCATCCATTCTGGGACATATTTCACTGGACCACAATGAGCTTCAAACCCGAGAAACTTATAGGACAAACTGACAAGCCGGTATCAAATCTACTAACCATGCTCCTGGAACGACGGCGTCTGAAAATTGTTTGAGTGCATGATCAGCCAAACATACTAGCGGGTCTTCGCCATGAGGCTCGATGTGATAGCCATATGTTATATTCAAGATGAAAGCACCGGCCGCCCTGTAGACATTTGATCAGCTTGGTTAATAATGGGGTGTTTTCTTGCGTACGTCCTGTTATGTCGGAGGAGCTCCTTAGGCTCTCGGAATACACGAGATATAAACCGCCGTGTCTCCAATTCAAGGAGACCATTGAATTTGGATGCGGACTCTCGTGTGCCGATGACTCTCGTCACAGCTCGTCGATACGCTCGAAGAAGTGGTGTATTATCCTGGCTTGATAGGAGTTTGCCCCATCCAGACCTTCTTTTAACTCAGACATGTCGTTTGTGGGGAGACCATCCGACTAGGACTCACAGTTCATCGGCGAAGACAAGGCGTGGCCGTGATGAGTGCTTTGCAGAATTCTTTTCTAGGATTTGAAATGCCAAATCTCTATCATTGATTATGATGATGGTCTGTCCTAGGACGGTGATCGAACTGAGAGGACCTGCTAGAACTTAGCTTGGTGGTAAAAGTCCACAAGAAAACCCACCATATAGATCTTTGTGCTTGAGCCAATGTTTCCATTCTTGCATTCCCGGCGGTGGAAGGTCGAAGAAATTACCAATGAGAAATCTTCCTCTTGGTCCTGGGGGTAGATTCTTTTTTCGGTTCGTGAAAAGCTGCAGAGCAACGAGGCTCAAAGCAAAGAAAACCAAGTATAACAACATATTTGTTAGCATGAAAAGAAAGAAAACAATGAAGAGAGGGGTAAGCTCATGATAATTAATGTTAGTTGGTGCGCGCGAGACTTGATTGGTCGTTTATATATGTATGTACTTGGACACTGCCAATAAAACACGTCACTTGCCTTGAGAACCCGACTGTAGGCTTTGTGGCACGCCTGAATTGACCCATATAAAATGCCAGCAATATTGATTGCTTGGGTTGTAAGGTCTAGATGGTTATTTGATGAGGTTGAAACGGTCTATAAAAGTCACCGTCGCACATGTATTGCCTGGTTGGTATCTTAATATCGCTGATAATAATGTACATGCGTGAAATCACTCGGTTTTATCGTCTTCCTTGCTGCCATCCTTAGAATTGGCAACAATCTTCTGGACTGCATCAACAGTTGCATCTGGGCCACCGGCCTCTCGAAGTAAGACTTTGCCCTTCTTATCCACGGCAAAGACCCCGCGGGTTGTTCCCTTGGGAGACTTCTTAAACCCAATGGCTGCAATCAAAGTGGCCTTAGGGTCACAAATCAGAGGATATGGCAGGTTTTGTCTTGTCTGGAAGGTAGTGTTGGCCTTAGTAGAGTCCCCCGAGAGGCCATAAATGGCGAGACCAGTGGAGGTCAAATGTGTGTGGTTGTCACGGAACAAGCATGCCTGCTTAGTGCCTGTGTGCATGGTGAGTTAGTGTGCTTAGACGGAACCAAAATTAAGTCTTATAAGGCAGTAATGCCAACTGTCACAGCCTAGGAAATTAGGAGCATGCACCCCTCAAAAGGTCACGTTCCAGATTCCAAATTCCAGATTCCAGATTGGCCAGGGATTGAGATAGGGACTTACAGCCAGGAGTGGAGGCTTTAGGGTAAGTGAACAGCACCACACCTGCCTCGCTCTCATTGATAAGCTTCTGCAAGGTAGTTTTCACCCCATCATTGGTCTCAATCTCACCCCCAAAGGTCTCCAGGTCGATTGTATCATCGGCCTCTGGGACCTTTGGCGCGGGGCTTTCTTCAGTCTCAGCTTCAGCCTCTGGCTCCTTGGGCTTGGAAGCTGGCTTGGGGGATGGCTTAGCCTTCTTCTCTGTGGGAAGAGGTTGAGCTGGTGCCTTGCGCTTCCGGAGTTCGACCATTTTGAGGGAGTGGTGATAGTGAAGTTCTGGAAAGGGCATCAGCTCCAGGTTGGAGTAGACCTTAGTCAGCCGGGAAAACCCGCGCCCTGACCCGCGAAAAAATTAGATTTTCCCCTCGACTGACGGATCGCCCGAAATCCACCTTTCTCCATTTTTTTTCTCTGCTTTCTTACTCATATTCGCCTCCTGGTCTATCTAGAAACTTCATTCTCCCAACCTCCACCTCCACCTCACTCCTCTACTACCTCTTTAGATTCTTAATATATACACACATACTACTTCTTACTCGGCTCATCCCCTCCGGTCTTCTTGTACCCCGGCAATCATATCTCGCTCTATCGTCTGAACCCTTCCGTTTTACTCTCCTACCACTGCGACTGTCTTGAAAAGCACCAGGGTGAATCAAGGGCCCACCACAATGAAGGTTTTCTCCTCGGGATGTACTTTCGACTATTCATGGGACGAGGTGTCGACGGCAAATTGGCGTAAATACTGTCCCTGGAACGACAAGTCTACCCATGTCGTGGGAGTTGACACGCTTTCACGATCAGTCGATCCGAGCACTGGCATCGTGAGTTACTTCGACTCGATAGGAGAGACTCCGATGAATCCGAACTGACTCGTCTCTAGTTGCGAACCGAACGTCTTATCACGTGCAACCAGTCTGTACCCCAATGGGTTCTCACCTTGCTAGGTGGAACCACCACATCCCATGTCTACGAAATCTCCTATGTCGACCCCGTCGCCAAGAAAGTCACCATGTGTTCGACGAACCTCACATGGTCGAATGTCCTCAGCGTCCGCGAGACTGTCACCTATTGTCAATCCTCCCTCAGCCCGAATACCACTACCGACTTTACTCAAGAAGCAAAAATCACGGCTCTTTGCGGTGGATGGCAGAAGATCAAAAACAAGGTTGAGGATGCGAGCGTGGAACGATTCCGTGAAAATGCCAAAGTTGGTCGTGAAGGCTTCGAGGCTGTCCTTGAAATGAGCCGACGCGTCTTCGGCGAACAACGTGATCTCGAAACGCAACGAATGCAGACATAAATGACCTGCCACCAACGACATCTTTCAGTACCGTCTTTTGATACCATTTACATGAAGCGACTGCATATTCCGGCGTATGTTCTGCATTTCGAAGCATGTGGCGTGTGGAGTTTTCATTTCATCTGTCTTTCACCCTTGACTTCTGTGGGAAAAAAAAACACCACTCTCATGGCCATTAAAAAAGTTTGGACCGTTCATCTTTTCAGCGCATTGTCTTCTATCATGATTTAATTTGCCTTAGAAGAAGGCGAGCACGTACCATTAGAAGCACTCGAACTTAGATTTGCAATTCTATCATTGTACAACATAACCTTTGAAACCCAACCCCAAGCCCACTATATGCCGAGACCAAATCTCCTGAAAGCATCCAAACTCCAGATCGGAAGGTATATACGCCCCCATAAATACAAAATGCTATCCCAATAGCCCACCAAGAACCACCCGACTGACGCCAGCAACTTCATTCTTGACGCTATTCCGGCTCGCGTCTTCAAACTCCCGCACAGCACCAGCTACCATGATCTTCCGTAGCTTGGCATCGGCTTTGGAAAACGTCTCACCCAGAGCCACTGTGCAAACTGACGGGGATGACACTAGCGTAGTAAGCCGACTATAGCAGTCAATCAACACATCGCACAGGGTGGCGAACGTCTCAAAGAAGTCCGGTTCAAAGGGTAATGAGGGAGTGAGAAGATATGTATATTCTTCTCCGGGGAGAAGATCAGAAGACTCTGTCAATGGAAAAGACACAATAGAGGCCGCAGAAGAAGAAGTTGATGAAAGATTGCCTGCTGTGTTCTTCAAATCTGATGGATCACTGGACTGCATTGGGAGTCCAATCTCGGTTGCAGAACTCGCACGACGAGTCTTGGTTCCTGCATGCGCAGCACGCTTGAACATTTGTGGGATGCGCGCCCTGGCAAGACTTGATGAGGTACTCCCGTCTGGAGGATGCACTTGCTGGAAAGCCTCAAATTCCAAGAGTAGCGCATTGAGGGCCTTGAGGTATTCAAATGGAGTTGAGTTGACGTCTAAGATTGGCGGTAAGGATAGGCCAAGGAGCAAGTAGTTGATTGCTCGACGAGAGAGCTTTCGGGCCTCGAAGTATGGCAGACGCGCGATATCAGCTCGAGAGAAATGTACGGTATTAAACCAATAGACCCGACCTTCGTGACTACGAAGAGTGTTAGTTCCTTCGGCGATAGGCTGCATTGTCGACTCACGCTTTTCTTAAGTAGTCCAATGTCGATATCCGTTTAGCGGCCATTTCGTGAATCTGTTGATAGATTGCGCCTGCACTCTGTGGCCCGAGCAGACCCCCACCGCTGGATACTGGAGGTGGGATGCCATGGGAACTTTCAAATCCAGCACCCGACTTGGCTGTGTCCCTCCGCGACAAACTCGGGGCAAATGTGGAGGGCACCATGGCCGTTGCTGCGTTGTTGGGGCGACTTCGGGGGGAATCAAACGATACAGGACGGTCGACAGGGGTTGCGAACACGGGCCCAAGACGTAGGAACTTTTCCGAACGAAGACACGAAGCGTCCAATCAGATCACAATAGGCGAAATTCGAAGTTTGGCGAAAGGATGTCCTGCGAGACAGAGATCTAAAGAAAGTCCCCCGCAAGTCAGACCCCTAGGAATGTGAAGGGATTACACATGGACCGGATAATGCCTCCGAGCGCCCTGATCCGCACACTGAGCATCACCTGATATTCACCTGAGCACCTTAGATCTACTCTACTCACTGAGCATGAGCTGAGTATAATTATGGGCGACTTAAGCTACATCAATAAAATGCAACACGCTAGTCATATCGAAAAGAATTTTGCGTCGTTAATATGCCTGTTCACTCTTGATACTTGATCTAGCTCACGCAACGAAAACCAACACCTCCGCGCCCACGAACTAAATATATGCCGAGTTCATTGCTACGGTATCTGCCATCACGTGAATTTTCAATTGTTTCGTGACTGCCCAGGTGTCGTCCACGTTGCATGGTCCACCTGGGACGGAGTCTTGTTCGTGCTCTGGCTAGCGCAGACGGGCGTTTCTGGAAATATCTAACTTAACCAAAACGGATTGATTGGAAGGTTGCCTTGCTTTCAACAATATCCCGTATTCGGACTCTAAAGAACATGTTTTTACTCTAATATAGTGAACTGTGGTCTCAGTGACCAGTGGTCCGAATGCACCTACCGATCGAATATATTTGACTGCTCGAATACCTTGAACAATGCCTATTATGAGCGGAATTTAGAACGCTCAAGAATGAGAGCATTGTATTTGAAGTCATATGGACACCATTTCACCTAAAAATGCATCAAATCTGCCTTGATAACTTAGATCATTTTGGACGTAGGGGGCATTCGGTACGTATTTTAACTATGTGGCAGAAAAGCAAATTGGGGGTCCTCCCTAGGCTTCAGGAGTTAGAGTCAAGAAAGCATTCCAATTCACATGCACTTTTACTATACATCCACTTTGATATGGGGAGCGTCGTTCACTCTGCGTTTGAGGGTCACCGTACTCTCCCTTCGATCCCGGGATATACTAATCATCATTACGTCCACTCTTTTAGCCGAGACAGAGAAACAAAAGCCAAGCCTAAGCATGCTAACATGTTAACATTCGGTTATTCAGAGGCTTATATCCCATGTCATTAAAAGACAATGTAGATACTCAAAGGTCACCCTCGTAGACACGTATAAGACTAATGCGTTAGCCCAGATTGTCGGAATTCTTTATTTCAACACCTATGACCGTGAAAATGCAGCAATAGCCATGGTCGACTCAGTAGTATGAACAACCCGGTGGGGCTGTGTATAGTCTGCCGTACGGTAGTCATCATACACGTGACCATTCCAACCTCATCACTGACTCTGAGCTCGTGCTGATAACGTTATCTGCCCTGAGAGCCCTCCCTCATTAAAGCGGCAGCAGCCTAAATAGGAAATCCCTACCCGCCAGACGTACCCCGTGCTCTCTAGTGATTTATCCCGTCGATACCCCCCCTTCTTTTTCTTGCTTTCTTTCCTACAATCATTCTCTCTTCTCGCAAAATCAGTATGGACTCAACACTTCCAGAAGACCAGATTCCTTTGCCTGGACAATGGCCAGTTGATCCTCAGGAGGATGTACCAATTTCAGAGGATCGACTTTGGGTTGATGGATGCTTCGACTTCAGCCACCACGGTAAATATAGAGCATTGCCTCGTACTGAATTGCTGGAAGCTGATTGTTGTTATTCTCTAGGTCATGCCGGCGCTATGCTCCAAGCCCGTCAGCTAGGAAAGGAGCTCTACGTGGGGATACACTCCGACCAAGCAATCCTCGAAAACAAAGGCCCGACAGTGATGTCACTTGAAGAACGGTCAGTTTTGTTTGTCCTATTCCATGCACAAATAGACAGCTGACATTTTTATTACACAGTGTTGCAGCTGTCGACGCGTGTCGTTGGGCAACTCAGAGCGTTCCCTATGCCCCCTACGTTACCTACCTACCCTGGGTGTCCCATTATGGCTGTAAATATGTTGTTCATGGCGATGACATCACCTCAGACAGTGATGGCAATGATTGCTATCGGTTTGTCAAGGCCGCTGACCGTTTCCGTGTCGTCAAAAGGACCCCTGGGATATCGACTACAGACCTTGTTGGCCGTATGTTGTTGTGCACCAGGAACCATTTTGTGAAATCTGTCAAGGACACTCTCTCTGGACAAGAAGGACTCGGAAGCCCCAAAGAGCGTAAGAGTTCCGCCACGGAACTTTTACAGAGGATCAAGGACTACGCCACAGATGAGAGTGGGTTACAACCTGGTCCTCAAGTTTGGACATGGACTGGGTCAGGCACAGCCAAAATGGACCATCTCGTTGAGGAGCCCGGTCTTTTTGAGACGCTGGTCGATGGAAAGGGCCCTAAGCCCGGGCAGCGCATTGTTTACGTTGACGGAGGCTTCGACCTTTTCTCCTCGGGTCATATTGCGTTCTTGCGCAAAGTCATGGAGCTCGAAGAAAAGCTAGGCCGCGACAATGGCTGGTACGAGCCAGAACAGACCGAAAAGAGGTTGAAGGACTTCAACGAAGATTATTCGCCTGCCTACATCGTTGCAGGTATCCATGATGATGATGTGATCAATCACTGGAAAGGCTTGAACTACCCCATCATGAACATTTTTGAGCGCGGTCTTTGCGTACTTCAGTGCCGCGTAAGTCTGCCCCTTGACACACTAAAACCATGCTGACTCGGTTGTAGTACATCCATGCCGTCATTTTCTCTGCACCTTTCACGCCCAGTGAACCATACCTGAAGGCAGTTCCATGGGGCACTCCCGATGCTGTCTACCATGGACCTACAACTTTTATTCCGTTGACATATGACCCATACACCGCCCCCAAGGGAATGGGAATCTTCCGGGAAGCCGAGCAGCATGCTTTCCAGCACGTCAACGCTGGTGAGATTGTTGGTCGGATTTTGAAGAGCCGAGAAGCCTATGAGGCCCGCCAACGTGCCAAACTGGATAAAGGAATTGCCGAGGATTTAGTCAAGTCGAGAGAACAAGCAGAGCAAGCCTTGAAATAGGCAGCCCAGGAAATACTAATGTAATGAGATCAACTGTACATATAATGCTACACCTCATCAACTGGGGGGGGGGTTCTTAAAATACGCCAGCTCATTATTTTGGGGGCGCAGCACCCATTGCATTCTTGAAGACCTAGGGTCACTATCCAGTACCTGTCTAGATTGGAGATTATTGCCATTAGTCGGATCATGCTCTGACCGAGGCTTTCTGACCCGCAGTAGATTCCGACCTAAATATATTAAAGACAAATAGTTTTACAGAGACAACCACCTATCAGATGGAACGGCTGACATCTTCACCTGGGCTTATTCATTCATCCGCCGCGACCAAAACACCCTTGGTCTCGAGAAGCTTTGCAAGCTCGCCATTCTGATGCATAGACATCAGAATATCACAGCCACCAATGAACTCCTTCTCGAGGTATAATTGGGGAATTGTCGGCCACTCTGAGTACTCTTTCACACCTGATGATTCATAGTAGTTAGCAAACCGACAACCAAGACAAATCGCCGAACTTCAAATGATCCATACCCTCACGCAGCTCGGCATCCTCAAGGACGTTGAATGCAACGAACTTTTTGGGGTCAACGCCCTGAAGACCCAGAATTTGGATGCTGGCACGCGAGAAACCACACTGCGGTGTCTCGGGGGTACCCTTCATGAATAGAACAACCGGGGCGGAGGCGACGGCCTTGTCAATCGCAGTCCGGGTCTCATTGGACAGAAGGCGTGCATGGAGAACAGAAGGGATAGAGGGACCGGAGGGGAACTGGATGGCTGAGCGGACGGGACGCAAGAAGGTTGGCCGTGAGACCGGGCGAAAAGCCTTCATATGTCAGTTAATAGTCCGTTCTTTAAAAGTATGAATACACACCGAGGAAATAGCTCTGGAAAACATGGTTAATATGTGCGCAAGAGGAAAAAAAAAGGATGGAGAGTTGCGAAAGACTTCGGGAGGGTTAGTATTTATTAATCAGCGGTTGGTCTGTCTCCCATTTGCGATCTCCACTACATCCGAGGAAGTATGATTCCCTCTTATCAACATTTATGTGTGTATTTAGTGTGATCTTATATATATCTAGATCTGTATATACCTTGATATATTCATTCTAGTTCTAAAATTTGATATTCAAGCCCGAAGATGATGTCAGATATTCGTGTTGTAGATAGTAGGCCATTCGAGTTTACCCAGAGGAGCTAAAATGTGCGCTTGAGGTCGATTGTGTTATTACATTTCTTACTGTATCATCTCAGCGCTCGAGGGCGCTGGGTTGTTATACAAATCAAGGTACTGTGCGGTATATTCGCCCAGTAAGCCCAAGGAGATTCCTCCACCGGTCAATAAGCATCCATTCTTGAACCACCACCAGCAGTTCCGAACATTTTTCAACTGAACTTTCCAAATCATAAGGCCAAGTGATACAGCAGCACTGCCGCAGCTTCCCACGAAAAAGACAGGTCCACAACCAGCGGCAACTCCAGCGGCCGCAAGGAGTGAAACCTGAACGGCTCCAAGACCACTTAGGACAGCTTTGGTATTGTGTTCATGACGGAGAGCAATTGACTTGATCCCAGCAGCAACATCATCTTTGATATCCATGTGGGCATAAATCATATCGTACAGAACCGTCCACGCAATGCAGCTGGAGTACAGGGCACCTGCAGCCATCAAAGCGTCGTAGTTAGAAAGCAGGTCTACACCCAATGCCGGAAATCCCATAATTGCTCCCCAGGAAAAGGCAAGACCCAGGACCGCCTGTGGATAGTTGGTCACACGCTTGGCCAGAGGATAAGCCACCACGATGGGCAGACTAGGAATTCCATACCAGAGACACTGGGAGGGGAACGAAAGAAGCACACCCAGCCCAGCCAGCAGTTGTGACCCAGTAAAGAGCACTGCATTTTTCGGCGCAAGCGCGCCTCTGGCAATAGGTCGGAATTTGGTGCGTTCAACGTGGGGGTCCAGGTTTCGGTCCCAGAGATCATTGATGGCGCAGCCTGCACCTCGCATGATAAGCGCGCCAGAGAAGAAAAGTCCCACGGTTCCAAGGACCTGAAGTGGTGTTGCGCCAACAGCCATTGGTGCCGCGAGGAGAGTGGAAAAGAGTGTTGGGAAGAACAGGTAATATGTGCCCGTGGGCTTGTCCAGTCGTACCAATTCTGCATAAGGAATCCATGAACTTGGCAAGGACGCGATCAAGCCAGTCTTTGGCGGAACATAGTGAGTGGCGGGATTCTTTTCTGCACTTTCCGACTGAACTGGGTGCGCCGTGGGTGATTGTAATTGCGAGCTGTGCCGAACTTTGACTTGGGTTGTTTGCAAAGCCACCGTAGGCAATACACCAAGGCTATGGAGAGATTTCAATTGCGTAGATATACAGGCATTGTGAGCAAGAGGTGAGAGGCGACCGATGGTCCGGCGAGTGAAGGCAGCATTCGTGGTATATGGGGATAGCCGACGGAGGGAGCGAGAGCCGGTGGAAAGCATGGTGGAATAGGCATAAGACAGAATCCAACAACTATAAGGGTCAATCAATTGCAAGAATCATCATGATCACAAAGCCAGATGAGTGTAGTAATGGAGAGCTCCGGGAAACACATCGTCATGGAAAAAAAGCGGCTCTAAGACTAATTGGGAAACAATCCGGCCGATTATTGGACTATTAACTTATAATGTTATGAAGGTGCAGATGGGTTTTGGGCGAGTTATTAGGTCAACTGTGGCTTCATTTCCAGGTCTTCAATTCTTTTTTCTTACTTGTTAGCCTTATGTTCTATACCTCTCGCTGCTACTTCGTGAATCTCCAACTTTCACGTGTTGTTCCTGCCTGAGGCCCGTTATCAACGCGGTCCCGCGTTCCCCAGACGAAGCTGTTGATTGCTTTGCGACAATCTTTCCTAACTTCCACTCCTTCAATCCGTTCCTCTCGCTTTCACATAGTGAACTTGACTTCCCAATTTCTGGTGTCACCGGTGCTTACTGCATCTACGTCTGCCCTGTCCATCCTATCCTTGTTTACTTACCAAGCACAAGAAGCTTCACTGTTCTTCATTGTTGAAGGCGCATTCTCAGGTATCTGCGCTTGAGTCCTTCTTGTCGCAACCATATAACCCCTTCCAGTAACAGTTATTTCCCATTCTCATTTCTCTTCCACGCAATGCACCTCACCCTCTACCGACCGAAAAGAAGCGCAAACTAGTCCGGTCATACCACATCAAGATGCCGGCTCACCGAGCCCGATTGGCATTCGAGCCAATGGCTCCTGATCTTGATATTGATTATGTTGTTGAAACAACGGAGAATTTTCAATTTGCAGACCGAGTCACTTGTGACTCGCTCGATAGATTCTCACTTGAGCAATTCGAAAAGCTCGCCCATTTTCAAGTGGTTTTGACTGGCAGACCGTTGGTTGTGGAAGGGTTTCAGGAAAGGCTGGACCAAGCTCTATTTTCGGAAAAGTGGCTTCGAGAGACATACTCTTCAAAAGGTAAGCTTGCTTAATTGACTGCTTGTTTCTATATCTTGGCGAAGTCTAAGTACAATGCCCTGTGATAGTCGAAGATGTTCGTGATCTCAGACAGAAAAACAGCAAGCCTTTTACCATAGGTCATTATTTGAAAAGCCTTCCGATCTTGTCCAGAAAGATCAACCGTGATAACTACATGGACAAACATTGCCAGCGCCTTTACATGAAGGACATCGATTGTCCCTCTGAATGGCGAGACCATCTTGAACAGCTGGTTCCTCCTTCTCTCTTCTACCTCAACGATTCCCCAAAGCCTTTCTCCGGGCCTGCATCTTCTGATGCGAACATGCAATCACACCCAAAATCCTCAGAAGGCGAACCACTTGCCCCAGCGGGTGACTTGATGAGCAGCCTTCCCCCTGACATGCGGGCCGAAAACTTGATGTGCTACATTGGCCATGAAGGAACTTACACACCAGCTCATCAGGAGATGTGTGCTAGCCTTGGTCACAATATAATGGTAGATGCCTCGGATGGTACCCCGGAGAATGGTCAAAATACAGAGCCTGGCTCGTCGATCTGGTTCATGACGGAGAGAAAGGATCGACACGTGGTATCAGAGTACTGGATGTCCGTCCTAGGGCACGATATCGACATTGAAGACTTTTTCGCTCCCTTGCACGCCTGGGTGATTGCTCCCTTCAAAACATGGGTCGTGCACCAGAAGCCTGGTGATCTCATTCTCGTTCCACCTCTCGCGGCTCACCAAGTTTGGAATCGTGGGACACGCACCATCAAGGTGGCGTGGAATCGGACTACGATTGACACGTTAGAGCTCGCTCTAGGTGAAGCATTGCCACACGCGAGAATGGTTTGCCGCGATGAGCAATACAAGAACAAAGCGATTGTATTTTTTACACTGGAGCGGTATGCAAAGTTGTTACGCCAGGCATCCAAGGTCGAACACCCGGTGGTTGACCAGTTGTGGGACGCCTTCAAGCGTCTTTTCAAAATGTACATGAGCATTCTGTTATCAGAAACATTTTCTCGCAAGAGCCCGGAGAAGGAGGTTGAGTATCATGCCTTCCAGAGCAATGTGACTTGCTCGTACTGCAGATGCAACATCTTCAACCGCTTCCTTACCTGCCCTAGCTGTGCCTATTCGCTCGGTGGGGATGACGACCCATATGACGTATGCATGGACTGCTATGTTATGGGAAGGAGCTGTGGATGTATTTCCAACCTGAAATGGGTGGAGCAATTTCACTGGAAGGAATTGACGGAGCGTTACGAGTCATGGCGGCGTTTGATCCTTTCTTCTGATCCTGGAAACAAGGATCTGAAGAACGAATTCCCTACTTTTGTTATCGCTCGAGGGAAAGCCATCACGAAAACGACAGCCGAAATCTGTCAAGAACAACTGAAGCGTCGGCCGTGGAATGACCCCAACAAGCCCAATGCTATGAAGAATCCCGAAATACTTAACACAGTTAGTGGATCAGAGGACGACAGTCGACCTCGAAAGCGAAAAAAGGTCCGGAAACCAAAAAAGCTGGGTTCAGAAGATGTTCATCGCTGTCACGTCTGCCTCCATTTTGAACTCAATTGGAAGCTTGCCACTTGTTCGAATTGCGATGCACGATACTGCTATGGCAGTCTATTCAGGGCCTTTGAAATCTCACCACAAAGCGTCATGGAGAAATACCACTGGTTATGTCCAAAGTGCGAGAAGATCTGCAGCTGCGGAGGATGCAAGCGTGATTCAACCATGAGGCCATATGAGCCGAACTGCACTGTGCTCGGGCATGATACAAGCAAGGTCGCAGATTTCAGGAGCGTCGAATCTCTGGTAGATTTTCGCAAATCGAACCTGTGGTGGCTGAAAAAGTTCGGTGACGATGTCCATGGGCGGATCAAGAAGCACCAGGACGAAGCTGTGTCCGCTGATCTCGAACGCCAGAAGACTCTAGAAGAGCATGGGTTCCTCTTTGAGACCAGTCCCTCCGATCAACAAACTCAAACAAGCATTGGCGGGCTCACAGCTGAAAGCAACACAGATGATGCCGAAGAAATACCCGTTGACCCCTCATTGATGCTCGAGTCTTTTGTGAGCATTGATTGATAGCCGAGAATTGCAGCGTAGGAATTATGGAGTGGTTTTTTTGAATTTTTTGCTGAGCATCTGCATTTCAATTTGAGATTCCCCGAAGGGCTTTGCCCTTCTGCAACGCTGTTTTTACACAAAATATGGTCATACTGTAATAATGAATACACTTGTCAAAATCGCCTTGTCTAGCTGGCTAAGCACCTTTGTATTCGTACTGTAAATTTTTGAGAGATGTGACGTCTACAGAGCGCATCACCCTTTGCGCGAGAAGAATCGTCACAAGCATGGCTATAGTAGACGATCAGACACTGTTCAAGAAGTTCAAGACAAGAAAACATACCTCCGGGTATCAAATAAAGCACTGGTTGAATGCCCCATGACGATCCAGCAGAGAGAGATACAAGAGCGAGTGTCAAGCAGATTGCACTGGTACCAGGCATCAGAGCCCCATGCAAACGAGCCATCCGCTCATTATGCATGGTCATGGGCTTCTTGCCTTTGCGATCTGGCTGAAGCGGGTAGCTTCTCATGATGTAGGCCGTTGCCAACAATGCAACCATTCCAATGAGAGAGAGCAGCCGTTCAACATGATTTGAGGTTGATAGTACCGATGGTATAAAGACCACGGTAGTCACCAATGGGAGCGCAGTAAGCACCATCTAGATATATTCAGCGTTGGCCATTCAATACGTCGAAAGATATGTACACTGTACTGAGCATTGCGGGCATCGTTCTGGCTCTGCAACTGTTCGATGACCTGTTCCTGCTCCTCCTCGTCCAGCTCCTCACGCTCACCATCTGATTCATCAGGATATCGAAAAGCCTTGCGCAATCTCACGGCAGCCATGATAGTCAAGAAGGTGGAAAGCCGACAAGCTTGGAAGTATAAGTTAACGTAGGTGGTGTGACGGGGTGTTTGTCATGTTTGCTTTCTTTTCCTCACGATACTGATATTCCCCCCCCCCAAATTCCTCCGAAACCAATACATCCGTCTCCAATCTCGCCATGGTCTTTTCTCGAGTATTCACCCGGCGTGCTGGGCTTGCCCGGTTACCTGGCCGCCAAAATATTCCTTCGCGGCGCACAATGATGCCGGCACCAGGCCCGAACGCCGGTCCGCTGATGGAACGACGCGCAGACCGCGAGCTCCCGAACCCCAACTCCGGTGGACGGCGCTGGTTGTACACTCTCCCTATCTTTGTGATCGCCACTGGAGCTGGAATGTTCGGAATCTTCAACTATCAAAAGTCTTCTTCGAGTGTGGTCAACAGTACACTCTATGCCTTGCGGACATCGCCACGGGCCCGCGAGATCCTCGGTGATGAGATTTACTTTGCGCAGCAGATCCCCTGGATTAGCGGAGAGATGAACCAATTGCATGGCCGTATCAATATCTCATTCTGGGTCAAGGGGACCAAGGCCCAGGGCAAGATGAAGTTCCACAGCATTCGACCGGATCGTATGAGCTATGTAAGTTTTCAACATTGTTCGTTTCAAACACGGACAATTACTTTGCAAACCCTGGTTTCAGATCACTAATGGTTTATTCTAGTTCCGCACCGTGGAATGGAGTTTGGAAACCGAGGACGGAACGTTGGTTCAATTGCTCGACAGTGATAGTGATCCATTCCGGCAAAACTGAAGACTGGTGGCAGTGTGTACAGATAGAGTAGTGCATGGGCTTAGGCGTTCTGGAACATCATTTATGGCACCATTTGTTGCGTTATTGGCCGAATTGGCAAAGTTCTTGCGAAGAACAGCGGCGAGGAGGAAAAAGAAGAAGGATATCATTTTATGTATCATATACAAACGCCGCTCAAGAGAAACAATATCGCGCGTATGGTGTAATAGTACATGCCGTCTAAACCGAGGAAAAATCTCCAATCAATTAAGCTGTTGCGGCAGCGGGTTCCACGGTCTCAGCGGCGGGCATCTCGGGCCAGGGCTTCTTGATCGCATCCTGGATCCTCACAACACAGCCTTTAGGACCGCTGACAGCACCTACAAAATCCGAACGTTAGCCAAGGGTCAACCAGCACAGGAGTAGAATTTAAATCACATACCGCTCACAACCACAATTCCATTCTCAGCATCCACCTTAAGGATCTTCAAGTTCTGGACGGTGTTCTGCTGATTGCCCATGTTTCCAGCCATCTTCTTTCCGGGATAGACACGAGAACCACCACCTTGACCGGGACCAGAAGAACCCATAGAACGATGCGTCAAACTCACACCGTGACTACGGTCCTGACCACCGAAGCCGTGTCTCTTCATGACACCAGCGAAGCCCTTACCCTTAGTGTTAGAGCGGGCATCAACAAACTGGCCCTCCTGGAACCAGCCAGCCTCAATGCTCGAACCAACGGGGAGGAGACCGGCCTCATCCTTGACACGGAACTCGAAGATGTGACGCTTGGGCGAGAGGCCGTTGACGGAGAAGTGACCGAGGAGAGACTTGGTGACATTGTTGGGGTGCTTCCAGCCAGCACCAACCTGGACAGCATAATATCCGTGTCTCTGGCGGGTCTTGTGGGAGAGGACCTCGACACGGTCGAGCTGCAGAACGGTGCAGGGAATGCGCTTGCTAGTCTCGGGATCGAAGATGGCGGTCATACCCTTCTTGATTGCAATGGCACCGGTGCGGAGAGGGAGGGAGAAGGCCTTGCGGCGAAGAGCTGCTGTCGATGTCGACTCGAGAACGGGCAGACCGGGGCCAATGTTAAAGCGACTGGGCTTGGGGCGGTTGAGCGATCTGATACCGAATGTCCGCACAGGGACATGAGGCGTAATCAATGCATCCCAGACTGGTGAGCAGAGCTGAAACCCTCCTAGACGTGGCGACATCTTGGCTGATATTGAGGGTTTGGTCGACTTGGCCTGAGAGGGAAGTTTTTGGTTGTCGGGCTTAGTCATCCAACCAGGGAACCTCGAAGTATACGCCCATTTCACAACATTCACAGCTTCCAGGGTTTATATGTCTCGGTGGCCTTGAAAAGAAGCCTCAAACTCACCCTTTCTTTTGTCAACAGGCTACAGATCAAATCCTATACCCACCAAGCCTCTTGTCTCCTAACTCCGATTTACGCAGTCCGATCGGACCGGAAGCCGAAAACGCCGAGAACTAAAAAAGATCCCGTCAGAAATCCTTCTGACTCGACACGCCCTCCATAGACACCTTCTCACCCCGAATCGCCTTCACTAGAACCGGGAACATACATGTCATGTCTTTACGACCGAATCTCCTTTCAAAATGGATCTCGCGCCCCAGCGAGATCCTCCAAAGAACAACCCAAAACAACGTATACATCAGCTCAACACGCACATCCGCGCTACGCCACACCTCCATTCTATCCCAAGCAACACGGCGAACCTTCACCACTACCCTAAGCCAGACAAGCCGACTCACGGCGCGTGCTCGGCCCCGAGCCGGCCCCAATACCTTCCAGCAGCCTAAGCAGCCACTGAACCGCCGGTTCAATTCCGGATCAGCTGGCAATGGTGGATCGCAAGCGCGACCGGAGAAGGAGACACTATCGCAGCGCTTGAAGAAGCTCTCCAGGGAGTATGGATGGTCTGCGCTTGGTGTGTATCTTGCTTTGTCTGCGCTGGACTTCCCGTTCTGTTTTGCAGCGGTACGCTTGTTGGGTGTTGAGCGCATTGGATATTGGGAGCATATTGCTGTTGAGTTCTTGAAGGATAAGTTCAAGGCTGTTTGGCCTGCTGTTCAGACCGGTGAGGGCGAGGGTGATGGCCAGGGTCAGCTTGAGAAGGCCGAAGAGCGGAACCAGGAGGAAGCTAGTAAGTTTGGCCTTGTTTATGCTCAGTCGAAAGAGATGACTGACTGTGGGGCCCTTTGTCTTTCCGTTGCAGGTATTTGGACTCAACTTGCTCTTGCGTACGCCATCCACAAGAGCTTTATCTTCATTCGGGTTCCTTTGACGGCCGCTGTGACACCAAAGGTCGTTAAGACACTCCGTGGTTGGGGATGGAACATTGGAAAGCGCAAGCCGAAGAGTACATGATGGTGGTGTGATTATACAGCATAGCGGATACAGGATTTGGATCGGACCATTGTACATTATTAGCTATTCAGCTTTCTAATACGGCATTTTTGCCTTCTCCTCTCAATCACTTTCTAGACCTGCAAAGGGCCAGCCAACCTAACCCAAACCCAGATCTATCTTCAGCGCCATGAAACAGAAAGTGATGAAAGAAAGATAGATAGCAACAGGTTAGTTGGCATATGCTGAGAGATCTGCCTGATACATTCACCCAAGAAAAGCAAATAGAAGATAGAATGTGGCAAAGCGACCAAAGCTCGTAATTCGTTGCGGGAATTAAATTGCGACACATGTATAGGTTGCTCGCCGAAGGGAAGAGAGGTATAGTTCACATGTCAATCATATCGTTGAATCTGAGGATGCCGTTGGCTCTCATCACACCGTTGACACCGTCGGGCATGCGGTATGCCCATTCCGCGACGCCCATGGAATTGACGTTGGGTAGCTCTTCGCTTTGGTCTTGACCGACCTCGTCGGAGGTATCGGCCACAAGCACAAGGCCAAGCTCTTTGATAGTTTCAACCAGGGCAGGAACGACGTTCTTTGGTATCATTAGCAGAGTATTCATTAAGTAAAGGGAGGGGGACTCGAAGAGCCCCAAAGATCAAAAAAGACGTACCAAGAGACTGGATCTACAGATCAGACCCATGAAGTTGTTACTCTGAGCAATGCGTGCTGACTCCTTGATTGACATCGAAGCACGACCACTGCTATCAACATGGGGTTGCGAGTCAACGTTTCGAGTAAGGTCACGAATCTGGCCCAGGTCATTGCAGAGAAGAACAGGATCTAATGACGATTAGTAAATGCCCAACACACAATCATCGTCCAAAGACAAAACTTACAGTTCGGCTGCTTCCAATTGAGTGCAGTACAGATATTCGGGTTGTAGGAAGTAAATACGACGGAACGCATAAAGTCCGGGTTCCGGTCTCTAGCCACACGGGCGTGGTCAAAGACATCAGTCAAAACAGAATCAGCAAAGCTGTTAACATCCGCCAATGAAGTCAAATCGAGTAACTTTTCTTCCGCTGATGATGGGTAGAGAAGAGAGATATTGACATGGAGATCGATGGGGAGCTGACGCAAGACATCACGCAGCGACAAGAATGAAGCTGCCAGGAATCGATGGGTTTTCGGCATGTCGTTGACAGCTTCTGTTTCCAAGAAGTGAAGAATCTGAGTCTGGTCGACACCGCGTTCAGTTCCAATGGCTTGGAACTGCGCATAAGTCAAGTGGGAAACGGGGATATCAATGCCATGGTGGTTGATCATGAACTGAGGATAGAGAACTGCAATATGATCTCGAGTCAATTGCACAAAGAGCTGCACATAATCTCCCGACAAACTGGAGCCAGTTACCAGTCCGTTGTGGTCTGAGTCAATGGCCCCAGTGGCCTTCCAGTATGTGGCAAAGTGGGTAATCTCCAATGGGTCGCCGTGATACGGCTTGATTACCTGGAAGTTGAAGCGCAGCTGACCAATCGCACGAAGTCGAGGGTCAAACAGCGGCAGGCAACCGGTTCCAGTGCTCGATGATTCAGCCCGGAAGATATCCGGCAGAGCCACACTCTTCGCAATCACCTTAGAGCCGAAAGTAGGGAAGATCTCAAAGTCAACGGCAAATGTATCCAAGTTATCCACATGGAACGATATCGTGCGTGAATCGTCCTGGATAGGAAGCATAATTGTGCGAGGAATAAGATCAGACAACTTGGAAGAGATAGTCATCCGGGCGGCGGGATGGCGACCTGCTTGATCAAAGACGATGGACCCGACGTTCGCTTGATCAAATGTAAGCTGGACAAACACCTTTTTGTCAAGGAAGTTGTGGCCATAGCGACGAAGTGGAATAATGGGTGGAGGTAGTTCAAGATCAGGGATGCCGTCGACCATCTCCATTTCCGAAACGCCTGAATCCATGGACATTGGCTCACCCATTGGACCAGGCTCTGCCATCCGCACGCCATTGAGAATGTCGAGCGGTCGCTGTGAGGGTCTCCGTCCAGTCGGCTGAGCCCAAAGAAGAAGCATGCACTCAAGATGCCCTTCCCAGGCAGCGTAGTACATGGCCGAAAGACCCTTCTCATCTACAACCTGTGAATCGACACCCGATTCAAGAAGTGTGCGTAGACAGGGAACACAACCTTCGCTGGCTGCATGGAACAACGGAGTCCACTGATAAAGCTTGTCCTTTTGGTCGAGGTCAGCACCGTGCTGCTTGAGCAGCAACAGGAGTTGCGGGGATTGTGAAGCACGTGCAACCATATGTTGCGGGTAAAGTCCTTCAGCATCCGGTAGCAACTTAGCATTCCGCTCAAGCAGCATCTTCACAATGGGAAGGGAGCCATGTTGACAGGCTAGGTTCAATGGGATATGATCGGTGTCCGAGTTTGGATTGATCCTGGCATTGCTACACAGAACCTGCTCGGCGCATGCCAATTGGCCCTTGACAATGCTGTGGATCAGAGGGGTGAAATTGTCATGGTCCATGATATCCACGGTCTGAGGGCCTGCCACTAGTAGATCTCGGACCATGTCAACGCGGCCATGCAAACAAGCATAGTGGAGAGGAATGCGCCCATATACATCGGACAAGGAGAAGTCAACGGATGCTTTGAGACCAGCCTTGAAAACAAAGTCTCGGCCAGAAATGGCCGCTTCATGGAGGCAGTTCCGCTCATTAATATCGTCCTCGGCGTGGATGTCAACCAAGTTGCTTTCTAATAGGAGCGCAAGTACCTCGTCTGAAAATCCATTGATAGCGGTCAAGAAAGTGCGAGTAGCACGTTCACGGGCATCTGGCAAGGATTGTAGTCTGACCAGCCATTCACGCAGTGTCTGCATATTGCCCGTTGATGCCGACTGTAGCATCTGAATGTCCAACTCATCCTCTTCGGATCCAAGAGGCGCAGTCCGATCCATAGGACGTGCGGCATCATATTGGATGTTCTCGCCCTCGGCCCATGCCTCCAACTCCAATCGAGCGGTGGTCGCACGATCCGCAAGGTCTCGGAGGATATCCCGGTTGAAGCATGGTTGCACTTCCACGGCTCGGTGTAGATACAGCTCTTTCATGCGAGACTTGGATGTCTTGTCCCATTTCTTGAGGATCTTGGACATGGCAGTCTCGTTGATCTCAACGAACTGCTGCAGCTTGTTGAGGTCGCCATCGAATTGTTGGAAACCCTCAAATAGAGAAACGAAATTTGATGGTGCTTTGGAATTGGAGGAGGTCCGGGATTGTATCACCCTTTTCTTGTCGACTAGTGTCCGTAGACGCAGCGAGAACTAGCTCATTAGCCCCGATACCAATGCCCATAGTAAAATAAGTAAGCCTACCTCTGATTCTTTCTGAAGGTAAAATGTATTGACTTTCTCAATCTCTCGTTCCTACACCTCGAGGTCAGTACATTGACTCATCTCCAGGAGATGCGCAGACCTACTAAACGGAAGAAGAAGACCTCTTTGTTTGCGCGCAGAGCAAACTGTGGGTCATCATCCCTCGCGATCTCCTCTGCGGTTCTTTGCGCGGGGATAGTAGGGGTGGCGCTAAGTTGCTTGATAAGCTAGAGTTGAAATCAATTAGCCATGCGCGCAATTCCGAGCGGGAAGAATCGTGACAAACCTTCTTCAGCGCCTTGTAGTTAACGAAGCTGGCGGCATATTCGGGAAGATCTAGCTGCCTGCGCTGAATCTGTTTGCCGAACTTCCTACCGGACGAAACCAATATCAGTAGCCGCTCAACCGGAACTTGAGATTAACCATCAGACTCACATGACTTCACGATCTCGGAGAGAGCTTCAGCTCTCCCGAGCTTTGGAGATTGAGGTTACTGTACTCAGGTACTCAGCAAGACAAAGCCGCGAGCTAGTAGGTTATGGACTTTGCTGTGTGAGGTCGAGCGCGCGGGGGGTTGTTGATGGTGTGTCAATGGGAGGAGAAAGAGGTGGGGGAGATGATAGGAGGGACACGTCCAAGACCAGGTCAAGAGAACCAGGGTGTCGTGTCTAGGAGGGGGAGTTGGGGAGGAAAGAAGGGAGTGGGACAAGAGAGGAGTAGAGGACAGCTAAGATGTGGGAGTCAGAGAGAAAAAGATGGAGGGGGAGAGAAGCCAGGGACCAGGTACAAAAGCCCATATACTTCGACTTGGAAAAAGATGGAGGTTAAGCCGAGGTGGGGAGCTCGAATGGAATTGCCAATCACCGCGAACGGTAGACGCACGTTTCCTGCTGACTGGCACTTCCGACCATCGTCATTTGGGTTTCACGGGTAGACCGCCTTTCAGACCGCCTAGGGGTCAACCTTGACGTTGACTGATGGTATCTGAACGTAAGTTATAGATAGTGAAAGTTGTAGTTGAATTATAGTTAAGTTATAGTTAATTTCTGAATCAAGCGTCCCACTTCAATTGCCTCTTCCTATCCCATTTTAGAAGTCTCTCTCCTTAAATATATATGTGTATACCACACTGACACTGTAAATGATAGCCCACTACAGTATTAATTACTGGAATTTGAGCTTTGATCATCACAGGATATGAATTTCGCTGGATATCTTGCATAATACCCCGAGCATTGGCACTAACCATCAAATATCTCCCTATCTGTAAAAAAGCTGCATCTCTAACGAGCGCTAAACAATTCTCACCGGCCGCGTAACTACGCGGCCGATCCGCTTGCTGTGCTTATGACGCACAGAGCTTAGAATATTTAGTATCAAGGTAGCAGAGGGTAGCTCATGGTCTTAGGAGTAGAAGACATCAGATTGGAAAAGTATAAAACTTCTTCAATTCCACTATTACTAAAACTTACTTATCAAAGTTCTAGGAGTAAGTCAATACTATATCTCCTCCTTGACAACCATGACTCGACTCTCATAAGTAGGCCAATCTCAATATCTTCAGTCTTCTTTTCAGTACTGTAGATCGATAGTGAGCTACGGGGTCCTATTGGTCACTCAGTCCGGGGACCGCACAACCTCATCACGTGAGATCATTGGGCAGAACGCTGATTCGAAGCCCTGGACTGCAGTGTACTTGATCAAAATAGGAAGGCCCCACCCGAGGCACAATGTTACAGTCGCCTCGGTGTACCCTAAATGCTCTAAGATAAGGGCGACGTTACTTAGCCTAGGGCTTTCTATTTATATCTAGCCGTTAAGTTTTAGGCTAAAATGCAAGGTGGGATACATGTCTACGACATATCCGAACCAGTGTGGGGGGTCCGTATACCAAAAGTCGAAGAATCGAGGAAATCTCTTGTTCCTAACAAATACAAGCCTGAGAAAGCTGAGGAATTCCACTCCAGACACGCGAGGTATCATTGCAAATCTCGAGTATGTCCAGTGCGTGGAAAACTCCACGCTCAACAGAGGAAATGTACAAATGCAGCTCCATACAATACCCAAACAAAAAAGACGAACATAAGACGAGTGTGTGACAGTGAAAGAGTAAAAAATAAGGCAAGCGATGCAGCTGGGATCAGATGCGCGGGATATATCAAACAGATGACCAAACGAGAATCAAAACCAACACGGGCCGATTATAGTAAAAGTAAAGGGGAGGGAAAAAAAGGGTTAAGGATGAAATAGAGACATGACGAAGTGAAAGTCCATCGCGCCGGGAATTGGAACATGAGAGACCCGAAATGAATGAACGTAGTCGGCGGTGGCGAAGAAAAGGAGTGTGGTATTGTGCGGAAAAAAGAAAAGAGAATGCCGAGCTTTTGGTTGAGATTAAGAGGAAATCTGGCTTAGAAGTTCTGGGCGATACCGGCATTCCCTTGTCGGGGGTAGACCCCGGGGTTTTCGATGCGTGTGTTGCGGCGTGCCTGGACGTCGCGGATGACAGGCTGATACGTCTCGTCTCCGTAAGCACCGTGGGTATTGATGTCGCCGTAGTACGGGTTTTCACCGTAGTAGCCACCCGAGGGGTGTGCGGCCGACATGTGGCTTTCCTCGGAAGCCTCGGAGCGGTTGGCAGCTGAGTAGGCAGAGGATGCGTTGGAGGGGCCACGGTGGATGTCACCAGTGCGGTTGTTGGCGGCTACGGGTGCGGCACCAAGGACACCAATGGGCTCGATTTCACCAGAGTCTGGTCGAACTCCATCCGAGTACTGCACAGTGCCTTCGCTAGGAGTCGCACCATGGTGGTAACCGGGACTGCTTCCTTCGGACATAGCAAGACCGCCCATACCGCTAGAGAGGTTGGTGGATGGTTGGCGTCCGGCAGAGGTAGTTCCCCATCCACGGTATCCAGAGGAAGTATCGTCCTTGGGTGCCACCACACCGGCCATTCCGGGAAGAGTTGGGTCATTGTTGGGGTTGAAGCCGTACTCCTCTACTTCCTTGCGGCGCTCCTCCTCGTTCGCCTTGTTCGCCTTGCGCTTGCGCCAGAAGAAAATGGCTGCCAAGACGATCAATGCCACGGAAACGACCGGCACAACAACTGCAACTGCAATTGTTCCACTAGGAGAGAGACCACCAGAGCTGGCTGCTCCGGTAGATGTTGCGAGGGCGGCAGAGTCGGTCGCGCTGGAAGATGTGATGGAAGCACCAGTGTTCTCACTTGCGGGAGCGGTGGAAGTAATGTAAACAACGGTGGTTCCGGCCGAGCCAGTGCTGGTCGAGGAAAGAACAGTGCTCGACGGGGCCTCGGTGGTGGTGAGTTCCGTTGTGGAAGAGGAAGAAGTGGAGGATGATGTGGATGTTGAAGATGTAGACGAAGTGGTTGGAGTAGGCGTGGTCGTGGAGGAGGTGCTACTAGTGCTACTCGAGGTTGTACTGCTGCTAGTGCTGCTGCTGGTGCTGCTACTAGTCGTTTCGCTGGAAGTGGTTGCGGGCTTTGCAGATGAGGTAGTCTCGGCCGCAGGGCTGGCCGTGGTTGCAGCCGCTTCACTGGTCGCCTGGGTCGCCTGGGTGGCCGCAGTCGCCGCATTTGTTGCCGCAGTGTCAGCTGCTGCAGCCACACTGGTATTGGCAGCAGCCGCAGCAGCACCTGCCTTGGTAGAAGACATCTTGATTGAGACTGTCGATCAGACGATGCAAAGATCCGACGCGGTAAGATTGGTGGTCGCGTTCAATGCGACTCTGAACCAGGATACCGTTCAGCAAGTTTCGAGGTCGGGTTCGAGGCTAGAATAGAATAGGATCGAGGATCGAAAGCTGAATGGATATAAGATCAAAAAATGAAACCGGATTGAGTAACGAAAGACTAGAATGCATGCGTTTCAAAGAGAGACTGGGTGATGGTCGGGGGGAATGCTCAGGGGGGGGGAGTCTCAAATATTGATATCCCAATGGAAATTTCGAAAAGACGAAGAAGCCAGATCAAGAAGAAAAAAGAAAGGAAAGAGAAGAGAAGAAAGGACTCACAATCTCAGGCTGTAGCCATGGGAGAGAAGGAGATGTGTGTGGAAGAGGAGGAAGAGAAGTGGGAAGTGGAGATTCCGTACGATTGCAGCGTATGCACATTCTTAGCGGTAAGAATCGATCTTCCTAATTTCTTACTTTGTTACAGTTGCAGTTGCATCCCGCATGCAGTAGAACAGACAACAAACACCTGCTTCTGGTAATCCCTTGATGCAGAAGTCCTGGGGACTCTGAGGGCTTTGAGATGAAAATATTGAGTCAATTCGGCAAATACAACAAAAAAAAACGAAAAAAACAACTCAGGCCTACCGCGGGTCAGCAAGGGAGAGAGACTGGGCCCGGGGACATTGCCCCATTGGTTTCTGCCAGTGAGAAAGTGGCATTTGCTCGATGATGCAGATTGTCTTGGTCCACTCTCGGCTTCACAACGGTCCACTCAAGTGTGAACTCCCTATTCGGGGGTTTCAGTACACCAATACAGCATAGTACAGTCTAGACACTCTGGTTTCTTTTAGAGTTCAACGTAATCCGAACAATCTCAAGATCTTGAAAGTTATGTACAGCCCCATCGGGCAGAAGATGTGAAATTCGATCTATTTACGCCGGTAGATCTCCAGTCAAATGTAAGAAAGTCAAAAAAAATATAGTCGAAATAAGATCCCAGTGGCAAACACCCCTCTCCCAAACAAAATAACACAGATCATCACAGGCTCTTATACAAGGTCGAAAAACAGATTCATGACATAGGACCGAAACCGTCTATTATTTGGTGGTCAAATCCCAGTGCGGACGCAAGCTGGTCATCAAATCGTCCTTGGTGCCGACCGTGTCGGGAGGCAATCGACTGATGCGGTAGTTACCATTGCGGATATTGTTCATGTGAGTATTGGAAACAGCGGTGCGGTTACTGCGGATACTGCCAGCGTCACTGGCGGCACCCTCGTTCTTGAAACGGGGCGGGGGTACGAAGTCCAAGTTCGTATACGTTCCAGACTTTCGCAGAGCGTGGGGGCTGGGCATGACCGCAAGCTCATCAAATGCAGAGGCCAGTGGGGTATGCGCACGCACAGCGGGACTATAAGGTCGCATGCCATTAGTGGGTGTACCCGCACGCTGGTCGAGGAAGCTGTTTGCGGGAGCAAAGTCGATCGTGGACATGAAGGAGTCGTCTTTCAGCATATGAGGAGTGGGAAGCACTTGAAGCGGTGCCGGGGGAGGCATCGGCTTCCGGGGAGCTCTGGGACCAGGCATACGCCCGGAAGCCGAGGAAAACGCCCGGGGCCCGGAAGCAGACGAGAAGCCACGGGGGCCAGGAGGGAAGCCATTGAAGCCAGCAGAGTTCGTGGCCTGGTGACGAGCGGCGGCACCCTGGAAACGTGGAGGAGCACGCGGCGGCGGCGTCATAGCACGACGGGTCACTGGCTCAGCAAAGGGAGCCGGCGCGGCGGCATCAAAGTAGTCACCAGTGACCGGGTCATAAACGAAACCACCATCCTCATAGAACTCAGGCCCGAAATCTTCATAATATGTGGTCTCACGGCCGGTCTTGCTCTCGTCGAAGTACTCCTTGTAGAAGGAGCGAATCCGGTTGGCACGCTGCTCAGGGTTGTCGGCAGGGTCTTCAGGGGGCAGCGGGCGCAAACCGAGAGTCATCCGGCGAGTGTCGCGGTGTTCATCATATGGCTTGTCCAGAGATTGAGGCTCCTCTGGAAGCTCAGGGCGCTTTTCATGGCTTGGGATATCATGTCCGTCCGCGGCATGGACGTTGACGGGAGGAATCATGAGCTCCGACTTGCGATCGTCACCATAGTCACTACTGGTAATATCGCTGGCCGGGAGGGAAATACGAGGAAGATGCGAGGCCGTCTGGTCGTGATCAGGCTCATGCGGTTGCGACGTCTCCGGCAGAGGGAAGTTCAGGTGTTCTGCGGGAGCATTGACATGATTGATTTCGGTCTCGAATCCGAAATGGAGACTCGGGGTCGAATCTAGGTGAGGCAAAGGAGGCGGGGATGCGAAACCCCGGTCAGTTGGGGGACTTGCAGGCGCCATGCTGTGTTCCTGCGCAACAGGAGCCGGGGGTGTCACACCGGGAACTGGTCCCAGGAAGTCCTTGCGCTGATTCACGGGGCTCCCTCTGTGAGATTCAGTGGGGGAGCTGTACATAGGCGGAGATGAGCGAGACATCCTCTGTGCATTCTTGAGAAGACCTGACTCAGGCTCATCGGCCGCCCCGTATCGGGTGGGCGAACCACCAAAGCTCGAAGCATCATCACGATATCCCCTAGGGAATGACTGGATGGAGCCATTGTCACCCACAATTGTGGCTTGGCGGTACTTGTCATCGTCTATTGAGCGAGAGATGGAGTTCAAAGAGTCCCTGGAGCTCTTCATGCCCGGGGGGATCAGATAAGGACCGACGTCGAGAGACAGGCCCTTGGTATGAGTGGGTTCTGACATTGGGGGCATGGCTCCAGGGCCTCGCCTCTGTGTAGCTGGTCCAACGGTATCCATTCCGAAGTCGAGGGATTTATGCTTGTCGTTTGCATCTTCCCGCATCAGTTTCTGGACATGTCTTCGGTGCAGCACTATCAAAACGACAATAGCACACAGGATAGGAAGACCAGCGCCAAGCACAACGGGCAAGACCGTCGTAGTCAGATTGCTGGTCGGCTTGACACCATCTGTCGAGCCAGACGCTGAACTTTCGGGAGCTCGAGCCACCAGAGAGGGTATTGTAGCTAAAGGTGTGGTACTAGGAACAAGGAATGGTAGGCGATGTGAAGGGACGACATCCCGGCGAACGGGGGCATGCCTCATCACCAAGCCGGCATGGTGAACGTGAGACATAGTCGAGGCCGGTCTAGAGGGCGTGATCAACACGGGTAATGGCTGAAGCCGATCAGATGGTGCTCGTCATTGAAGTTCAACACAAAATCCAAAAAAAAGAGTGACGGGAGCCTAGCCTCAAGACTAAAGACTCGAAAAAGAACAAGTAAAGAGTGAACAGGACGAGGTCCTCAACAAGAGCGGGCCAGCAGCCAAAGAGTGTGGAAATGAGAGATGAGAAGAAGAAAAGAGGAGAAAGAGAGAGAGATAAGTTCTAGAATATGGGGGCCCTAAGCACACAGTCATATTACCGTTCTCCGCATCCCCCTGAGCTGTAAAACACCTGCACTTAATTTAGTACTCATTATTGCCCACCTGATTCGCCTCCTTATTATACCTGCTGTTTTGTTTTTGTTTTTTTGCCTACTTCTGCTTCGGATTATCTCTCTCTGGTGTTTATTGTCTGATCTTCGTGGTTCTGCATCAAGCAAGGTGAATTCTGAGACTCCAGTACGGGAAAGTAGATAGGGGCCTAGTGGGGAATGCACCAATGAGAGAGCCGCTGCCCCTGAAGCCGTCGAAATTACTTGTTTACACTAATGTATCTTCACGGTAAGGGCCCCAGGGGCGTTTTTTTTCTCTTTCCACTCTGCTTGGCTATGCTTATAGCCTGGTGGTTTTCGTTGTATACTCCGTAGCTCTACAGTAGTTGTTTCGTATTCGGGTCCACAGGTAGGATCATCTTATAGAGGAACTGAGGAAACGGTTGCCTTCAATTCGAGACGGCGGCGTGGCTCCGTCATTTCCGGTGCCCAATGAGACGCAGAAAACGGCGGAGTGAAATGTTCAGTACACGTGAGACATTTCCCGCCGCTTCTTTAGTTCCATGGGGGTATAACGTGAACTTATAAAAGACGGCTGAGGAAGCTCTGGACTCGATTGACAGTATTCCACGTCGAGGTAAGTTTGTGGGATGATGATCATGGCAGGGCTTTTTTCATAGCCTCCGTCATCCAGTGGCTATAGAGTCTGGGCTAGTCCATAGCTCATGAACATATCCAGATCACTACAGTAATCAATGGCATGTCTGAAAGTCTCAATATATTTTGGTGAATACGGTGACTAGGAAATCATTCCCTTCAAAGGGCAAACATCCATTATTGCCCCCTTTTAGTGGATATCAGATTGTCCAAGCTTCTTGAGGGCAGTTGAGAAAATAGATCAGTTCGATGACGTATATACTACACATCACTCGAAGATATCGGCCAATACCAAAGAAATTGGATATTCACCCGTCCTTGACTGGCATTGACGTGGTTTCATCGTTCATGACCTAGGTTGGCGACAGACAGGATGTCGCATAGATGTACGGACAACGGCTCCAGGATTCCCCAAAGCCAACAAAGTCCGCTCACGTACGAAAAACCGGGTGAGGTAGAATCAACCTAGACGAACCTTGTTGATCCCTCTCACGGACCGAATAGTCCTACGTCTAAGCATTACATGGTATTCCTCTATGACCTGCGACCTAATTCCTACATTGTTATATATCTACGGGCCGGTATAGACTACACAATGACAGCTAAGGCTCACATGAATGAAGAGATGGCGTAACCTTTGGGGTTGATGTTGTGGCAGGTCTGTAATTTCCTCAAAGTAATGGACTGAGACATAGCGAGAGAAAGGTAATCTGCTAATAGAGCCCAGTACACTCCCTCTGATTGCATGAGCGACATTAGTGAATATAAATTATACAACCAAATCGCTGAAAAATTGAAGCCGCGAAGTTGGTGCTTGACCTTGATACATCTATGATGGAAGGGTGTTTCCTTTACCGTATATTGCGGATTGAAAGTCGAGTTACATGCCTGGTGAATATTTGAAATATTAAGTTTTTTTCCATTGTTGCATTAGACTTTTGCAAATGCAAAGGAATACTTCTATCACCGGTTTAATCATCACATGGTTGAGGTCCTTCGCTTGAGAACATGATAGTGTGGACCCGCCGTCAAACAATGAATCCTCCGTGATTAAGACAGCGCAATTAGGAAATATGAGCTGCGCAAATATGACACATGATTGAAAGGAATGAGAAGACTTGGGCGGAGAGAAAGGAAAATTCGTAAGCCCCCGGATTAGGGCAGGCTCGGATATGTGGCCGAGAAGCACACATAATTGAAATATCAAGGAAAAGGGGGTGGCAATGTACATTGGGGTGAGAGTTGTACACAAGAAGAAAAAAAGCAGAAGGCCAAGGCGATTTTGTTCACACAGCGTGAAAGAGATAGGGGATTCCGAGAGTATGTGAAGGGGCGAGATCAACGGCGAATCACCGAGATATTAAAAGAATAAAGGAGATGCTCATGCAAATGATCTTCGGGTCGTTTCATCTGATGCTGGGGAATCGTGAAGAGATATGGTGACAGGGGAGAAGAAAAGAAATCAGAGAAAGTATTACAAGTCGGCGAGAGCAGCTTCAAAGCTGGCAAGATCGTCGTGAGAGGGTTTGTCGAAAATGCGTCGAAATGGGGGATCTTGAGGGAAGACATCCTGAGGGCTGGGTGCAACTCCCTCTGCTTTGCGAATGACTTCCTTCAGTGCACGCGTCACAACACCGGCTCGGACAACCAAATCTTTCAACGAAGACGTGTCAAATGGCAGTTTCTGAGATCGAGGTGCGATTTCGAGCGATTGATCACCAGGCTGCAGGATATCAAGCACCGATTGGGATTTGGGCGAGTCTTTCACGAGCTGAGTGAGGGGCGAAGGAGTTTCTTGCTCACGTTGTGGTACGTCGTTCCATGAGACTTCGCTGTTACGCTTGGAAAATGCATGGAGACATTCGTCTTCGGATTCATCGAAGCTGAATGTGAGAGATGAAGGAGATCCTGGAGGCGAGTGATGCTCTTCGTCGTCATCAATGGTCGCCAGGTTCACGATCCCCTCAGCTTCTTTCCATAGTTCACTGGAAGGTCCGCTGACAAGATCCAGGACACTGGCCTGGTGTCGAAGACGCTTCAGTTCTTCCACCAATAGCGTCAATTCCTGAACCTGCCCGAATTGACCACGAAGACTGGCTTGACGTTCCAGTATGGCCTTCGGAACGGTCATACTTTGACGAATAGTTTCCGGTTCAGATACTTGAGTGCTTTCGGCGGTGGGGGTATCCTCCGCTTCATCAAAATCGAAATCGCTGTCCCAGTCTTCACTAACACCTTTACTGCCCAAACCCCAGGTCCCGAACTTCCCAGATGTCTGGCGCGAGTCACTGATAGGAATATCGCTCACAACAGGGACACTTTGACTACGAAGGTGTACGGTTGATGGTGCTTTCCGGCAAACAGTTCGACTGCTCCTGTCAACGACACCTTCTTGCTTCCCATGCATGGTTCTGGGACGCGTCTCAGTGTCGGCAGCTTCGCGGTCAGGACGTGACTGCTCGGACCAGTCGAAAATGTTTGTCTTCTTGTTTACACCAGAGTTGAGAGTGTTGACCACCCTCCCAGATACCCTCGCTGAAGTCAGGCCGGAGTCAGACTGTTCAGCAAATTTGGACAGTGCAAGTGACAAGGGCGATTGGAATCCACTCTCAGATTCACCAGGTAACGCCCCAATCATGCTGAGAGCGTCATCATCCGGTTGATCTGTCAAAATCGATGAATTATCAACTATTGGGACCTGAGACAAAGGAGGCGATGCCAGGAATGAATCAGCAAAGAGTTGAGGATCTCGTTCCAAGGACCTAGCGGCGAAAGAGCCCCGCGGCAGAAGAGTCTCCAGGGTCGTGACTTCTTCGTTGGCTAAACTCGTGCCTGCTTGGTCGAACATTGTCTCGATTCGAAGACCCTTCAATCCACTACCGGTCGTTTCGCGCGTGCGAATCGAGTCCCAATAATCACTCATAATATCTGTTTCATAATCCTCACAGGATGTGAAAACCCGTGTATCATCGGAACCAATGATGGTGGATGATGGATCTGATCCTGAGATTGAGAACCCCTTTGGACGACGACGGAGAGAATAATGCGGGCCATTGGGTCCAGAAGCTCGCTGCCAAGCTGAAAGAGCGACTGCATCTGATGTTACTGGGTCGAGACCGGACCGAGACCCCAAGCCGATATTGTAATCCTGCGAGACCGATCGAGGCACGACTTGAGAACGCCTTTCCAAAGCCGATAAAACCCCCCTGGCTGCGACACAGGATGTGGACGGCGGAAAACATTCGGATCGGTGATGTTACGTCGTTGTTCTGGGTCTGGCGTCGGGATGGCGATGACCCTGTCCGACTTGGAAAGTTCTGAGCGAGTTATAGAAAACGTGCGTCCTTTTACGCGCTTCAGAGAACCACCCCTTGGCCGTCCTAAAATTGGAACACCGGAGCCAGTGACGGTATTGGTGATGACAGTCTGCTTTTGTTCGGCGTCATTAACAGAGTATGAATGCCTATCACTCGGCCTCTCCACTGACTCGGGGATTGGCTCGGCAATTGGTTCAGAAGCAGGGTCCGGCACAGCTGGCGTGGCTGTCTGGAATGGATTGCGGAATTCGACTGTGGTAAAAGGCAATGGCTGATCCTCTCGGGGCATGCTATTGGAGGTGGCGGCGACATCAGAGGCGAGAACTAGAACCGGAAGAGCACTTGGATCAGATCCAATTTGGCGAACACTCTGAAATTTCGGCGCCGTCGATGTTGAGAATCTGCGCGACAATCTCTCCGCCAAACTACCAGTCCTCGGAAGGAAAAATGACGTCCATTCTGTCTTTTTATCAAGCTCAAAGTCTTCCATCTCCGGTGATTCAACAGGAAGATTTTTAGAGAAGTAGTCATCGAAATCTGTGACCAAAGGGAGGCGCATTGACTCTGATCTCTGATGACTCGTCGCTGGCCTACGAAGCGCAGATGGCGAAGGCCCAGAGATTGTTTGTGACCCAAGGGGATGTGTGTTTGTGTGTTGCGATACCGGACGCTTGACCAACTTGTTCGGGGCCCTTCGCTGACTCGGTGGACGAGGAAACACGGGGCTCGCAGACCCATTGAACGACGGTGTGACTGGACTGCTTGAAGTCGGGCTTTCAGTCTGGAATGAGGCCATTGACAAGCGCCGCAGCCAACTAGTTGATGGTCGTCGGGTGTGGTCAGTCCGGGAGTCTATGGGTTCATTCTCCGGAATCTGAAGTGGAGGCGCTGTAAATGTTTGACCCCGACGACGACGTCTCACAGCGCTGAAGGACAAGGATGCCCGCCGCAGATCCGGTTCCTGTTGGCTTCCATACCGGCTCTCTGCCAGGCTTTGCTCCTTTTCAGCCAGCCACTCGGCTGCTACGCTTGTCCGCGGTGGAAGAGCAGTCTTCGGACGAGCATCCACGGGTGTCTTTGTGTTATGTTGAGGGAGAAATGGTTGTTCTTGGGAGAGGGTCTTGCGCCGGAACAGACTCGGCTTCTGGCTTCGTTCTGCGCGCCCGAGCGCCAGACCGGTAGGTGCGATACCGACAGTGCTTAGCGCACATAGCTACAGGTCATTGTCAGTCATCATGTCTTGCAAGGACCGAAGTGGGGAGCAACAATCTGCGATTGGCGAACCATGGCTTACCGTTGATACGTGATCCATCCTCACAGGGCGCGGAAGAGAGCGATAAGCACCCCGACACTCAGCTCCAGGTCGAACAACTTTGCGAATGACATTCCAGTAGAATGCGCATATGAGGGGGGAAGTCAACGAGCAACAGGTAGGGAGGGGTGTGTTATTGCGCCCGGCTGGAAATCCCTCAAAGCCTGGATGAGCGGGAAAAAAGACGAACAAAAACGAAAGCTGGCCCTCAACTCTCCACAAACAAAGCAAAGACGTTAAGCTCACCTCCTTGGAAGGAGAGAGGAAGAAGAAAGGAGCGATGCGATGGGGGTAAGAACCATGGGGAGCGGAAAACAACAACAAAACTCGGGGATTATCAGCTCCCGCCCTGGACTCACGCTAGGAGAGATCAATAACTTCCCCCTCCTTGGACCCTTACAATATCCTGCTTGATTTGATCTCTGTTTCTTGATTCTTTTTGAAACATGCAAAATTGCAAAGCGCAGAGTGCAGAGTGCAGAAAGCGCAGTGTGCAATCCCCCTGATTAGACTTCAATTCGTCTACGTTTACAGCTCAATGTACGCCAATCTGCATGGAAATACCCCGGCGAGAACACACCAAACAGCACTAGCCCACCTGGGCAGCATGCGGGTGTTATTGCAAATGCAGAAACAGATTAGGATGCTGTCCTGTCATCCCTTGCGGCTCACATTGCATTGGCGTCATAGTCCAGTCTTTTTCAAGGAAACGGAGAAGTCCGTTAAACGCCGCGAGTGGCTCAGCCAGCAGGGAAATGGAGAGCCCAAAAAGCCATGCGATCCAGAATTCCCCACACATCTGGTTTCGGCTGGCTAGGATCGCTTCTTCGGCCCCCTAGCCTGACTAGCTTAGATCGCAAGGGCCCCAGGGCCGATCGGTGTCCACTGGTTTCCTGCCATGAACTGTTGTCCGAGGCAGAACCATGGCTCACTCAATGCTCAAAGGATGTTCAGGAGCTATACTTCATGTGGGAGGAGGTCCTTCTCAAATGGCCTGGTATTCAGGGGCCTTTCAACAAAGTTTTCTCAGTCCACTTTGCAATTTCTCTGGCTTCTGGAAGTTGCAGTTGACGAGTCCAAAAGAAGCGAGATGAGCAAGCTGCAAGGTCTCTTCGCAAGCTTATATGACTTCAACGTTGTCCATGGTGATGCAAAGTGCTTTGATGTTGACCTACGGCCCTAGGACGTGATCTTCGATCCAGAATCGACCTGTTCGCTTCGCAAATCAAGCACGAAATAGCTTGGACAAACAGCTCCAGGTTTGATTGTTTTGATACCGTCATTCCCACTCCACTTTGCAAATGAAAAAGGAAAACTCGTGGGTCGCCCACCGGCCAGAATCGACTCTTACAGCCGGACCTGTGCCGCTTCTCGTTGCGGGTACGTGGCACTTAACTGCCACGGCGTGTCAAATCCGAGCTGAAAGTGGGGGAAATCCTCGTGTTTCATGTTTCAATAAGCTGTTTATTTTCCCTCTCTTTCTCCGAGCTCGTTTTCAGCCGATCAGGCCGACACTCCGAAGCCCTGAGCCAAACCTTCTGGCTCGCTTGAAAGATCGACATCTCCTATCAATCGGGAAGGTCAATTTGGCGCTACAGTACAGGGGATTGATTACCCTCCTCGGCTTAGCTTCGGCCACGTCGAGCATCCCTCAAATGCTATCAGAACAAAATTGCTTGTGGACCTATTGATTCAAATGCTTCTATTCCTGGTTGTGGTTACACCCCCCAAGCGGCTCCATAATAAATCTGCCAATGCTCGTTATGCTGGTCTCGACTGTGCCATATTACATGCAGGTCAGCACATTCCCTGCACAATTTGATGATCGTTGAACGAACCTGGGCGAATGGTTGGCTTTTCACTTCTTGGCAGGCTATTCCCAAAACAGAACTCAAAACAAAGATCGTCCTTTGGGCCTTGGGGCTCAACTCTCGGTCTTGAGGATGCAGGAAACTCGTTTTTCATCTGCTGCAGGATTTTGTGATAAGTAGCCTGCATCTTTGGCGGTCGAGGCGGTTAAACGTCACTTTGACAGGTTCACGTGCGGCATCTCACTAACTTTACACTCCCGATTTCGCTCGATCTAGGTTCATTTGTTGTTGCAAATCGCATCTCATCGCTTCAGCATGAAGCTGCATGGATTCATGAAACGCTCTGCATGCTGCACGAAGTCTCTAATCCGGGCAAGAGTTTCACTAGGGTCCAGTCGATGAACTAGCTAGATAGGCAGGCCACATCTTTTTAGTTTGCGCCCGCCCGTGTCGATATAACATCTTCGGCTGCAAGCTGGAATTTCTTTGGAGAACGCCGGAGAGCGGTCAACCTAGCATGCTTCCACTTGCCTTTGAAGGTAAGATCATGCTCACCATCTCACAGTCGGCCACTGCTCTACGATTAATGATCGGGGAGACACAAAATTGCGACTGCATGACACGTCACAACCTGTCCTTTGCTACGCAAGGGTTTTTTTCTCCTAAAAATAATACTAATTCGTGTGACATCGGGTGAATTTGGCCCCTGTTTTCTTTTTGCAGATGCCCATAGGACCAAAATTGACCTATATCCGATAGCTAACCCGACTGCTTGTCCGCCCACCTTCTTGTTTTGCTGCCTTGGACTTTATTGAAAGGTCCTTACTACAGCTTATATGTGGAAAGTTGAACAGTCTTAAAATATCAACTGTGACCTAGCTCATTTTGAGTTTAATGTTGAAGAGTGTATGCCTATAGATTAGGATATTGAAAGCATTGGTGAGACCAGCGCTCAGAAGCCATGTCCCTCACAAAGACCGGCACCTTGGGATTAAGATGCGTTATGTATCTATCTGGCAACCTTAGATGTCTTAACATTTACCACAGGTATAGACCCAAATAGCTTCTGGAGCATAAGTATCCCACATACCGGAATCGACAAGCCCGGATACCTCACATTGCGTCTCACGATGATCGCTAGAAATTCAGAAGGGCATGCAGTCTCTACTAATATTGCCAACTAGGTTCTCGGAATTCTTAGGAAGTTGATAAACTTTATCCACCTTTGAGCATGTCTGTTCTGTAAGTTATCAGTATGCTATCATTTGTCAGAGGAGCTGTGGCACTTTCAATGTTGCTATTTAATATTACTTAAGATCAAGTATTCTATCACTATCCCTGTCTCCCTCGCTTTATATAAGGTCTCTGTGTATTGTAATCTGTTAATGATATCAATCACCGTTCTATTAACTTATACATTCGAAGTAACAATATTTAAAGAACCTATCAGAGTGTGTCTATGGACAAAGAATGAAACAAGAGAACTAGATTCCGACTGAAATCAAAGCTCAACATCGGCATATCAAATTATATCAAGGAAGTCAGGGTCGAAGGTGATTGTTTAGATCTTGTGGACAACCTTCGAAGAGAATGAGCTGTCGATCGCGAGTCACATGACCTTATCGATAACACACATCCAAAAAGCCCACTCTATCATGGGGACTTCAGTGCAAGAAATCCACGCCCGATTTCTACTAAAGGCTTCAGGTTGTTGCCGGAGAAAATCACGTTCGCCTAAAACTGACACCATGGAGACTCAAATCCAGGCTCAAATCCCTGGTATTGACCATGTCGTCTCGGAATACGCTGTGGTATGTATTTGCAGGTGCGAGGGGCAATGTGAACGAAGCTGACTGTTTAACAGGGCTACCTGACCCATGCCGCAAACCTCTACGTCGAAGACAACAGCGGCCAATCTCCCTTGTCAGAAGCCGCCGAAGCCGTTACCGAGCTTCTGGTCTCCGCTTCTGGAGATTTCTCCCCGCAAAACTACGACACGATCGGCAATTTGGTCGCAAAGTTCATTACTGGCCTCAGTGCCGCGGATGGTACCGATGCCGAGAAGAGACAAATGCCATTCAGGGCTAAGAAGCTGGAACAGGCCATCAATGTTGGCGCACAGCGGAACATGTCCTCAACCCTCGGTTTGGCTGGAAATACAGTCGACCTGGAATCTGCCAATGCTCGAAAGGTTGAGTCCAAGGTGGACAAGAAGAAGCTCGAGAAGGCCGAGCGCAAGATTCAAGCCAAGCAGGACAAGAAGCAGATGAAGAACGTTACCTACGAGTCCTCCCGCTTGCTCAACCAGCCGGACGAGACCATGTCATACGAAGAGTTCTTCATGGCTGTCAATCCTCTTCAGCTGGGCTCTGACTCCCAGGCTAAGAGTAAGGACATCAAGCTGGACAATATCGATATCTCCATCAGTGGTCTGCGTATCCTGACGGATGCTGCCTTCACACTCGCATACGGTCGTCGTTATGGTCTTGTTGGTCAGAACGGTATCGGTAAATCTACACTTTTGCGCGCCCTGAGTCGCAGAGAAATCGCCATTCCCACTCACGTTTCAATTCTTCACGTCGAGCAAGAAGTATGTCGGATCCAATCTACTTGCGTTGCTTTTACTAACTGTCTCTATAGATCACTGGTGACGATACACCAGCCTTGCAGGCAGTCTTGGATGCCGATGTGTGGCGGAAGCATCTGCTTGGAGAGCAAGCTGTCAGTCAAACCCCAATGCGAGGTCTCCATAATTTTACTAATGCACATCACAGAAAATCTCGAAACAATTGGCTGAGCTTGAAGAAGAGAGATCCTCGATGGCAGATACCTCGCAGGATGCTGCTAGACTTGACGAGCAGCGTGAAGGCTTGGACATCACTCTAAGTGATATTTATAGCAAGCTCTCTGAAATGGAATCAGACAAGGCCGAGTCTCGTGCGGCCAGTATCTTGGCTGGTCTTGGTTTCTCCCAAGAACGCCAGCAATACCCAACCAAGACCTTCTCTGGAGGTTGGCGAATGCGTCTGTCTTTGGCGCGAGCACTGTTCTGCGAGCCCGATTTGCTCTTGCTCGACGGTATGATCTACTGCCTCTATCCAACGCGTAACTTGCTGACTGTTCATAGAACCGTCCAACATGTTGGACGTTCCGTCTATCACTTTCCTTTCCAATTACCTCCAAGGATACCCCAGCACCGTTCTTGTGGTTTCTCACGATCGTGCATTCTTGAACGAAGTCGCTACGGATATCATTCACCAACACTCCGAGAGACTGGACTACTACAGGGGTGCTAACTTCGGTGAGTCATACAACCCCGAGGCACTTGAAATCATGCTCACACTGTATAGAATCCTTCTACGCAACTAAGGAGGAGCGTCGGAAGACTGCCAAGCGCGAATATGAGAAGCAAATGGGCGAGAGAGCACACTTGCAAGGTATGGATCCATCGCTTGCTGTCAATTGGGCTGGACTTACAATTTCCCAGCGTTCATTGACAAGTTCCGGTATAATGCCGCGAAATCCTCCGAAGCCCAATCAAGAATCAAGAAGCTTGAGCGTATGCCGGTTCTTGAAGCTCCTGAGAGCGAATACACCGTTCACTTCGCGTTCCCCGAGGTTGAGAAGCTCTCACCACCTATTGTTCAGATGTCTGAAGTTTGCTTCGGTTACACCAAGGACAAGCCTCTTCTCAGGAATGTTGATCTGGATGTTCAGCTCGACTCGCGTATCGGAATTGTCGGACCTAACGGTGCTGGTAAGACCACAGTACTGAAGCTTCTCACTAACCAGCTCGAACCAACATCCGGTCTCTTGTCTACCAACTCGAGACTGCGCATTGGATTCTTTGCCCAGCACCACGTTGATGCTCTGGACATGACAACCAGCGCAGTCGGCTTCATGACTAAGACCTATCCCGGAAAGACCGACGAAGAGTACCGGAGACACTTGGGAGCGTAAGTCATACCCCAACAGTCTACAGAAATACTCCAGGCACTAACTTATCCTCATAGATTCGGTATCACTGGCACAACTGGTCTCCAGCGCATGGGACTCCTGTCTGGAGGTCAGAAATCTCGTGTGGCCTTTGCTTGCCTGTCGTTGACTAACCCCCACATCCTTGTTCTTGACGAACCTTCTAACCACTTGGATATTGAGGGTATGGACGCATTGTCAGATGCGCTTCGCAAGTTTGAGGGAGGTGTTGTGATGGTTTCTCACGACGTGACCATGTTGCAGAATGTTTGCACCAGTCTCTGGGTCTGTGATGGTGGTACTGTGCACAAGTTCGACGGCACCGTTAACGCTTACAAGAAGAGGATCACCGAGCAGGCTGATGCTGCCGGTGTTGTGGCCAAGCACTGAGGTCAAGTTAAGCCAAAAGCGATACATGTATAGTGTAGTATCAACTAAAAAGATGAATTTTCTCTTTAATGAGCGCAGCCAACACTCTAATACACTTTCCACCCTTTCCTTCTAGGAGACTATCCAATGCTTTAAGATTGACACCTCTTGTATACACTGAACTTCCTTTTTCCTAAAACGGTCTTGTAAACGTCGGCATTCCGGAACCTGATTTCCGCCTCCTTATCGGCTTATCGTGACCCGGACGTCACTTGAACATTAACGTACCTTGGATATTCTTCGGGTAGAATCTAAGAACTGATTTCAGTTCTCTAAGGATAGAGCCTTAGAATATGACAATCTCAGATGAGCAAGACACATCGGGCCCCAACGCACCCTTGCTCGCCTCCCCGTATGCTCGAGACCACGGCCATGAAGACCATGGCAATGAAAGCCTGGCCTCCGAACTGGAATACTCCGGGGGCTGGTTCATATGGGCGTTGACCTTCTCAGCAGGAATAAGTGGTCTCCTCTTTGGATATGAGTATGCTTTCTGCTCCAGCGAATGCCACGTTGCGACTGCACTTTTCTGCCGGATAACGGCTAACAGTTGTTTGAACTTCCAGCACAGGAGTCATCTCCTCCACTTTGGTGACAGTCGGCACAGATCTCTCAAACCGAACATTGACAACTCTTGACAAAAGCTTAATTACATCATGTACAAGCCTATTTGCGTTAATAGCTAGTCCTTTCACCGGGGTTTTAGCAGACAAGCTTGGCCGTCAGAAAGTTATACTTGGCGCAGATGCACTATTTGCTCTAGGGGCTTTGGTACAGGCTTTAACAACCCAGGTTTGGGGCATAATTCTGGGGAGGAGTATTGTTGGACTTGCGATTGGGAGCGCAAGTGCGGTTACTCCATTGTAAGTTGACCGCATGCCATGAGTCAGAATGACAGCCATTTCAGCCATTCCATGCGACGGATATTATAGCAAGATTGCTAATGGGGTATCTGCAGGTATATTTCTGAGTTGGCACCATCAAGTGCGAGAGGAAGACTTGTCACTATTCTCAGTCTGTTTATCACCGGTGGGCAGGTGATAGCATACATAGTTGGCTGGCTTTTCTCCAGCTCACCTGGGGGCTGGCGCTGGATTGTAGGCCTTGGAGCACTCCCCGCCTTTTTTCAGCTTGCGATTCTTGCTTTCCTACCCGAGACGCCTCGGTGGCTAGTCCAGGCTGGATTTGATACCCAAGCAAAGGCAGTTCTACGCAAGATCTACCAGGGCTGCCCTGGATGTGAGGGCGTGACAGACAGGGTCTTGCACGATATCAATAAGGAGATTGATGAAGAAGTATCGGAGTTAGGGCAAGGAAAAGATCGTGGTACCAAACCACAATGGTTGCATGATACCCTTGAACGCGGGCAGCAGTTATTCCAAGGCGGAAATAGGAGAGCATTGATTATTGCAATGATGCTTCAGGCAGTCCAGCAACTATGTGGCTTCAACAGTCTGATGTACTTCTCCGCAACGATATTCTCAGCTCTGTCGTTCTCATCCCCGACCTTGGTTTCTCTTTCAGTGGCGTTGACCAACTTCATATTCACGCTTCTTGCATTTGCATTCATTGACAGAATTGGGCGTCGACGCATTTTACTTTATTCCATGCCCGTCATGACGATTGCCCTCATTGTCTGCGCGCTGTCATTTTCTTCCTTGAAAGATGTATGGAATAAGCAACCACCAACACGACACGAAGAGGCCCCTGACGATTCTGGATCTCTCATGCCGCTTGCTATCTTGTTCTGCCTTACCGTATACACTGCGGCTTACGCCTTTGGCCTCGGAAACGTTCCATGGCAACAATCAGAACTCTTCCCTCTGAGCGTGCGCTCTCTTGGCTCATCATTGGCCACTGCCACTAATTGGGGATCAAACTTCATTATTGGCCTTACGTTCTTACCCATGATGGAATGGATCTCACCGTCGTGGACTTTCCTTGTCTATGCACTAGTCTGCGTAGCTGGATGGGCTGCAGTATGGGCAATCTACCCGGAGATGAGCGGACTCAGTCTTGAAGAAGTGAAAGGTCTTTTGGTAGAGGGCTGGGGCGTTCAAGAAAGCCTGCAACGAAGGCGTGTTGCACCTCATACTTAACATTGGGTATAGATTATCTTGACCCTAGCTGAAATGAAATTGAGTTGACCAACCTAAATTCATGCAATACAATTTCGTTTCATCATTGCGCTCATCTCGTGCCATCATCTACATTGACCGGTGCTAGCCCTATTTCCGCCCGTATGACAGAATGACCACGCACCAACCCTACCATACCTCACTCCGTTCTTACTCACGTGAACATCGAAAGGAATCATCGCCTTCGATATGAAAACCATCGAGAAACCTCTGCCAACTACTCCAAACCCAGCTGTCACGCCAAACGCGTATGTTGGATCGACCTTGTACCGACCACCACAATACCTCACTCCGTTTACTAACGTGAATATCAAACAGAGCCATGAACGTCGATACGAACAATATCAAAATGCGGCTTCCAGCTACTCCAAAGCCAGATACCGCGCAAGACGCGTATGTTGGATGGCCTTTCCACCAACCCATATTTCACCCCCATTTTACTAACGTGGCGCCGAACAGAACTATGGCCTCCGATATGAAAGCCATCGAAATGCCTCTGCCAACTACTCCAAACCCAGCTGTCGCGCCAAACGCGTATGTTGGATCGACCTTGTACCAACCTCCACCATACCTCACCCCGTTTTACTAACGTGAAATTCGAGCAGAGCAATGGACTTCGATATGAACAATACCAAAATGCCGCTTCCAGCTACTCCAAAGCCAGATATCGCGCAAGACGCGTATGTTGGATGGCCCTTCCACCAACCCATATTTCAACCCATTTTTTTTAACCTGGCGCCGAACAGAACTACGACTCTCGATATGAAAGCCATAAAAATGCCTATGCCAGCTTATCCAAAGCCAACTGCCCCGCAGAACCCTCCTGGTGTTCCAAAGACCATTTTTAGCCTTCCCAACGAAGTAAGTTCAGCATGACTTCTACTAGACAGTATATTCGGCTCATTCCCAAAACCAAGATTCTCCAACAAATTGCTACTCTTCTCCCAACCGACAGAGACATTCTTCACTTTTCTCAGGCATGCAAGAAAATGTGGACCCAAGTCTATGCTTCGGAGTCAGCAGTCTGGCGAAACCTGTTCGCCAAACGCTACGACATTCTATCCGTTCGACCCTCAACAGAGTTCAGAAACGAGTATCTCATTCGAGTTATTGTTCTCAATGCAAGTATCAACTTTTCGGAAAAGGAAGACGACCGCCAGCATATGTGCATGGAAGTGATGCGGACGATGCTCGAGGAAGCCATTACGGCTCATCTCAAGCCAGAGTCTTCTTCGAAGACCCTATTCCGACTTCGAGAGTCTCTCAAGACCATGAATTTTCTCAAATGTCTCCAAAAAGAAAACCCATCTGAGCTCTTCTTCGCCCTCCAACTGGTAAGGTTTCTTTTTCTTTTTTCGTTGGACAGAACCATGAAGCATTTTTTTAATTCCTAATCATTACAGGCCATGACTCCCCTTGCACTTGACTTAGATATCACCCGAGCATGTCACCGCGATCATTACAATCTGGCCACCATCTACTCATTCGATGAACAACTGAACATGCCTTATATCGACAAGACTCAACTCAACCTTGACAAACTGCTACAAATCCGGAGTTTTTGGCAACGCCACTTGTTGACTGAGTCAGAGTTTACTTATTACGAGACCTTCGCGGCTCTTCCGTCACATTTGAAGCCTGGTGTCCGAAAGGCCGACCCAAAGGATGGAAGCAATCTGAGTGCCTCGTGGCTGGGCTTGTACTGTGAGATATCAACCAAACTTCATGAGCATGATTCATGACACAAACTAATTTCTTGATCGCTCTTTCCTTAGCCTGTCTACACCCCTTGCCAGATTCTTTGGAGGAACTCGCCCAGCTCAACCGACAAACATGCGCCGACATGGAGAACCACGTGGATATGATTGACATCATGGTTAGTTTACAACTTAGACAACTTAGACAAAGTGAAAAGAATCTTGCTCAGCCGCAACCTTGCTTAGAATCTCGAAATCGAAGCGCAGCCCGGCGTGGATGTTTTCTGGCCGGAAGTCTGCACCATGATTGCGCCCCCGGTTGGGCCCGAGACAGACCGCATGTACTTCCAGGGCAAACAGGGCATTCATGGGCCCCCTGGCGAGGAGGAGAACACTGTCTTTGGATTTACCGAGGACATACATACAACCTACGGTGGTATCGGTGGATGGAAACGGATTTGCTTCACCATCTGCCAAGGAAATACCAGCACGACCTTCCAGAGCAAACTGGCTGGTGATGAGTGGGTGCACTGCTACGAGGCTCTCATCATACCCGGGGGACGATTAATGCTGGGACGCTGGGTGGACATGAAGAACGAGACTGGTCGCGGACCCTTCATTTTTTGGGATCTGTGATGTGTAAATTGGGACTGGAGAGGGTACAGCGTCTCTTGAACTTAGATAGGGGCACCTGGCAAGAGAAAGAAAGAGAAGAGGACTAGAAACGGAGATTTCAACAAATCTTGGATAGTCTCTTTGTGATTTGGTCTAGATTATCCGGTCCATAAAACCGATTTAGTGAAAAGTAGCGTGTCCTTTAGTTCAAAGGCGAGAAGAAATTATGCGTCGAGGAAGGGAATAGATAACATGAAAAAGAAATAGCCACTACTCTTCAATATCCTTGACCTTCTCCCACTGGCCCTTGAGGTTCTCCTTCCACAAACTGACCTTGTTGTCGCCTCCACTTACAGCAAGGATGTTACCGCTGAGACTCCAGCTCACACGCCACAGAACAGTATCAAATTCGAGAGTTTGGCTAGACCACTGGCCAGGGTTAGAGGCGTCAGAGGTCCAGATGCGAACGGTCTTGTCTTGCGAAGCCGAGGCAATGTAGGACTTGGAGAGAATACTGGGGGACCAGGCCACATCACGGACCCAGTCCGAGTGACCCTCGAGGGTTTGAGTAGGGTTGTAAGACTTGGATTCAGCGCTGCGGAATAATCAGTATATACGATAAAGCAATTGCAAGCCAGAAAACATACTTGTAGTCCCAAATCTTGACTAAATTGTCACTGCCACCAGTGACAAAACGGCGCTGTTGACCGGGTCCGGGGTTGGAGCTAATCAGGCTACCGGCAAAGGCGGCGGGAGCCCAGCTAATCGAGTTGACACCCATTCCGTGGGCGTGGAAGGTCTGATGGGTCCAGTTGTTGTCACGGAACTCGAGCACGCTAACATGGCCATCGGAGGAAGCGCAAGCAAGGAGACATCCGCTCTCATGGGGAGCCCAGGAGACCATGTTCACGGAAGCAGTGTGGAGGGAGAAGTCGAAGACCTTGGTCCATGAGCTGCCACTGGCGGGGGAGGTAGCATTCTGGGGTTGTTCGCGCCAGATCAAGACCTTTCCGTCGTAGGAGGATGATGCAAGAATTGTGCCAAACTTGGGGTGAGCCTAGAGCAAGAGGAGGACACTGTTAGTCTGGCTGCGGAGCGCAATGGCTAATGTTTTGGGCCACTACTTACCCATGCGACGCACCACACTGCGCCCTCGTGACTATCAAATATCCAAATCAGCAACCAAATTATGGACTGCGACAATTCACCACGCTAGCTCACCCCTTCAGTGTCTCTACGAGACGGTGTGACTCTCCCTCAACTTCAAAGATCTTTATCGTCTTGTCGGAAGAGCATGTTGCCAATCTGCGGCCGTAGTAATCCAAGGTGGCATCATGCTATAATTCAGGAAGCTCTGTCAGCCAAAGCTCCACAGCCGACACCTAGAGCTGTCAATTGAATGGAATCTCCAAGCACATACAATCATCTCCTCGTGCCCCGAGTTCGAGATCACCTGAGCGGAAGCCTGGAGTTTTAAAGCTGTTAGCAGGGCGATTGGGGTAGAATGGCAGTTATACACATAAATACACTCACCATTTTGTGGTTATCAGAAGCGACAAACAATGAAAAGTAGAGGAGAGAAGCGGGACTAGAAACTCCCTGTTTGTATGGGCCAAACAACTGGCCTGAATCCGCTTATCCTTATCGTGCTGACTCAGGACACGTGATGATTCCGGGGCCTCGGTCGAGCATCGGCAACCCCACGATCTCGGTTTGTCTTCTGATCTTCTCACCTTCCTGTCACCAAATTTGTTTCTTTATTGCTTACTGGAGGACCTTCTTGCACTAATCATTCTACTGAAATAATCTCTTGCTGATCATCACGGTCATCATGGCTGATGCACTATGTGGACCGTCAAATGCGCTTCAGAACTTCCAGAAGCATACATCGGTTGATCGAACCCTTCAGCAAGATCGGCTATCTTCTAAACAATCACCTACCCAGGTTTGTGATCATTAGAGATCGTTTTGGGTTGATTAGTGCTAACTTCAGCTCTTCAGGGGTTCCGATCCCAGAATCCTCGAGAAGGAATACTTGACCCGGAGTTCGCCGCATTCGAAGCTAATACCGCCGGTCCTGCACTGCCAGATCTACAACACCCGGCTCATTTTGGAGGACCAGCACAGCACTATACTGCACAGCACCCTGTACATCACCCGGCGAATGCCAGTTGGGCGTCAGACTTCCAGAACTTGCAGATCTCAGGGCCTTCGCACCCTGTATCGCAACTACAAAGACCCAATATCGCACCAGCTACAGCACATGGCGGGTGGCAAAATGAATTTATGAACCAACATCAACGAGTACCTATGTCCCAGGCTCAGCAGAATCCGCAAATGCTTGGTGGCTACCAGGCATCCTTTGCGCCCAGCTACCCGATGTATGGTGCCATGAATCAGCTGCAACCCCCGCAAGCTATGCAGCCCGAACAACAGAAGCCTATGGAGCAATTTGACGAATCGGCCTTTGAGGCTGCATTCGACCAGGCAAGGGCGGACATGGAGTTACAGGGGGCCGACCTCACCCGGCAAAATACTCAGCAGACTCTGGATAGTGATAAAGTTGATGCCGTGGAACCCATCGCGCAAGAACAGATCCGACTTGGATCGGACCTCATTCCTCAGAGCGACAAGGAAGATCCTCAAACACGGGCCCGAGATGCAGATGAGCTTGCCCGGACCGCCGGTCAACTGCTTGATAGCGTCCGCAATGAACAAAGCACGAAATTCCAACAAAGCAACTTCTTAGCCTTGATGCGCCGAATTCGAGATCGGGAAGTGGAGGTTGAAGGGGATGAGTTCCGTGAAGTCAGTACCAACCCGTAACGGTTTGGATGTCGGACGACAGAAACACCGGTATAATTTGGACAATCTACGAGGGCGTTTGTCCTTGCTAATTTTGGTGCAGACGGCGCAGTCTCTTCACCCAGGTGGACCATATTACCCGGGCCAACCCTACCCTGATCCCGCCATTACCCCAAGCAGTAAGGAGCCTCCCCTACCAACAGGGACCGACGTCAAACGTCTATGAGAAACAACGCAGAACCTGACCAGGCATTGCTCCTGCCCAGACGGTATAGACACTAGAGACCCCCCGGCAGCCGAAGAAGGAACCAAAGATTTACGGGCCGGTTCTTTTGGTGACACAAACGCCCTGTATGAAGGCTTGATTCATAGCCAGGGACTAGTGGACAGGCGCATGACCCCATGCCCTTTGAGGAAGGATTTGGAATCACACTTTATACACTAGATCTCCAGGGCATTTGAGTACAAAGGGGCGCAGCATCATATTTTATTGATACCCACGAACAATAGCAAGCACGTGATCTCTATTCAGCGACAAGCCTCCATTGACTTTGACCGATTAGGCAACTCAATGGCCAAAGCTGGTCTCTGATTGGTCGCCTATTGAATATCCTCCTATTGTGCCCATTGAATTGCTACCAACAATAGACACCTCTAAATCTGACTTAAATTTCCAACTTTGAGCCTGACTTCTTCTCTTCTCCCCTTCTCACCTTCACATACTCCCACTTCTTTTGCCTCCATCATGCTTCCTCCATCAGATTCATTTCGTCATCAGCTCCAAAAGCTTGCAGAGGTGAGAGCTAACCGCAACAACCCTCCACCTACTCCACCTCCGGCATATACTTTGTCAGCCTGTCTACCTGACGGAAGAACCGTCATGGCCATCGACCCCAATCAAGAAGAGGAGTCTGGCCCTATCATCATTCGAATTGACAACTCCATCTCTGTCAATGGCGAGGACAATACAGTCATCGTACCTTCTGGAGCAACTCGGGCTGCAACGCAGACCGAAGCAGACTCCTGCTCCGCCAACAGGCCTACTCCACGACACACGAATATGTCATCAACTGTGACTGCAATTATTGATGCTTTGAACCGTGTTAACGCACTCTGCGATATGTCTGGTAACCTGCGAACCCTTGAGGTTGACCTCAATGCCGGCATAAAGATTGATGGTCGAAACAACACAATCTGTATGGGTAACGTGGCTAAGGTTCCCCAGCCTAAGACGCAGGCGCCCGCGGTCAGACAGAATCTTGGCCATAAGCGTCGTGCAACATCGGTGTGGTTATGATTATTCACAACGACATGAATCATCTGCTGACTTGATACAGGAGCCCGCCGGATGCCCTCCATCCACTCGCCTTCGCACCTAGTCCTGAGATTCAAAATCAATATTTTTCATTTCTTTATTTTCATTTTGGTGTTTGGATTTTAATCCTTTGGCTTTGGCAATCTTTCTTCAAGTATCTCCTTTAGCGTCATGTGTTGGCAGGTGATGATAAATCCAGTGTCACATTGCTTTGTTCTAGTCCCCTGTATACCTAGATGCTTGACTTGAGTTATTTTCTTTTAACGTTGGTGGTCTGTGTAAGCTTCCATCGCTTTATGACTTATGAATTCGATTGACATTTCGGTCTTCAGTTTACTCTTTAGAAATATCAATGCTATTTTGTTCCCTGGTAAGCCAGAATTCCAATGAAATCAAATTTATCCAATAAGAAGGGTTGGTATTGCACTAGTGTCAAGGAGAATTGTACTACCAAAGTGGCAGCTCTCTTGACTACCTTCGAAGTTTTTCTTATTTACTATGGGAAATCTGACAATTTACCTAATTCTTAACACCCCTGGGGCTCTACATTGAATTATACATGTAAATTGGCCCAAATAGCGGTGAGGAGGTCCTGAGCCCCGATGATCATGGCAACTTTTCCTGCGGGGGGCTTTCCAATAACAGAGAACAAAGACTCATATTGAGCGACGTGGGTATAGCAGGTCAAATGAGGGATGTGCTCTTGTGGATCTCATTGACACGCTTGCAGCCCAAATGGTTAGACTTGGTCGCGTGTGGAACACTGTTGACCCACTGTATTTATGGGGTATTGATCTGGTGGCAATGGGATTGGGGATCTAGCTTGAACAACATCTTCTAATTTACGCTCTTGATTCACAGGAAACATCACATTGCAAATGGATGGCTGGGATGACGAGCCTGTCTGGAGGATTCCTCTGCCGAAGTATGAACATCCACCAGAAACAAAATGTCCGCGTCAGTAATCATATCATTGTTGATGAGAACTCCGATTCTGACACTATCACCAGTGGAATATGCAAAAGTCGCTACTATTGATCTTTCTGAATATGATCGTCCCGGAGGTAGGGATCGAATAGCAAACCAATTCAAAGAATGCGTGCATGACTTTGGTATTTCTCTCCACTTCCATGAACTTCTCAACGGATACTGACAGATAGAGGCTTCTTTTATCTTACCAATATTGGCCTCTCGCAGAATGAAATTGACCTACAATTTGCCATTGCCAAAGCCTTTTTTGAACTGCCATTGGAAGAACGACTGAGACACCTTGCACCTTTACATCAAGGAAATTACAATGGCTACCGGCCACTAGGTACCCTGAGTTTGTTTCCAGGGTTGCGAGACTCATTGGAATTCTACAGTATTTTCAAGTTTATCCCTCAAAGCCAACGCTCGCAACCGGAACTTATCCAGCAATATTCAGCTGAGATCGAGAGATTCTCTCGTCATATGCATGAAAATGTTTCATTCAAGCTCCTACGAATTCTTGCCACTATGCTTGAACTGCCCGAAGATCAATTTGTGAATGGAAACCGCTATGAAGACGAATGTGATAGCTCCATCCGGTACATGTTATACCACGCACGGGCGCCGGAGGAAAACAAGATGTTTGACGATTACTACCTACGCGGCCATACAGACAAAGGCACATTGACGTTCCTCTTCCAACAACCAATAGCAGCATTGCAAGTGCAGCGAGTGCAGGCGGACTGGGAGCATTTAAGGATCCCCGCCGGTACTGTGGCAGTGAACATTGCCGATGCATTGCAGTTTCTGACGAATGGGTATCTGAAGAGTGGCTTACATCGGGTCATGGCACCACCAAAAGACCAGGTGCATATGGACCGGTTGGGGCTTTTATATTTTGTTCGTCCGACGGATAAATTGCCTTGGAAGTCGCTAGATAGTCCGTTTCTGAGGAAGGCAGGTTATGCAAAGACCACTGAGCATGATAGCGAAATTTCCGGGCTGGAGTGGTGGAGGGCAGGCGTGAAGGCTCGTAAAGGAGCGAGTTACTCAAAACAAACAGCTCGTTCAAGTACCGAACATTAGTGGGTGGCAACTCGATCTACTGAGCAGATGAGAACGGCAGTGTGCAACTGCCATTAGCTCGAAAGGCCAGTGCCTATATCGCCTTCAATCTTTCTATATTACTACTTCGTATGAATAGGTTACTAGCTATAGTTATTACCTCTCTTTCACATTTTGAGTTATGAAGGTAAGGATCACTCATGTGAATGAGAACTGAGAAATTAGAGAATGATGGTAGAGTATCTACAGTTATTACCTTTCTTTCACCTTTTAGCGAAAGGATCATTTACATTAATGAGAAAACAGGAGAATTAAGAGAGAGAACTGAGAGAGTGCTAAGAGAGTGCTACTTCTTTGTTATATCTTAAAATCGAAGATATTTTTAGAAATCTTCTATTATTTTACATAGTTCTATACGTTTTTATGGGAATCTCTATTCCCTTATAAGCTCTTATACGATGTCTATTTTCATATATTTACTTTATAAGTTAGTTCCTTAAAATTTTTCCTAGTATATATGTTTATATATATTAGTTCTTAGTTTGAAGTTCTACATTCAAAAGGTACTTAGCTTACAGAGCCAGTACACTTAGGATATAGTTTAGAAATACACCATTAATAAACAATTGATGGCAGAAATAGGGGCACGGGCCTTTTGAGCTAATGGCGACTACACACTGCCGTATATCTGGGATCCCATAGGATCGGTGCGAGATTAGCTAATCACCCCACTACACAAGTGCACAGTCATCGCTCTACAACTTTCGACCACTTCGCTCATTGATCGTGGTCTCATATTCAAGATGGCGCCTTTGATTACCCTCGCAACATGTGCGCTGAATCAGTGGAGCTTGGATTTCGCTGGTAACTTGAAGCGGATCAAGCAGAGTATCATCAAGGCCAAGGAAGCTGGTGCAACTCTGCGTGTCGGACCAGAGCTCGAGATTCCGGGTTACGGTATGTCTGGAGTTATATACAAGTAATCTATGTCTTCTTGGCTTTTTTGACTAATTACAATAACACAGGCTGTCTCGACCACTTTCTGGAGAATGAAGTGTACGATAACTCATGGGACTCCCTCTATTCGATTCTGACAGACCCTGCTCTGCATGGTATCATGATAGATGTTGGACTTCCTCTTCTTCACCGGAACTGTAGATACAATGCTCGTGCTATTATTCTGGATGGAAAGATCCTCTGCCTGCGGCCCAAGCTCTATCTTGCCAACGACGGTAACTTCCGCGAGATGCGCTTCTTCACGCCATGGAACAGACCTAGACACGTTGAGCAGTACTACTTGCCCCCATTTATTCAGAAACACCAAGGCAGTCGTCATGTTCCTATCGGTGACGTTGTTATCTCCACCATTGATACATGCCTTGCTGCCGAGACATGCGAGGAGCTGTTCACACCCAACAGTCCTCACATCGACATGTTTGTAACCCTTTCTTTCTGAAATAATTTCTGAGATGCTAACTTGATATGACCAAAGGGGACTCAATGGCGTAGAGATCTTCACAAACAGCAGTGGAAGTCATCATTCTCTCCGAAAGCTCAACGAGCGCATTGCTTTAATTCAAGAGGCTACTCGCAAGAATGGAGGTATCTACCTCTACTCCAACCAACTTGGATGTGATGGCGATCGATTGTGAGCAATCCCAGACCTGCCAAGGATTCCTGCAAGAATATCCAGACAGGCACCCTGAGTTATTACTGCAAATAAGAACCGTACTGATCTCAAACAGGTACTATGACGGTTGTGCCATGATATTTGTCAACGGCAATATCGTAGGTCAATCGAGCCAGTTCTCCTTGAATGAGGTTGAAGTTGTGGTTGCGACTGTGGATCTTGAAGAAGTGAGAGCCTTCAGGTTTGCGCCTTCACGTGGCATGCAGGCGGTTGCAGCCCCGGAATATCAACGGATCGAAGTCGATTATTCTCTATCACGAGAAGATGAAGTGTTTGTGCAAAGCAGAACCCCTGTCAGACCACCACGCTATCATCTCCCCGAAGAAGAAATTGCCCTTGGACCTGCATGCTGGCTTTGGGATTATCTCCGGCGATCCAAGGCCGCTGGCTTCTTTGTTCCTCTATCTGGGGGAATTGATAGCTGTGCGACTGCCACCATCGTGTTCTCTATGTGTCGTCTTGTCATTCAAGCTATCGAGGATGGAAACGAGCAGGTAATTGCAGATGCGAAGCGCATTGCGGCTTTCACCACTGAACTTCCCAAGACGGCTGAAGAGCTGTGCAACCAGATCTTTTTCACTTGCTATATGGGAATGGAGAAGCAGAGCAGCAAGGAAACAAGGGACCGCGCCAGAATTCTATCTGAGAAGATTGGGTCTTACCACACAGATGTGAATATTGATGACATGTTCAACTCCACCAAGAATATGTTGACCCAAGCCACCGGATTTGAGCCAAAGTTCAAAGGTTCGTATATAGTTATGCTGCTTCATCTCAATGAAAAGTCTACTAATCTATTTCAACAGTTCACGGTGGAACTGTCACGCAAAACCTGGCTCTTCAAAATATCCAGGCCAGATCCAGGATGGTGCTTGCCTACTACTTTGCCCAGGAGCTGTGTGAGGTCAGAAACCGCCCTGGAGGCGGTGGTTTGCTAGTACTTGGAAGCTCCAACGTAGATGAATGTCTACGCGGATGTAAGTGTTCTCTATCTTTAGAGGTAGCCATCTTTGAATTATGTACGCTGACTTCCAAAACAGACTTGACAAAGTACGATTGTTCATCTGCGGATCTCAACCCAATTGGATCTATCAGTAAGGTCGACCTGAAGCGATTCATTGCCTGGGCCTCCAAAGACTTCGATCTCCCCATTCTCCAAGACTTCATCCATGCCACGCCTACCGCCGAACTTGAGCCCATCACTTCTGATTATGTATGTGGATCATCGCTCTGTATAGACCATGATACTAACCGTTCAAAGACCCAAAGCGATGAAGTCGACATGAAAATGACCTACGCGGAGCTTTCCCGCTTCGGTACATTGCGTAAAGTCAACCACCTCGGACCCTTCGGAATGTTCCTCCGACTTCTCGAAGAGTGGGGTGGTGAAGGCAAGCTCAGCCCACGCGAAATTGGCGAGAAGGTGAGCCATAAATATCCATCACGCCCCCCTTCCCCGTCCGAATATTTCATTGCTAACTGGCTGGTAGGTCAAACTGTTCTTCCACTTCTATCAGATCAACCGTCATAAGCAAACGGTTGCTACACCCTCCTACCATGCCGAGAGTTATTCGCCCGACGATCACCGATTCGACCTTCGACCCTTCCTGTACCCACCCGGATTCGAGAGCTGGTCTTTCCAGAAGATCGATGCTCGTGTCGAAGCAATGGAGAAGAGGACCAAAAAGGCAGCCTGAATTTAGATTAACAAACCTGTACAATGCGGCGGATATCACTCGCCATGACTTAGATGAACTTGGACTTTGTCTTGTTAGACCTCAATTGAATCAAGATTGCCCTGAATACGAAAAGCACTACCAGGCCTCAAAAAAAGGGCACATATCAACAGAAAAAGCCTCGCACAACTTCCGCGGTGGTCAAATTCCAAGGGAGTAGACATACAACGACACTCACGGTTTAGCCACACCTTCAACAACATTGGAGGTTGAATTTTCTCCCATTGCTCAAGTTAGAGTGCAGAAAATCAACCAAGCAACCAAAGCAAATACGTGGACGCAGCTGAAAACCGAGTGGCTTCGATGCGAATGCTGGGGCCTAAGCGAGTTGTGCCCTTGGCCCCAATGCATTGAGTCTTCCTGCTCTGACTTCGTTGGTGAAAATATCTCAGACTCAACATTTGCGGAGTGTTTCTTTTTGCTTTTTCTTTCAAATCCCCGCTTTGCTCCAAGCTGAGCTGATTATGAGCCTCGTCTGATTGGTGATTATTTCTGCGAGTTCGCTCTTAGGGCCCGTTCCGCCAGCCACCGAAATCCAGCCCATGCATGTGTCAAACTTGAATATTCAGTAGATGGTAGCGAGCTCACGTCATTGGTGAGATAGAGCTGTAGAGGATGCTGTAGACTCAGAACCAAGCCTATCAGGATTCGCCATGCCATTTGCTAGGTGATCCTATGAAGAAGTCTTACGCGTTCTGTTTGATAGCTTATCACCCACTAAATGTATGAAACATACTGTAGACATGATTCAGTTCAGATAAATAAAAAGATGCAATATTGAAGTGAACAGGTTATTATAGCTCATCTATGCATTAGTTCCATGCCCTAGGAAGGTCGCTCTCCCAGTTCCATAGCCCGTGGCGCTCTCAGACCCCCATCTTTCTTCCCGTTCATCGCCCGACTCGCCATGTTCTTCCTCATCCTTGTCCATGCATACGTGATGTTGGCTACATTAGGCAGATGCGAGTTGTCCCCGCCTCGCACGGGGATTGATTCTTCTTTCAAGATGCCCGCTCGAATCATTTCGTTGACGCTCTGATGGATCTCAGCATCCAATGGGAGATCGCGGGGGGCACCCAGGTTTGGTGGGAGTCGACGAGGAACCCATTTTCCTTTTTCTAATTCGAGACGAGTGAAAATGGGAAGACATTCTGAGCGCACCAATTAGTCTCATTTCCGTGAGATGAGAGGCATGAAGAAATGAACGCTCACCTAGAATCCACCACATAATGACCATCACAAAAAACGTTCCATACCCAAATCGCAGTGTGTCGTGGGGCTGATTAGTTTCTCTTCGAATATCGAACGCATTAGTCCCCGGCTGCTCTTGTCCAGGGAAGGCATTTTCTTTCTTGACTACATCATCGACATTGAGGGTCTGGAATGACAGCTTGCTCTCCGAGCCCTCCAAATTCAGGACTTCTTGAATCATCCAGTTCAAAGGAGTGTCGGAGAGGAGATGCTTCTGACCACGCTGAAGTCCATAACCACCGCCAACATCGCAGTGGTTTCCAGCAAACCAAACTTCCTTGAGATCTACCGGATACTTATCCTGATCTATGAGGAAAAGGGCCGGCTTAAATTTCAGTCGTCGCTCATGAATTGACACCGCATGTCGGATATGGTGAGCCGCTGGATTGACAATCGATTTGTAGGAGGTGCGGTAGAATGGAATTTCAAACTGACCAACACTATTCACACAGTCAAAAAGACCGAGGAAATGAACCCCTATCCCTGGGCGACAGAATGTAGTCTTGAAATCCTCCAGATAATTCTGCAATTTGATGTCTTTGGCGGTTGGGGGGTCGTTGGCGCGCGATTGCTGGTAGTTACTAAACGTTTCCCAGGCAAAGTGAACCATTTCTTCATTTCCCTGAGAAAGAAGTCCCAGATCTTGAATCATTTCTGCAAGGAAGCGAGCTGTGTATGCGCCCCGCGAGAACCCGAAAATGTAGATATGATCTCCAGGGAGGTAATAGCGCATTGCGAACTGGTAACCGGCCAGAACATGACTCCGAAACGAGGAGCCAACTGCTTGGTCAACAGTCGTGATAATGCTGGATTTGATCTTGGGCCAAATGGTGAACAGGTTTCCACTGGAGCTTTCACCTTTGACATAGGTGCCAATTCCCGCTAGAAGAGATATGAGCTTCACATTGACGTCGGCTGGGTGGTTACATACGCTGGTAGTAGTGGAATTGACCAGGCGAATTCCTCTCGAGCATTTGATAGATTTTCACGATGTTTGTGTCCGACTCATTACCTTGAAATCGATTGCCTGTCCCATCGAAGCAAAGCACAATTCGACGGGGACCAGAGGCTGAAGCTGGTATATTTGGTTCCTGGGATGCGTGCGGCATAGCGATTTCGAACCAAATAGGATCAAGTGAAAGTCTATAGTGCTGCAATGAGGTTTTAGTAAAAAACCAGAGGGAAACCTGTAGCCCAAGAAGACAAAGACCATGAATTGCGCCAGCCACGACGAATCCTTAGTCTTGCAGAGTGATCACACCAAGCTGCAGGAATCCATTTTCAGCTCTCCTCATCACTGACATGTTCATGCACCCCCTCCACTATGCATGCTCAACTCAGCTGAATTGAGGCTAGGCCAATCGATACGAAGATAGTATGCGTGGCGCAAAGGTAGATGTTGCGAACCCTGAAGTCTGGGATCTACAGTACTAATACTTGCCCGAAAAGAATGCACATGCAGTGTGACAAGCGTGCTCTCTGCACCGCTTCACTATTACTAGACATTTGGTCCGATTGGCATAAAGGGGAACAGGGATGTTGAGATCGCCTTCATGTCATTCCCCTCGTGTCTGCGGCCTACCCGAGCATGACTTGGAGAGTTTTCAGCCGAGGGCGTTTGTTGGCTTCTGGCAGATTACCAGTCTTGAGGGCGCAGGATGACAGGAATGCAGCCAACAAGATTCGTTCATTTCAACTATTCGGACTGATAGCAGCCCCAGACACACATCGGGCTGCTCTATATAACTTGCCGCTCTCATTCTCGCGTTTTTTCCTGTCTATCTCTTTGGAGTAACTTTACACGTGCTCTAGTCTTGATTTCATATTCTGGGTCTTGGATCAGTCCTATTATTTCATAATGGGTTGGTTCAGCGAGGATATGCCCAAATCTAAGCCCTCTTGGATCCCTTCAGGATGGTCCGTTCCTTGGAAATCCACACCTCCAATTCCAACAAGAGGTACGATTTTTTTCTTTTATGTCATAATTCCAGAATGAAGCAGCGAGTCCATGTCTGAAACAAACTTGAACTGACTTGTTTCTAGCACCATGGCCTAGCTTTGATTCATTAAGTCACAATGGCTGGTGGGCATCCAAAGTTGAGCCCGAGAGCCAGGATTGGTATCTGGTCCTCATTGACAAGTTTGGTATCAGTGGAACTATTGGTCTGATTCTCGGATTTGTTGTTTGCTTGATTCTTGTGAATCTGGGCCAAAGATCTTTCAGTCTCCCGTTCAAGAAAGGTGTCTCTGGTAAGCCATCGAAGGCGTTGATTCCCAAGGGAACACAATCTGCCCTCAAGAGCATCAAAGGAACTGCACCAGGTATACTCACAAGACTGAATCCATTCAACTGGAAAATTTTCAATCTGCAAAAGATCGCGGAAGAAGAGGATGATGAGAAATATCAAGCAGGGGAGCCATATGGTGACCCCAGCGTGATGGCCACCGGTCTCGTCAAAGATCTCAAGTCTGTTGGACTCAAGGCAAGCGTGAGAGATTTGCAAACATTGTTCAAAGTGGTTAAAACCAAAGGAAAGCCTGTTAATGATCGGGAGATGACGGTCAGTTCAAGATTCGGTGCTTATTTCATAAGATCCACGTACTGATAGCACCGCAGATGGAAAAGATGATCGCTATTACATCAGCTCTGCCACGCCACTCAAAGACGCGCAAGAAGTTGTCAGGTATTATCATTGACAGCTTATGGCAAAGCTTGCAGCATCCTCCACTCAGCTACTTGGGGGACAAGTTTCAGTACCGAACCCCCGACGGAAGCTACAATGTACGTTGAGAGTATGAATCCTCTATCGCTTCCGAAATTCTGACACGGAAACAACACAGAACCCTCTTCAGCCCGATCTTGGTAAAGCTGGTAGTCCCTATGCTAGAACGGTTCCAAAGCTCAAGCATTTGCACGGTGTTCAACCCGATCCGGGACTTTTGTTTGACCGTATGTGACAATATACTCCCGGATAACATAGATTCATTTGCTAACGTTGACCGGTCCAAGTGCTCATGGGTCGGACTGATGATAGCTTCAAAGAAAATCCAGCTGGTATCTCTTCGGTTCTTTTCTATCATGCCAGCATTATTATCCATGGTAAGGAACCTCGGGGACATCGCTATTTGGGATGATCTGATTGACAACTGTAGATGTGTTCCGCACGAACCGCTTTGACTCGAACATCTCCGACACTTCTTCCTATCTTGACCTTGCTCCATTATATGGATCAAGTCGTGCTGACCAGGAGAGCATTCGGACAATGCAAGGTGGTCTTCTTAAGCCGGACACATTTGCTGAAAGGCGACTCCTGGGATTACCCCCTGGAATAAACGTTATGCTTGTCATGTATAGCCGGTTTCACAACTATGTCGCCGATGTTCTTCTGAAGATCAACGAGAATGGACGGTTTACTTTGCCGCCAACCAGAACCGAGGAGGCTAAACAACGCGCTCTTGTAAAACAGGACGAGGACTTGTTCCAAACAGCACGACTGTAAGAGTTCCATGTCCAGCAAGACAAAAGTCATTTCTAACCATAGAACAGTGTCACCAATGGTCTCTATATTAATATCTGTTTGCACGATTATCTTCGCGGGTTGACAAACACTCATCACTCTGCAAGTGATTGGACCCTTGACCCTCGTATTGCTGTCGAAAGACATTTTGACCCAGATGGTGTCCCGAGAGGTGTCGGCAACCAAGTATCTGCAGAGTTCAATCTTCTATACCGATTCCACTCCACCATCTCCCAGCGAGATGAGAAATGGATGAACGAATTCTTGAGAAGCCTATTCCCAGGCAACAACAAGCCACTCGACCAACTTACTCCTCAAGAATTCATTCAAGGTCTATTCCGATTTGAGCAGAGTATTCCGGAAGATCCTTCCAAGCGCGAATTCTCAGGTCTCAAGCGTGACGAACACGGTCGGTTCAAAGATGCGGATCTAGCAAGAATTATGAAGGAAAGCATGGAAGATCCAGCTGGTCTCTTTGGTGCCAGGATGGTTCCCAAGGCACTGCGCATCATTGAGGTTACTGGAATTCTCACAGCGCGGAAATGGCAGCTTGCGTCTCTGAATGAGATGCGTGATTTCTTCAAGTTGAAGCGCCATGATACATTCGAGGATATTAACCCTGATCCCGAGATTGCTGATCTTCTTCGAAAACTGTATGATCATCCTGACATGGTTGAGATGTATCCCGGAATGTTCCTTGAGGATGCTAAGCCGCGTATGGATCCAGGTATGTTTGGCATCGATTATCGTTGAAATAGCACGTTTGCTTACCGGTTTCATGTAGGCTGTGGTGGATGTCCACCATACACAGTTGGAAGGGCAGTTTTCAGTGATGCTATCACTTTGGTGCGATCGGATCGTTTCTGTACAATTGTGAGTTTCTATTTTCCACTGCCCAAAGGTCGAAGAGTATCCGACTGATATGAAACTAGGACTATACCGCGTCGAACCTGACAAGTTGGGGCTTCCAAGAAGTCCAGCAAAACCTGGACATGTAAGATCACATACTCTCTGGTGAGGAATATCTACTAACAAATCCTTAGAATGGGAGGATCAATGTTCCACAAATTGTTCCAACGCGCTCTACCAGGATGGTTTCCTTATAATTCCCTCCACACCACACAGCCAATGTTCACTCGAAAGATGAACGAGGAAATTGCAAGAGAAATCGGGACAATTGGAAACTTCTCGCTTGCTGACCCAGCACCGCCCCCAGCACCTATCATCTTGACGAAGCATTCTACCGTAACGAAGGTGCTGAAGGACCAAGCGAACTTCCGCGTGCCGTGGATCAAATGGTTGAACGATATCGTTCCGGGTAGGACATTCAACGGCTCCATGCTGGCAGGGGACCTTCCCGTAAACACTGCCCAGAAGAATCTGGTAACCGATATTATGTTCAGTCCGACGGAATTCATGCAGCTGTTTTCTGCGACGGCGATGGCTGTTGGAAAGGAACTGATCGATAGAGAGACTTTGAACTTGAAAACAAGTTTAGACCAGCTCGATATTGTTCGCGAGTGAGTTCAGCCTTAGCATCACTTCATGTTAGCTTATCACTCTGCTAACAACCAATCTAGCATAGCAATTCCGTTGAACACCCGGCTTCTTGCGGATCTCTTTGCTTTGGATCTCAAGACACGCGAGAACAAGGGTGGAAGTCTCAGCGGGCCAACATTATATCAACACCTAGTGGATGTTCGAACATTCATCTTCAACAATAATGATCCGGCTCTCGCTTTGCAACGCAGAGATGCTGCTCGCGAGGGAGTTGAAGTCCTGACAGAGACCGGCTTGCAAGCGATTTCTGGCGGAAGCTCTCGATCCCTTCTATCGCGAATTCCACTCATTGGCTGGATATTTGGTTCAAAGAACGCCCAGAGAAGCAAGCCAGCTGCTGGGTCTCTGCGCTGGTATGGCCAGAATGTGATGAGAGAGATCATTGCTGCTGGAAAGACCCCCGAGGAGACTGTCGATATCGGCTGGCTGACTGCCGTTGGTGGTGTTGGAGCCCCGATCGGAGTGGTTTGTCACTCTAAAATCGAGTATCAGAGACTGTAGACTGACTATGCCTTCTTCACAGTTTGTTGACGTTGTTCAATTCTTCCTCAAAGAAGACAATGCCCACCATTGGGAGGCCATACAGGGACTTGTCGGTCACTCTGATGTGAAGTCAGCTGATAGCACCCTGCGACAATACGTTCTTGAAGCTCAGCGTTTAACAAGCAGCCAGCGAAACCTTCGCGTCTGCGTCAGTGAAACCACAATTGATGGCAGAACTTTCAAAGCTGGCGATGCACTAGTGTCACTACTGGTAAGTAATCTCACTTTGATAGAGCTAGTCAAAGGGAACGAGGTTGCTAATACACCAAATTTGCAGGGCCAAGCATGCATGGATCCAGAAGTCGTTCCCAATCCCCATAAATTCAAACTCGACCGACCTGCCAGCGCGTACATTCACTATGGATACGGTGCACACGAATGTATCGGTCGGGAGATCTCCCTGTCCTTTGTCGTATCTCTTGTCAAGCTATGTGCAGGTTTGAAGAATCTCCGGCCTGCACCTGGTGACATGGGAGTCTTGAAGCAAATCACACTTGGTACAGAACGATGCTATCTCAACGACAGCTGGTCTCACTTGACCTTTGACCCAACAAGTAAGTTGGAACCCTATCTCACAGGTTCTTGTATACTGATTGAATCCATTGTAGCATGGAAACTTCATTTCGAAGGCCGCGGCAAGGGTGTCTACAAACACCCCAAGACGCCCGTTACTGCTGGTAGAGATCTAAACGCCTTGTCCAACTCACTCATCCAGCAACAGAAAGACTTTTTGCAGACAACTGTGAAGATCACTAATGGCGGGGGTATCATTCACACTCTCAAGGATGATGTGCATCTCGTTACTGATGAAACCAACGGTGAACTTGACGGGGCCACTGACCTCGAGGGAGACTCTGATTCGGTGGTGCACCAAATCATCCCTATCTTCGAGGATGAACAACATGATGAGATAGTCAATACTATGCATGAGGTGAGCTTCTCATCTATGAGTCACTCTTATGAGAGAAGTCATGAGAGGGATCATGAGAGGGACCTGAGCTATGGACTGACACGGGGACAGTGATTTTGGATTTATTGCTGGTATTTCTTTGTATTCATGGTTTGCAACTGTTCAATTATTATTTTCCTGTGTGCAATTTAGTTATTCTAGTCTCGTGTGTGGTCTCAGAAATCGACTTGATTTATATCCCAGTGAAGGTGTATCACACCGAACAGTCATTATAATTGACATTTCTATTCCAGTGTCACTTCCCATTGATCAAAGTTCTCTCATTATACCATACTTGTTTAGCTTTAAACGTAAACGTTCATAGCCAAGGATCACATACTGTATGTGCTGCAAAAGGACGGACAGTTCGAGCTCTCATCCAGTGAAGAAACAAATGTATCTAGACACGCACCATAAAAGAACATTTGGATGCGCCGCAATATATTAATATTGCGATTCTAGTCAGAACCTGTACGGTAGAATTGTTGCGCATTTGAAAAAGGACTAGGGGAGTACAGCACTGTATGCTTCAATTAGTAGCCCCCTGAGCGAGATGCGCCCGCGTATGGTTCCAAGCGACCCTGCGTCGGAGTCCGAGATTAGCGTATTACGTGGAGATTGGGAAAGCTTCCAAGCATAAGAAATCTTTAAAGAAGGAAAAAGTCGACGCTATTGAGATGAGAACCCACTTTAAGGGCTGAGTCACAGTGGCAACGCAGCCATACTAGTTAGTACGTCCTGTATTGGGATTCGAGTATGGACTTGTAAGTCGTTGTATACTAACTTGACAAGCCCTAGCAACATGTGAACAGATCAAATTTGCTCGTTTTGATTCGTTCTTTCACTTTGGTCCCGTATTTTACTCTGGTGTCTGCCTCGCCGAGCCTCAATCTCTTCATGGGGCTTAGACTGCAGTGGCCTTGCATTTAAAACCTTGACCTCTCCCTTTTTTTTTCTTTTGCCTTTTTTTTGCAGTTTGATTGAAGTTGAGCATATTTATCATGTCTGATCACAAAGAAGCAACAGTGTCTACTCCAGTTGCCATCCCGGCGACTGATGCAGCTCCCACTGTTTCAGCACCAGAGACAACAGCAAGCACAACAGCACCAGCAGCTGAGGTTGTGACGCCCATTCCTGAAACAAGTCCTCCCCAATATGAAGAGTATGTGATCGGACTCATCCTCGTTTCAACTGTTCGAGACTAACGTGCCTAGACACTCCAGAGATGCGATTGCAGCACCCGCAGTGTTCTCTCCCACGGCAGAGAACAACACCTTGAGTCCTCTTCCAGAGAAGCTTGCCCCAGCTGCAGTCGATCCAAATGTAATTCCCCTTAACCGACTGGGTGATACGCCAGGCCTCGTGTGTTGTCCATTCTGCTTTCACACTGCCGTGACCAAAGTCAACAAAACGAGCACCAGTTCCACATCGTAAGTTTCAATTTCGATTTGGGATGCCAATTCCCTCATCAACGCTAATCCTTCATAGTATCGCTGCCGTCTGCTGCTGTCTTTTCGGTGGCATTATCTGCGCCTTTTTACCATTCTGCTGCGAGATGTGCCATGATTGCCACCACTTCTGCGCAAACTGCAATAACAAAGTAGCATTTGTTCCCGATGATGGCAGCACACAGGTTTACTCGCCTGCTAACCCTGCTCCGATTCAGGGACAGGCACAGAATCGGGCTCCTGTCAACACTGCCCCGACGCCCATTCAACCTCCACAGGCTGTGCCTGTGATTAAGAAGTAGGGCGCACGAGGAATGTGTACCATCTGATCTTTGATTTCAAGTTTGATGCCTTTGTTATGTCCGAGCGACCAATCGGCAGTGATATATGGTGTTGCATGTTAATACTGGATACGAGACCGAAAATACCCTTGATTGCTTGTTGACGAACATGGAGACTATTTAGCAATCCTCCGAATATAATACCTAGTTGATGCATATCTCTCATACCTTTTTTATCTCTTTCTACCGAAGAAAAAGTCCTTCGCAACCTCCAAGAGCTGGAATTTACAAAACGGCCCCCGGTGGAGACAATACGCCACCAGCTAAGCCGAGGCTAGAGGCCGCCGTGTGCCAATGAAAAGTTTGCCGCTTTGCCCGAACCATGTCTACTTGTCCAAGGAACTAGTGGCAACTCATTTCCAGGAGTCATCAGTACAAAGAGGCAACTAGCTCATGTGAGCTGGTCTCTTTCGTGGACTGGATCTAGGGTCAGATCCAATGTCAACAATGGGCACAGTTCGAAAGGGCCGTGAAATTATCAGAAAAGGCTCTATGTGATTTGCCTCGCGAGGATAGCCTAGGTCTTAGTGCCTTGAGTATCCACCCCGTCTTGCTTAGCTTAAGTATGAAATGCATAGCCGTGACTATACGGCTAGCTGTACGCGGTATCCTTGTAGCATGTAATGACTGGTCATGAAACCGAGCGGCTTTTGCCGCAACACATTCATATCAGTTACCAGGGGCTGGCGAGATGATATGCGTTTTTCTGGGGATATGAAAGAGCCCGGCTCGCGATTTGGCTATATAGTCTGCTCGCAAATTGCACTCACGCTTAATAGCGTATTAGACTGCCAGAAATGGCGGTCTATTGTGAGATGAATGGACAAAGCCTCGTCCACTTGAACAGTGTGATGCAGGATGTTACTCCCAAACCGTAACGTCTCTTAACACCGAGGAATGCGCGCTAATCATGGAAGTGTTCGAGTTCAGATTCGTGAAGTAATTGACTTCGCACGTGGGGAAATGTGGCCTCAGGCACCAATGTCAGTGATGCATGCATTGCCTGACATGAAAACGCCGAATGGTACGTTTGCTCCTCGACGTCATGACTTGTCAGACAATCAAGATGTTATCCTTGTTGTTAAAAGGTCCGCATCTGTCCTGGATTTCAGGATTGCCCACTTCTCTCGCTCTGCAATCTCCTGCAGTCTCGGTGTAAATCAGCCCACATCTACAGTTGCCCGGATCCCCGGATCAACATTACATATTGTTTATCAACGCCCTTGCATACTGTGAAACAATCTCTATTCATTAGAGTTACACAACATGGCATCAAAAGATGCCGGGGAGAAGAGCATCTCCGCTTATGGAGAAGCTCGCTCGACAGTGGAGGGAAAGCCTCTTGATGCCGAAGAGGTTCGGAAGATGAATGCCTACTTCCGGGCCAGCATGTACCTTTGCTTGGGCATGCTGTATCTTCGTGAGAATCCTCTTCTTACCGAGCCTCTGAAATTGGAGCATCTCAAAGCTCGACTCTTGGGTCATTGGGGATCAGATGCCGGCCAATCGTTTACTTGGATTCACATGAACCGACTTATCAAGAAGTACAACCTTGATGTGCTCTTTGTCTCCGGCCCTGGACATGGAGCCCCTGGAATTATCTCCCAGTCTTATCTTGAGGGTGTCTACTCGGAAGTCTACCCTGACAAGGCCCAAGACGCTGAGGGCATGCAGAAGTTCTTCAAGCAATTCTCGTTCCCCGGTGGTATTGGAAGTCATGCAACCCCCGAGACACCCGGTAGTATTCATGAGGGAGGTGAGCTGGGATATTCGCTTTCGCATGCTTTCGGCTCAGTCTTTGACAACCCCAACCTCATTACTTTGACCATGGTTGGAGACGGTGAGTCGGAGACTGGTCCACTCGCCACCAGCTGGCACAGCACCAAATTCTTGAACCCAATTGTCGACGGTGCTGTTCTCCCCGTCCTTCACCTGAATGGATACAAGATCAACAACCCTACGGTTCTTGCACGAGTTAGCCATGACGAGCTGACGGCCTTGTTCGTTGGCTACGGATGGAAGCCCTACTTTGTTGAGGGCAGTGACTTCGACACCATGCACCAGGCCATGGCATCCACTCTTGAACAGTGCGTGTTGGAAATCAGAAAGTACCAAAAGCAAGCCCGAGAGACGAAGACTCCCTTCAGACCTCGCTGGCCAATGATTGTTCTCCGCACCCCCAAAGGATGGTCTGCTCCGCGAGATGTCGATGGTCACCTGCTCGAGGGCTTCTGGCGCGCGCATCAGATTCCCATCACCGACGTGCGCACCAACCCTCCTCACTTGAAGTTGCTGGAGACTTGGATGAAGGGGTACAAGCCAGAGGAGCTGTTCGATAAGAATGGCACTTTGATCCCCGAGCTCAAGGAGCTTGCTCCCACTGGTAACTCCCGTATTAGCGCCAATCCAGTTGGCAATGGAGGCCTTTTGCGCAAGCCTCTTAACATGCCTGACTTCCGGAAGTATGGGTTCACGGACATTGAACCAGGCTCCACTATCAAAGGAGGCATGGCAAATATGGCCATCTTCCTCCGTGATCTGGTCGCTCAGAACATGACCAATTTCCGACTGTTTGGGCCCGATGAGACCGAGTCGAACAAGCTTGGCGAGGTCTACAAAGCTGGCAAGAAAGTCTGGATGGGCGACTACTTCGAAGAAGATAAAGATGGCGGCAACCTGGCACCTGACGGACGTGTCATGGAAATTCTCAGCGAGCACACCGTCGAAGGGTGGCTGGAAGGCTACATCCTTTCTGGTCGCCATGGTCTGCTGAACAGCTACGAGCCGTTCATCCACGTCATCGACTCGATGGTCAACCAGCACTGCAAATGGATTGAGAAATGTCTAGAGGTTGAATGGCGTGCCAAGGTCGCCTCACTCAACATCCTCATCACTGCCACTGTCTGGAGACAAGACCACAATGGCTTCACTCATCAGGACCCTGGTTTCCTCGACGTCGTCGCCAACAAGAGCCCAGAAGTAGTCCGCATCTACCTCCCACCAGATGGAAACACCCTTCTTTCCGTGATGGATCACTGCCTCCGCAGCGTGAACTACGTCAACGTCGTAGTCGCCGACAAGCAAGAGCACATCCAGTTCCTGAACATGGAAGAAGCAGTCGCACACTGCACCAAGGGACTCGGAATCTGGGACTGGGCCAGCAACGACCAGGGCAGCGAGCCAGACGTCGTGATCGCATCCTGCGGCGACGTCTCAACCCACGAAGCCCTAGCCGCAACAGCTCTGCTGCGCGAGCACCTCCCAGACCTGAAAGTCCGCTTCGTCAACGTCGTCGACCTCTTCCGCTTGATCTCGACCCTCCACCATCCGCACGGCATGTCCGACAAGAAGTGGAAAGCAATCTTCACTACCGACAAGCCCATCATATTCAACTTCCACTCATACCCATGGCTCATCCACCGACTCACATACAAGCGTCCCGGGCAGCACAACCTGCATGTACGTGGATACCGCGAAAAGGGCAACATCGACACGCCCTTCGAGCTGGCCTTGCGCAACAACACGGATCGGTACAGTCTTGCCATCGACGCCATTGATTTCGTTCAGTCGCTTGGTAATACCGCTGCGGGGGTGAGAGAGAAGCTGATCAATGCCCAGCTGGCCGGTAAGGCTGAAGCGTATAATAATGGTGTTGATCCTGAGCATATCCGCAACTGGTCTTGGCCATGGCCTAAGAATTAGATTGTTTGTCATCCAAGGACAAGGGGAGGGGGACATTATTTCTCATATGCAGATCTCGATAGTAATTTAGTGTTAATTCCAAGGTATTATGTTTGACGAGTCTCATTGTGGTTCCAAATTACTCAACGTTATCATGCGTATTGTACTTCACATATCAGCTAACGCGTGCCGTGCTTGGTCTTCGACGAGCTACTCTATGGTCTCCAGCAAGGAGAGTAATACTATCTCATGTCTGTTGCAGTACGTTTTGACCGTGGGCATTACATTGATCAAAGTGTGAAACGAAATCAGTCAATAGTCATAGTCATACATGAGTTAGGAAACCAAGGAGCCATCAGCACGCCAGCTCAATTTTCCCTGAAACGCACCAAGAGAAAGATAAACCATACATATGCCACCCAAGTTGACCACCACAAGAAGTAGGGAGTCAAAAAAAATCAAATCAAATAGAATGCCAGAAGAAAGAAAGAAAAGTATTCAGTGGACTGTTTGAGGTTACCAATGGAAACATCTGAGCACTACTCTTTTTATGATTCTTTGCCTTCTATGTCCATGCGTGTAGCAGGAGAATGCAATATTCATGCCCGAGACAAGAAGAAATAGTTTCAAAGCGAGAAAACGATGTCCTGGGAACTTGCTGATTCTTATCGACAGCAGATGACCGCAACGAGACATATGGCCATACGCCTTTGCACGATGCAGAAAGATGGGATGAAAGCGGGAATAGCGGATTAAAGATGTGGAAACCACGTAGAAGTAGATGGCGTGAAGTAGGTCATGGATGTTCAGTGAAATAGTACATATCGAGATGAAGCGAGAGCAGATAACGCGGCGGATCAGCCGAATCGACCGACAGGGATATCGTGGCGATGGAGATCCTTGGACCATTCTGGGGCGATCTTGTCGCGCTCGTAGAGCAGGCCACAGTTATGGCAAAGTGTCTGGAAGGGGATTGTTAGATAGAGTGTGTGCTGTGCAATGAAAATGTAGACTTACCCGAGGACCGTCTGGACCATCTCGTACAGCCCATACTGCTGTACCCCACACCATACAGTTGTTGCATCGCCAGCTCTGTCGCTCCCTGCATATCAATGTTAGAACGTGGTTTCCAGTACATATGCGTTGAGGAAGACCTACCAATCAGAAAGTGTTCCACCGCCGCCACCATATCCAGCTCCTGATCCGGTATCTGGAGTCCCACGACCACCAGGCGTGCCACTTCGGCCAGAGGGACTTAAGCTGCGGAATCGGCGCTTGCGTTTATTCCGTTCGCCACGACCAAGAGGAGTCTCGCCGCTGTCGGCTTCGAAATAATTGCCGTTTGGCCTCGATGCATCGGGTGTGATACCTGTAGTTGAGGAGAATCTCGCGGTTTCTCGGCGGAGACGTCGAATCTGGCGTTCACGATCACCTTCTCGTCGCTCAATCTCTTCCTTGGACAGAGTTTCGACCTTGGGATCCCATTCGTCGCAGAGACTCTCGGGCTCATATCTCCATCCTGCCTCGACGCCATTTGCGGCCAAGTTATCAATATCGTTCCCGTAGGCGTTCAGTCCAGCGGCAAGAGTGCCGCCTTCGCAGACTTCCTTCTTGAACCTCAAGACTGCTTCGTAAATGCCGTGCGCAATTGCGCTGACCCATTCACCACCTAGACTGAGATCGGCGCAAGTGATGCGCGCGAATTCTTCAGCCATACCAGGTGGATGTAGTAGAGACCACTCGAACTTATCCGTGTACAGCTTATTTTGCAGGTTGATGTTGAGATTGATCAAGCACCGGTAGGCGTCATCTGGGTTCAGTAGGCTGTCATTCACAAATGCAACCTTCGTTACGGTCACGCTAGTGTTATTGAAAGGGGCTGAGGGATCCGGTGTTGCGGGATTGGGAGTTGCAAGATTCGGTGTCGCAATATTGGGAGTTGCAACAGTGGGTGTTCCAGAATTCAGGGCCGCGGGTGTCATAGAGGTGTCTCGAGATGGTTCGGTCTGAGCTGGAGGGTTGGGCAATAAGCCTGGATCTGAGCTTTGGAAAAGAGGGTGAAGCGCGACACCTGCGTATTCTTCCAGCTGCTGTCGAATCTGGTTGCTGATCGTCATGGTCGTGGCCTGGGGGTTAGGAAGATCGAGATCGCGAACGAATCCAATTGCGAATTCCTCAGGCGTGGAAAGAGACTCGTGAAGGTTCCAAAGGAAGGTGTCTTTGATTCTGAATGGAGGTAATGGGTCGGGTCTGCGGTATGCAGGAAGAGTCGGGTTGATGCTAGGATCCACGATTGTGCGCGGGAAGGGGAAAGGCTCAAGAGGTTGATGCGCGGGGACTTCCACGTCAATTCGGATAGGAACGAGGGTGAGGGGGAGCTGTGCTTGGATCTGAAGTTGATCGGCACATCTAGAATCACCGCGCTGTATGTTAGCCAGATGAACAGAAAATCGAGACAGAGACCATGAGGTGAATGGCCAGTTGTATCTTGTCAATGGAGAACATACGCTGGTCGCAGCATCCGCTTGATCATCCATTCGCGGAATAGGCCCTGTACTTCCACGGGCTCATGGACTTCTTTGCCTAACTTCTCTGAGTACGGAATCAACTTGTCGGCAGTTGATTCTTCGCGCCGAAGGCTTCTCAGACCCGTTGGGCGCCGTGGACCATCGCTTTCATCAAAGTCTTCATCGTCATATCCGTCCTCCGCGTAATTGATGGCTGTAGTCCCACGCTTCGTGGTGCGCGGCGTCGGGCCGGTCTGCGACGGAGGGTTGACAGGTGTGAGCAACGCGTTTCCGTATTGGCGCACGCGTGGCGGATAGGAGGTGATATAACCTCGGAGAGGGGACATGTTGGCGATTCAGTTGTACGGGAACATGCCCCTTCGAGGATTCAGCGGGGGAGAAGTGAGCTTGCGATGCTCGTGTTGGTATTGGAAGGGCTGATCACTAAGGCAGAATTGATGTCGGTCCAAGCACAAAGAGTGGTGACAACGTCGACTTGAAGATTGTTCACTGGGCATGCGTAGGTCAGTCAAACTTCAATTCCATGCTCAGATTTCAAAAGACAGGATTGACTGGGAAGACTCGCCCTGAGATTAGTCTGAGCAAGTCGCGTTTTGCCCATTTTGACGCTAGTCCGTTTCCAGGACATCACGTGATCCAACCTCAGGCGGCAGTTCTGTATAAGATCAGTGGCTTCACATTCTTGGTCTTTGTTTACCAACTGCAGGCCGATTTTGGCCAACTAGATTAAACAGGGTAAACCCAAAATTGCGGATTTTTGATCCTTCACCATATATTCAAATGTGCACAGCCAAAAATAACTACTGCATCCAAAAGCATCTCACCAATTTGAGTAGGAAATTCAATATACTGAAAGGAATGAAAACACCAAACTGCGAAGTACGCCAGCCCTGCTGTCGGTGAGATAGGCTTGATCAGCGTAGTTGCAAAAAACATGTAAAATGCAACTCTTGAGAAGAAGAAAGGAAAAGACGAAACAGATTTCGAGGCGCAAGGCCGGGGAATGATAATCGCAATACAAATGCAAAGAAGAAAAGAAATATTCAGCGAAGGCCAATAACGCTCTGTGGATATGTTAGCTACCAGAAAGTTCGAATGCAACAAACGGGTTGGAATCTCACCATTTCCAGAGTCCATACACGTCGAATCCAGACCTTGACCTGTCCTTCGACGCCCTCCACATCATCGAGCTCAATACCCTCCCACCAGCATCGTCGAGCAGGCTTCCTCCAGAATAGAAGAAGCTTTTGAGCCATACCAACTGCATTATTGTTGGATAGGTCTCCGCGGACGTCGGTGCGGAGCTTGGCGAGGGCAAGACTGCAGATAACTGCTTTGTTGGGCTCTGGGGCACGATGACCCCATTGATCCTCACGATCAAATCCACTATATCGAATGTTAACACTGATTATACTGACTTAGACGTCGGGCGCTTACCCAGCCGTCAACATCTCAATCAGATGCTGCTCAGTTGAACCAATCTCCTCGCTTTTCCTGAGGCCTGAGAATATTCCATCCTGTCTCAACAAAGATCGGCCGGCAGCTCGCTTCACTTCAAGCATTTCTTCATGTCCAATCTCAGGGCGAGGAGGGATAACGTAAAAGTCGAGATCCTCACGAAGTACGATAATACCAGCGCGATCTTGAAGCATATCACGGGCTGAGCCATGCATGGCATCGGGCATCTCCATCTCCGGGGAAGTAGAGCCAGATGGCAATGACGATGGGATGGTTTGAGCAACAGTGCGGAAGAAGTCCAACATGTACTGGAGCGAAGCCGGGTCGTACTATATGATAGCTGTCAGAATTCTGGCCTTTTTATCTCAATATGAAGATCCACAAACATCGACGGCATAGACATCACTGTCATGGAAACCGTTTGTGGTGGCATGTCCGTTAGGAAGTAGGCCATTCGGGAACAAAGACAACAGGACAAATTCCGGTAGGGTTAACAACTCGTCCCGCGAAAGAGTAAACCGGGTACCACTATATATGCTGATGAGAAAAAAAGATAACAAAAGACAGGGTTGCAACAAGTCCTTACCGAAGGTCCAGCGTGATATGCTCATCACCGCCGATATCTAAAATGCGAATTAGAACCAGGTAGCTGGTTTCAACAACCCCATATCTATGACATACCTCCCAGAGTATTGATTGGTGGGCCTCCCGTTTGCTGCACCTGGGTGATGATGCTTGAAGCACCTCCTGCAGCAGCCATAACGTAGGTGAATGACTCAAGCGGACTGTATCCTTCTTCGTAGGGTGGAGGCGGTTCGCCGTCGTCGGAGCTTTTTCCGGAGCCCTCGTTTTTGGGTTCGGAGAAAGACGCTTTTGTATCAGCAACAACCGCCGACGAAGGAGCCGGTTCGAGCGGCGCCTCGACTGGGGTCGGAGGTGCTACTGCTGGGTGGTAAGCTGGGCCGGGCTCAGTGACTTTGTTCGCGCGATTGGGGTCGGGCGAAGTAGCGAAGAAAAGGGATGAAAAGGGCGGTGGGTTTGGAGATGAGGAGCTTGAGGCAGACGCTGCTGGGGAGTGCGGCGGGGGTGCGATGTGGTAGTCGTCGTGCTCCTCTAGGGAGTTCGCTGGCGGGTGCGGACACGCCGTGTTTGATGAATGGGACGGCGGCGTTTCTCGCGACACCGTGTTATGTTGTGCCTGAAGTGACTCAGGCGTCACAGTTGGAATAGGCCAAAATGATTATTGGGGTTCTCTCGCGGTCTGGTCTGAGATGAACACGCCCCAAGATGAGATTCAGGAGTTGCAATGTCTGCCGTTTTCTCACACTAGCGCATAGAAACACACACAATCTCTATACCAAAACAATCAAGATAATTATATTGCTTGGTGGACTTGGTTTAGGAATGTCAAAGGAGGTGAGAGCGCTTAGAGGTTGGGGAAGCGTAGATCAACTCGGCGGTAAGTCCGAGCGCCTCACTAGCCGTCACAACCTTGGCGGTCCTATCTACAGAACAACTTGGTGATTATAGGGAGCTTTGGTGAGGATATTTTGATTCTTGTAGATGCAGAGTAAAGCAGCAATTTAAGATGAGCTCTGCAAGTTGAGACTGTTATAGTATGCCTTACACAGCATATATATTTCCCCTATTTGTGCCATATACGACCGACCACCTTCAGGTTGACGATAGTTAATCTCGCCTATCATGACTATTATATTCGGTATAATGACTGTTGATGCCCCTATTAGGAGACAGATGTGTATTGGACTTGATTTTTCTTAATTACGTGGTATGCCCCAACTCAGACCTTGCGCTCAGCAAAGCTCTGGATCAGTCCCTCAAGAGTGGGCTCATACTCCTTCAAGGTGACTTGATCTCCTTCCAGGATAGTGTTGGCCTGCACGAAGATCTTACGAGGGACCTTGTTGTTCAGAACAACATCCCGCACATTGGTTCCCCACCAGCTATCCACAGAGGTGATATCATCATACAATCCCTTACCAGCGGCAATGTCTGCGGTGCTCTTGTAGACATGTAGCTTCTGGAGATACTTCTCAACAGCCGGACGTCCATGAGTCAGAATCTTGGATCGATCGAGACGGATCTCCAGGTCGGACAGATCGTCCTTGCTGTATGAGAGCTTGACAAAGTCATCACCGGCCTCGAGGAATGTGCGCAGGATACTGTAACGAGCCTGCATGTGAGCCTGACCCCATTTCTGGGTCTTGGGGTCCCAGAACTCGAGGGCAACAAGACCGGCACGGGCCATGGATAGGTATGCAGCGAACAAAACGTCGCCAGCTTCACCATACAAGTCCTCCTTGCCATCGCCAAATCCGAAGATCTTCAGGATGCCAAAGTCGCAGCCCAGAGCCATCGCGACACACTCAGCACGGCATTCTTCATATGACGACGCAATAGACCCAAAGACAGAGCTCCATGTTTGTCCAGGCTTGTACCAGGTTGACACAGACTTATTGGTAACTGGACTGATGGGAGGGTTCTTGATGTCAAAGTTGAACTCCCCAGGCGCTGTCTCCTGTAAGAGCTTACCAGTACCGTGGCCCAGAAGTTCGTGAATGCCTACTTGCACTTCGAATGCGGGATCGCGGCATCTGCGATAGACTTCCTGATCGGCTTCATTGATGAAAGGAATGGCTTCATTAGGGGCCTTGGCGCTAAGAACATTGCCTAGGGACACGTTCTTAAATCCAAGGTTCTGGCGAATGTCATCGTAGTTAGGAAGGTTGATGCCAGCTGGGAGACCAGAGCAAGCGAAGCTTAAGACTTCCAAGGATGTGAAGTCCGGACTGAGGAAAGTGTCCTTCTCGAAATCAGTGCCCCAGGGAAGCTTAGGAATCATGCTCTCAGCGCTGTCTACAAGAGTACCAAAAGCACGAGTGCGTTCCAGATTAACCTGCGACTAGTTAGTAAAATCTACAAATAGTAGCAGATGCGAGTCATACCAAAGCGACGAAACCCTCCCATTCACCTCGCACACCGTGAGGATCTCTGTAGGTCTCGACAAAGCCAAGGTTAGTCTCCAGAATAGGCTTTTGGTCCTTAACCCAGACACGCTGGCTCTCCTTGAAAGCCTCAATGGATCCAGCACCAAATGACAGAGCATAGGAGTTCAACATCTTCTTCTGATTATCATTTGCAGCGTTCAAGCCAGCCAGCTTGACACTGTGGGCAATCTTGGCCATTTCTTCCTTGTGATCGCCAAAGATGAGACGCAGCTTCTTGCCCTTAAGATCGCCCTCAAGGTCAAAGGTCTCTACTTCACCAAGGTCACGGTCCCTGACAGGAGGAGATGACACGCCTGAAGCAATCAAAAGCTCAAAGTCACCAGAGGGCGCCTTGCGAATCCTAGTATTTTCCAACGCCAAACCCTTCTTCTCCATCAATTCACCAATGGCTGTAATCTCATCCTTGGAGATTGCGCGTGAATCAGGGTAGTAGGTAGTCATGTGGCCGCTATCAGGATATCCAAGGTGCATCATAGACTGTTCACTGGTCTCATAGATACCTCCTCCAGTGCTATTTGCCTTTTGGAAAGCCGCCTTGGTCTCCGGGGTAGACGATGCCAGCGCCTCAAAGGCTGATGCGGGGATGCGAGGAATAAATTTGGAGTCACCGAATCCCTTGTAGTTTCCGCAGTTGCCCAGGAATTGTCCTGCATATTCCAGGAAGAAACGGAGATCTTCGGTGCTGACCAGTGTTTTCTGAGCAAGGCTGTTCCAGTCGCCACTGGAAGCGTGGTAGAGGGAAAGGATGAGGTCGTAGATGGGTTCGGATTCGGGGGAGACTTGGCGCAGAGTGACACGAGTGCCCTCGAATGCAGCTCTGTTCACATCGAAGGTTATAAATTAGCCGATGACAACTCTGGTTGGGTCTGGGGTAGGGAAGTGCCTAGGATAGTGTACCTGCTCATGAAGTGCGCATATTTCCGGAGGCTTTCGTCTTTGAGAGTGTCAAAGTGAGACTTGATCTCCAATCTGACGACTGTAGGCGGCGAATCAGCCAAGTAATGCTTCTTAATGTTGTCATCCATAGCGGCGCGAGAATGAGAATGTGAAGAGAATGTTGCAAATCGCGGAGGTGAAAGTCGACGGAGGGGTAGCGGTGACACGAAGCGCCGGGAGAAGGGCACAATGCCACGCATCGAGTGCATGAGGGGCTTGAAGTGGTAGCTATGACATAGCAGAGTCACCAATCAGGTACGGCTTTCTCTCGCGCCGACGGGGGTCCGATCTACATGTCTTGGCAGGCCCACCAGGCCGTGGATTTCATAGTGGTTTCAATTAGGGCTAACAGGAAGTGTCTTTTGATTTTGAACTATTTACTATGCAATATTTGACAGATCTCCTATATCAGACTCTCATATTTGTCCAGACCTTGCTTTTGAGTTCCCTGAGCCGGAGATGCGCCTTGGAACGATGTTGATCGCATCGTTGTATTCAGTGGGGGAGATCTCATGGCGTTATTGGCTCCCATAGTTCCTGCAGGAGGAGGGGGTATTGAGAATGCAGAGTAGTTGGGCGCATGCTGCTCCATTGGCCTGGAAATGGAGTTGGAGGGTGCCATGGTTGACATAGAAGCTAACGACGAACCCGCGCCAATCTGGGGTTGAGGGCTTGTAGGTGATCCCCAGATGGAGGATGAAGGTTGCATCGCAGGGAAACCTTGAGGGACAGGAGAGGTTTGTCGTGCAGGCTCGAGAGTTGGGAACGTGCTTAGCTTTTGATCCGGGGTGATGGAACGGAAACCAAGATTGGACTGTTGACTTAGCGAACCCGCTTGGCTAGGTTTGGCAGTGTTGCTTGAAGACCATGTGAAAGAAGATGACATGCTTGGAGCAGCTGGCTTGGCTGGCTGAGGCTCCATGTTACCCCACGTATCCATATCACCATTTGTTGGCGAGGTCTTCTTTCCCAGAACGAGGCGCTCGAAGTTGTTCCGAGCCCCATCTGTCTCAGGCGAAGTGAGATCGGTAGCAGATCGTGAGAATTGATCAACGCCGTTTTTGAATCCACTCGATTCAGCACCCGAGGAAAGCTCTTGTAACTTTTTGGCTTGTTCTTGCTCAATCCTAGTAGAAAGGGTTTTGATCAAGGCCATGAAGTCATTGAACTGAGAGAGAGTCAATAGCGGCCCAAGACTGAAACTCCAAAGAACCGGAAGAACCTCCAAAGCTAGGAAATCGGTGTCTGCGACAATTCCAACCTGGCGGAAGACCTTGAGTGCAGCCATCATCACAGACGGTTCTTTTGTCTTGATTGCTTTCAGAGATGGAACAAGCTTCTCTTGAATGGTATACTTGTCCAGGATAGAAGACTTGGCTGGTTTCGACTTGCTCGTCTGGATACCAGAAAGGTCATCGTCCAGTCCATTAGAATCATCCGGAGAGGCACCGCACAGCACACTGAAAGCTTCCAAACTGCGGACCTTGATGGCAAGGCTGCTTGTTTTGCTAAAAGTGCTAGCAATGGGAGGGAACACTTCATTCTTGACTGTACTGAAATCAAGAACGGGGAGCACCACGGGGAGACATTTGATTGCAGCATCCACCAGGGAGTGGGTAGGCGAATCCAGACCAAGACGGATTAGAGGTAGAATATCTAACGAAAGGTCAGAGGTGAGAACGGGTGGAAATATTCGGAGAGCTTACCATCTTTGAATTCCATTCCGGAACAGTTGTCGGCAATGAGCTTCATATTATCGAGCACAACCATAAGGCCAGCATCCTTTTTGGAGTCTCGTTCAGTCTTGCCCGAATCGGTCCCGAAAACCTCCTTCAGACGGGGTATGATCTTTTCTGGGAATACACGGCGTCCATTTGGAATTCGTCGCAAAATACCAAACACATTCTGCAGAATCAGAGCAAGCAGTTCGCGATCTTTCAACTCGTCCATAAGTGCTCCCAATAACTTTCTTTCAAGCACCGAGACAGGGAATTCAGGCAGTACTCGCTGTAGACCACGCAAGAACTGAGACTTTTCATTCGGGCTTTTGGCCGGCAATGATTCCAGGAATCGAATTGTAGATACTAACACATTATCGAAGTACTGGGATTGCTGGAATTCTCGAGCGTTCATACGCTGGGCCGGTCTCCTCGTGATAAGCCTTGGTAGAACATGAGATAGCACATCGTTTGGAACTGGTTTTGAGCAGAGAAAGTTGTTGCTTTGGGACGGAGTAGAAGATGGAGAGCTCAACAGTTTCTTATATGTAGTTAAGTTCGCGTTCGTTTGAAGCGGTGAAACATGCGGAGAATTGTACAGAGCGATAATGATGAGACCCAAAGAGAAGAGATCGGCAGCCGACGAAACATTTGAATCCAAAGCAAAGTCAGGCGACGTGTAGTCAATGTTCAATTGGACCGAAGCGGGGAGCCTAGGGTCTTGATAAAGAACTTCAGACACAGCCAATGGTGGCAATGATGATTTAGTCTCCGAAGAGTCCGGAGGCCCAGCAAATCCCAAACCAGAGATTTTCCAATCTGATTTGGAGTTGATGTAGATAGCCTCGGGGTTTAGGTTTCCATGCACCAAGCCCGCGGACTCATGCAGGAATTCGAGACCTTTTGCTACTTGGAGCAGGCCTTTTTGAATTTCCAGCTCATCGATCTCCACATCTCTTCTTCTGCGCGTTCCATCGGCCTCTTCGACCATGTAGCGGGTTCCTCTAGAACCGCCTCGCGATGTGTTCTCTTGGTCATCCTTCTCCAGAAGCAGCCCAGAGAGCGATGCCGTCAGATGTTCCGTCGCAAACATTAGGCCACCACTTCGTGTGTCTTCCACTGGCTCCAGCACTTGAAGAACAGACGGGTGCCGTAGACGCGCGAGATTACTCGCTTCGCGTTTGAGTCGTTCGATCACATCTTCTTGGAGCTTTTTGGAAGATCCGGAGCTTCTCCCAAACCCGCCAGAACGCGACTCGAGTGACTTGCGATCGAATATAAACACAGACGCAGGGGTTCCCGTAGACTTTTTCTTTGCGTCGTGGATTTTCCAGGGGCCGGAGTAAACAGTGGGGTTGGGCGATATCTGGTAATTGGCCGAGATGTTGGAGCTGAACGATTTGAGCGCAGAGGAAAACATCGTGGATCTGTAGGCGCAAATTGATCTGCTATGGCGCAGACCAAGTAAAGGTAGAGGTTCGTTTCACAGTGTCGTCACAGAGAGTCAGCACAAGACATGTCTTCGTATCAACACGGTGGCATTGAACGGCGGGCGATTGGTAAGACAGGTGGACCCGCTAATTCTCAACCACCAACAGATATGAGGATCACCTTGAAGCTTTGCAACTCTGGATCACCAAGATGATCTCAGTGAATTGTTATCGTCTGGCGTATCGCGACCGCCATCACGTGTATATCATGCCTGAGGCGCTGAATACCGACACAAGCCGAAGTCGGCGGGTCGATCAAATTTGGAGCTGCTGATTGGTCGGCTCTGCAGCTGAAGAGTTGAGTCATTGCTGTTTTGTGGGGCGGTGAGCCAAAGTTACCCGCTCGAGGCCGAGTCGGAGTTGTCGCTGAGCTCCGCAGAGAGACTCATTTCTAGAGCGGAGTCATCTTGGTCCAGATATAAAGACCGTTGACTCGTGCGCATTCTATCGGTACGTCAATAACGCTTCCTAGTGACTCAATTGTCATCTCCAATCTCCACTCAGTTCCTGGCTGGCCCTTGAATTGTCCCTAACATCGCACAGTCATGAAGTCGTTCCAATTAGCTCGCCGACAGGCGCTGACCGGGCTTGCTATGCCCCGCGCCCTCTCCTCGCAGAACATTCATGCCAGCCGGACATGGCAGCGTGCTTTCAGCGCCTCCGCGGCCGCTGCTTCCCAGCTCCCTGGCCTGGACCCTTCGAAGTTGACTATCACCAAGACTACTACCCCCAAGGAACCTATGGACTCCAAGGATCTTGTCTTCGGCAAATATTTCACGGGTAAGGCAGTTTCAAGAATCAATTGATGTCTACGTGCTCACTGAAGTCTTCTATAGATCACATGCTCTCTGTGGAGTGGACAGCTACCGATGGATGGCACACACCTCGCATTGTCCCCTACCAGAACCTTAGCCTGGACCCCTCAACCTGTGTGTTCCACTATGCATTTGAATGTTTCGAAGGAATGAAGGCATACAAGGACGACAATGGCGGTATCCGTCTATTCCGTCCTAACAAGAACATGGAGCGTCTGAACAAGTCTTCTGCGCGTATTGCCCTCCCTACCGTGGATGGCGATGCGTTGACCAAGATTATCGGAGAGTTCGTGAAGCTGGACAGCCGGTTCATTCCTGCGTGAGTACATCTTTCTCTGCTCAAGATACATATTTTTGCTAACCGTCACAGCGAGCGTGGTTACTCTCTGTACCTTCGCCCTACCATGATTGGTACCCAGAAGACTCTAGGTGTTGGTCCCCCAGGATCCGCCCTTCTGTTCGTCATTGCCAGTCCCGTTGGACCTTACTACCCTACCGGATTCAAGGCCATCTCGCTGGAGGCCACTGACTACGCTGTCCGTGCCTGGCCCGGCGGTGTTGGTGACAAGAAGCTCGGCGCCAACTATGCTCCTTGCATTCTGCCCCAGCTCGAAGCCGCATCCCGTGGCTTCCAGCAGAATCTCTGGCTCTTCGGCGAAGAGGAATACGTGACCGAGGTCGGCACTATGAACCTCTTCCTTGCCCTGAAGAACAAGGAGACTGGACAGAAGGAGCTTATCACTGCTCCTCTTGATGGTACCATTCTGGAGGGTGTCACTCGTGACTCCGTCTTGACCCTTGCCCGCGAGAGACTTGGCCCCAAGGGCTGGAACATCTCCGAGCGTAAGATCAAGATGTCCGAGGTTGCCGAGGCTTCCGAGGAAGGTCGCATGATTGAGGTGTTCGGTGCAGGTACTGCTGCTATTGTCAGCCCTGTTCGCAACATCAGCTACAGAGGCAAAATGGTTGACTGTGGTCTGAAGGAAGACCAGGAAGCTGGTGAGATTGCTCTCCAGATGAAGAACTGGATCGAGGGTATCCAGTATGGTGACGAGCAGAACCCCTGGAGGTAAGTTGATAGCGCATCGACTCCGTGCAAGCTGGATGGTTTACTGACTGTTTTGATAGTGTCGTGATCTAAGATGCACATGTTGCATAAAGGGCTTCTTTTCTCAGTTTTGATCATACAACTGCGGAAGCTTTCAAAAGTCCTTGGCCAAGATTTCGGTTTTTCAATTTTTGGCTCGTTTTGTTCGGAGGCTTTCTAGATTGGCATGCTGTTGAGCAGTAGGCATTTTCACATATTCAACCGGAGCCTGGGTCTTCATAGAGAGACCCCCCATTACTATTTTTATTGTTATATTATCTGTTCGATTTGCTCTTCAGGTCACTAATGCTGTAAAGATGCTAGGATCACAGATCTGCGAACGTACTGTCTTTATTAAGGGGCCGATGTTAGGTCCAGAACGTATAAAAAGAAAAGGAGCGCGAGGTAAAACTACTGAGGAGAAAGAATGTTGTAAAAGATTGCATTTCAAATAAAGGACTTGTTAAAACTCAACTGATCAGAAAGCTCTTAACAAGCAACGTACTGTTCATCTTCTCAGCTCCTCCTTCAGCATAGCAACAAGATCCTCGCATTTCTTCCCCATCCTCTCAGTGGGAAAGCTTATCTGAGCGTCTTCAAGCAGGATAAGGTAGAAGCTGCTCTATTCAAGGCCTGTAGATATCCACAACATTTTTGTTGGTCTAGAACATATTAGCGATGAAAAGAATATCAAGGGAAATTTCGACAATACCGAGATCATGGGCATTGTTCGGCGTAAGTCCATAGAGTGTACGGAATGACTTTCATTCGATGTTGCTTTGTCTTGTGGTGCTCGGTGACTACTATAGCACCGGAGCGTCCCCGCCGTGGATGACTTCCTTGAGTCTCTGGATTTCATGTTTTCGATGCGATTTGTCTTTCTTCAGTGCGTTTCTCACTCATGTGGAAATCGCTCTTTGGGTGATATATCTAGGTGGCTCTGGCGATGAGATTTAAATTTCTGGCAATTCATTGAAATGATAAGAATTTGATGTCAGTTTAGAGGTCAAGTTTGACGTCAAGTTTGACGTAAAATTCAATACTCAAAACGCGCTAAAATGTGACTTAATTTAGCATCAAATGGTTTGGGGGCTCTTGAGCAATCAACTTTACTTAGGGGCCAATGTTAGATCCAGAAGGCACAAAAAGATAAGAAAGCTCTTGATATGCAATGGAATGGTTTGTCTCGCATAGGTATTTAGGTCTAGCCCTCAATGGAATCTCTTGCAAATATGGAATGTGATATCGGTAGTGGACCCTTCATTCCCTGAACTCAACATGATCTGATGCCAGTTTCTTCTTTAGTCCGTTGAAAAGATCATCGGCTTCAATGTCACTTGCAATTAGATCAAGGCCCGCCTTTTGTCTAGCCTTTGCCTCATTGACAGCCATTCGTGCTCTGGGCACAACACTCCACTGGAAAGTCCTCTGAAGCATTGTCTGTTTTGAAACAATTTCCTGATCTCTATCTTCGTCTGGGAGGAATAGCAGGTCAACTGATTCCAAGTTGAGATATGAAGTCTCTGGGTAGAAACACCAAACGATAATTGCGGTGACGAAATTGAAGACTGCAAAGATGATATATGTCTTATAGCCGATATTTTCCAAAGCTGGAGGTGTAATTTCGACGACCTGTGAAGTGTCAGAGCCATACACAACCGGCTCAAAGTCAGACAAAGTGTGCACTTACAAGGAAGTTTCCGAGGAAATCCGCTGCAGCTGCAAGCGCAGCTCCCTTTGAGCGGATTCGTAGAGGGAGAATTTCCGCTGGGTATACCCATACTGTAGCCATCCAACCTGTGAAATTTGCCAATTAGCATGGGAGACGGTTGAACATCGAAGTATATGGGCTTACCCCATGTAAAGCAAGCCTCAAAGGCAAATATGAAAACGACGGCAGCAACAGCAGACCGTTGATTATCAACAGCTACTGTTACAGCCTCACACACTAATACAACACACATCCCAAGGGACATGGTAATGTACAGCCGCCGACGACCTACCGCGTCAATCATGTACCACTGTAAAGGTCAGAAATGCCCATTAAAAAACCGAGAAGGGCAACATACAGTCAAAAATGAAGCCAAAATATACCATACTTGGAGGAAACAGCTGACAAAAAGTGCTCGCTCTTGTGTCATGCCTAAAGAGTTCTTGAGCAAGGTGGGAGCATAGTAAGTCACAATGTTGATTCCTATACAGTCGGTTAGAGCTCCAGTGGCCATCAATAGTGCGGGATCTTACCGGAAGTCTGCTGCATAAACTGAATTCCAACTGCCAGGAAGAATCGCTTGTTTGCCGAACAACCTCCATCTAAGAAAAGAGATTTCCAAGACCCTTCCTCTTCAGCTTCAATATTGATCGCCGCGAGAATCTCATCTTTTTCCTTCTGCACCATAGGGTCATCAGTTGATTTCTTGCGCAACCTTGACAAGATACAAATTCCTCTGTCTGGCGTTGCGTCGTGCAACATGAGCCATCGCGGTGTATCTGGTAGGAAAGGCGCCACAGCTAGAATATAAACTGCAAAGACGGCTTGGAATAGAATTGGGAATCGCCATTGTATAGCCCCAGGGTGGAAATAGAGGCCATAATTGACCCAGTAGGCCAGCATTAATCCGAACAACATTGTTGATAGCTGGCATGATAAATGCCATCCACGCTGCGTCGGCAGACAGATCTCGCTTTGGTACACAGGCGCAACGGACGTAAGGAACCCGATACCTAAGTAATAATACACGAGCATCAGCTTTTGCTCAAGCATATTAAGTCAGAATATTTGACATACCTAAGCCAGTGATAATCCTACCAACGATCATCTGTATCCTTTCCACGCAACAACCCATCAATATAGCACCAACGGCAATCAAGGCAGCACCTATCAGTAGCCCACGCTTTCGTCCGAGTCGCTCAACTGTCAATGCGGCCCCGATTGCACCAAATACTGCACCGACATCGTACAGAGCAGTGATGGTGCCAGTCATCACAGTACTAGGGTGTCCCATAGCCTCAAGCCAATATTCGGATATTACAACCCCAGACATGACACCTTGGTCGTAGCCAAAAAGCAGAAATGATGAAGCACACACTGACGTAATAGCTGCCACCAGGGGAGCGCCTTTGAGGGCACTAAGCCCCGTCTTGTCGGTCATACCGGACAGTTGAGAACGAGATTTAGTTAGAAAGCGACAAAGTCAGGGATTACCGGTTACCCCGAAAGAAAGCAATGCTTGTAGACCTCTCTGCCTTGAACTGACATGGAATACCGAGCATGTATAAATACTCCAAGTATCTGAACCAGACCGTGTCCAAGTATGAGGCATTTGCCGACATGCGTGGGGGTGGATCCGGGGGAATGTGGGGGATGTTAGCATTTGTCCATTGAAATTGCACTTGTGCTTGATTCGGGCGATAGGCCGAACATCAAGCATTAACCAAGCATTGCAAAGTATAGTTAGACTGGGTTGGGCCGTGGTTTGCTCGCCGATCATTTGTTTCCCCGCGTCATCAGCCGTCATCAGCGCCAGAGACCCCTTTTCGGTGTATTCTTTGGGAAGGCCGATAGTCTCAGCATGTGGGAAGCATTGATATCTATGGGTTTCGTATTTATCGTGAATATGGATTGTCCAAAGGCAAGGATTTGAGACAGGGTTGTTGTACCGAAGTATAGCCGAATCCGAGGATATCAAAATATCCCCCTGCATTCTTGGATGTCTGGAAGCTTTACGATATGAGGCTAAGTCTTGCTAATATATCAGCATTGTATGCTACAGATCTTTCGCGACGTATAGGGCAGATTTCTTGATATGGATTGTGATCACTCTTCTTGTTAAAATCACATTCGTTGGTGTCATTCATAGCTGCAGCGGACTAAATCCGAGGGTAGGATAATTGACTCATTCCAAATATCCGAACTAACGCTTAAGGTTAAAGATGCATTCGACTGTGTATCGGAAAATAGTCAATTTGAAACTACATTCAACCGCATGGACACTCTTATCATGATCGTGGCATGTCTGTGCTTCAGAATTTATGTCTCATACCAAAGTGTGATCGCGAAGGGAAATGGACACTGTCAGACCATTGACTGTGTCAAGATAAAATAACTTCTTTCTTGCTAATGTTTCCTCAAATGTGTCTAATGAAAAGGCATATTCTCCAAATTTAGACCCTCAGTAAATCATAAGTCCAACCGAAACGATAACCAACCAATACTTAGTGGTTGTGGAAGATATGATCAAAGCATATATTCTACACAGGAGAATACCAGGCCTCATTCCAACACGACGGGTATCCCCTTTCTAAGGTATATTTTGAACATAGTCTACCGAGTTTTCAACACCAAAAGAACAAACTGACTTTTCAAGGTTGAATGGCTCTGAGATGTGTTTCTTGGTTCCTGTTTTACCCTGGTTTCTGATATACTAAGCTCAATTTCCCTACAAACAGATGGCCTCTCGTAGACCTCTGACGAACCAGAAAATTGTCCATGTAGAGATACGCAAAATATCTTCCATTGATATTTCCATCAGTTAACATCAAACTGTATTCCACAGTCTTGTTAGCCATGGATTATATATCAACATACCAGACGTGTGTTTCTGGAATCTAGGATGATCCGAGTGAAACCCTCGCTATAGCTACAACAGACTGGGCAAAGTACAAAGCATGGTATCAAAGTCGGCAACCATATTTGACTCTGTGTTGCGCAGCGAACTATACTCGGGATTCAGAGAGAACTCCTGAGCTGCTCCATCAAAACCGACTTAAGTTTTATTCAACCCAGTAGATGCTGGTCACATTCAAACTGGGTAAATGCGCCTGTCTCAACCTGAAACCAAGTCACCAGCAACGCCAATACCTCCACACTCAAAGGACAGGAAAGCCAAGCATTGCATGTCAGATTCTCCATTTTGACCTTGCACAAACACAGTGCTGACAACCCCAGCCACCCGTACGGCCCCACCAGATTCTCACCGGATAACTGCCTCATATTGAAGCCATCCAGCCGTCAAACGACAAGGATTCATCCCTGGCAACGGGATCGTGGGGGCCAAATGCAAAGACAATATACAAAAAGCGCCAACTCGCTTAACGACCAGCTTGATAGGCCCAATGAACGCCAATCACCGAAGAAGCCAGGACAGCACCAAAATAGGCCAGCAACCAAACTAGCCTAGTAGGAGATGGAGATCCTCATCTGCAACTAGGCCTGAATCAAGGTAAGATAGGCGACATGCAGCAGGTGGAGCACGTGGCTAGACCCAGATGCGACAATAGAAGCGAAACCGACAATCTGCAACAGAACAAAAGAACAAGAGAGAAAAATGACACGGTCGGTTTTGGTCTCCCCGAATCACTAGGTTTCAAGCTGGGTCTGTACGCCCTTGCCTTGGCTGCAGATCCAATGGCAGAATTTAAAATGATCGCCGGGGGCACAGGGGAGCAGGGGAGCAGGGGAACAGGGGGGATAGTAGGCGTTTCATGATGTTCCGCATGGATGGGGAGGGTGTTATGGTGATCTCATAGGTCGACGGCGAGGTTGCCATGCATACTGTATGTTTCTACTTGTACAGTATAGTGTTTCCTATATCCATGGTCTTTTCTTTTTGACACGGGGGAATAATAAGGCCACGCGGTAGAATCATTAATGTCAGCTTCTTATCTTTGTCTTAGATAGTCCGAGTGTCCACGTCTATACAGTAGAAAGGTATGTTCCAACATTTACAAAAACAGAAACCGAGTTTACTGGCTTGAGTGAGTTGAATGGAGGCGGTGATTCTGTTTTCGTGTTACTTCAGAGCACATCCTCACCTTGTTTGTTTTGCAGACTCCGTCAAGGTTAAATCCTGCCTCGACTTCGACCCGGAGATTGTTTTTAGCATTCCTTCCAGCCCTGGACGCCTTTTCCAGGCTGTGCGATCCATTGACGTGCACCAAAGGGGGTCATAGGATGAAAGTCAGCGTGGCCAGTAGGCTTGTATCCACCTCCCACTCGGTCCATTTGAAGTTGAGTGTAACTTCGATGCGCTGTCTGCAAGAGCAACGTGTTAGCACTACCCCAGAGGCTCGGAGATTGCCGTTAACGATGTGTTGTGACACTAGGATCGAAACAAGAACAGCAGCAAGTGAGAAGAAAGCCAAGTCCAAAATTAAAACAATGACACCATTGTGCTCCGACTGCAGATGTGTGTAATGGTGGGGAGGAAAGGAAAGGAGGTGTGTGTGGTCTCCGAGTACAGCAAGGGCTGGGGCTGCATGGGAGGTCCACCGCCAGGAACATTCTTCTAGATGGTTGCCAGAAGGCTCAAATCGTAACCTCAATCAGGCATCTGGGGTGCAGTGCGGACGGTGAGTGGTTAGAATCCCTGAACCAGACCGTCTGGGCACAGGGATGGCTGTGCAATCTTGCAATTCCAGCTGGAGACGCGGACAGCATGAGCGGTGAAAAGAACGTGAAAGACATCATTGTACCGGGTACCTGAAAGCTGCTGTGCCTCATGCCAGAGTGACACCGTCCAGCGATGCCTCCGAGTTAACTCGAACAGGAATAAGAAGGTCCACCTGTCAGGCAGCTCAGCCCTACCGCGGAGGGGGGATGGGGGGGTAAATACGAGGGTATAGCGACGCACCCGTGGAACTGGACAGAAATGATCACCAACCAGACACCATCTCCCACGCGGATTGGTGGAGGAGTGGGATGTAAGGCGTCCTATTCATAGTCTAGCCTGTCTCACCTTGGGGAAAAGAGCCTCCTCGGCGTGTTCGTTTGCCCCTCATTCCGGGCCTCTCGGGGCCGACAGAACTGCGAGTCAAGCCTCCGAGTAGCCCCGAGCGCGACGAATGATCGTCTTGGGAAACGGGCGTGGGATCCTCCGCAAGGTATACTTGCTTAGGTATCCAAGAAGCAGGGCCAATTAGGCAACCAGAGCACGCGCGGACAATAAAAGAATTAAATCCAAAGTCAAAATCCCAAAAGAAAAAACCAAAAAAGAAAAAAAAAGAAAAAAAGCAAAACGCCAGACACTAAAAGACATCCAATGCCCTGATAAGCGTTACATTGGACAGTATTCAGAGGAAAGTGGCTCTATTCCGGGAGTGGGTTAGGGTTAGAATAGTACTATACGAACCACCCAATGATGTGACAGCCACCGAACGAGTGTTTTGTAGACGATCCAGCCGAGAGAGTCCAGCCAAGGTCCAGTATTCTTCGAGTCTTTGTCTTCTTGATTTGAACCCGAAAGGGTCAACCATCAGGATGTCCATCCGAAATGTCAATGTATGGGCAGGTCAGATCTTTATCCTTTTAGTCTGCCAAGTGAGGGCAGAAAAAACGTGGCATGGCCGTGCACATAACCCCCACGTGAGGAAATAGGGAATTTTTTTATTATTCTTTGATTTCCAGTTCGATTCCGATTTGGATTGGGGTTGACTATAAACAGTAACCGCTTTGACCTGGGATGGGTATTGCGTCCCAGGGCCATATCCTGTCTCGGACCAGTTGAGACCTAGCGTGTCCGGCCAAACTACAATATTCCGTGTGACCTAGGATCTGAGATTCCGAGAGGGTTGAGGGTGTGTTTTGATTTTATTATTATTTTTCTTCTCCAGTGTACGACGTGGCTATTTGATTTTTGGCAATTTCCCAAGGGAGTTAAGGGGAGGCTGAACGGGGATCCCTGTCAGAAGTCAATAAATCCGTTCAATAATCATGATAATCAGGCTAAGACTCATAATAATAGGTTAAGGATAATAGGGTAATAATCAATAATCCGAATAAATCCCCCCCCCCAAAAAAACACCACATTTACTGTGCACATGGCATCGAGTCTAATTCGAGCACGGACTAAGCTGGCTATCGCTACGAAAGCTGCAAGGCCCGAAAATCCAATTCCAGCTGATCGGGCTTAGAGGGTCATACTCCCGAGACTCTATATAATCGGTTTCAACTCCACCTCCACTTCAACTTCTTCACTTCCGGTATTTCTGTCTTTCTGTATACTTGACTTTTTTTGGTCTTTCTCACCATGCATCGTTCTTCATATGATGGCCGTGCAGGCTCTCGTGGCAGCCACTCCAACAGCAGCGCATTCAGTCCGAACGCCAACCCTAACGAAGACTGGACCAAGATTTCGGATCTGGCAGAGCGTCG